ACAAACCAGGGTTACTACAACATACCAGCCCTACCAGTCCTGACAGACCTAAACTTTGAGCACTCTTGGGTTTCCAGATATTAAAAACCCTTAAATCCTTCTTATACAAAGGGGTGGGGATCGAGACCCCGGCTCAAATCGGCACCCAAACTTGTATTTAGACAGTGAGTGAAACCCACCCCTTCCTCCCTCATCTGTGGGATCATGTGTTGAACTTCAGCACCGACTCCTGCAGCTGCTGCTATCTCCTCTGCAGATCTGACCCCTCTGACCTGCCGTACTACGATCCTTCCACACGACCCGGCTGAACTCGGCGCTGGTATGTGAGTCTGAGGAGGCAGAGGCTGCTGAGTCCGAGGGGCTCACATTAACCCTTTAAATCACAGCGCTGCCACCCGGTGCAAAGAGGGGGCCGCTGAGCCTCAGGAGCTCATCTACAGGGGAAGTTTTACACTGGACTGCGTTTGTTTCTATCAACGAAAATTTCTGTTAGTGGACACAGGCCCTAACTCACTTTAGGGCATGTGCAGATTGACTCCTGCATGATCTCTGCACGCCATTCATTAAAAGCGCAACAGGCTGGGATGCTGTTAGGAGTCACAAAGTTTTCCTCTTTGTTTGCTGAAATTGTGTCTCATCATTTTCACGTAAAATGTGACAATCACAGTTTATAAAGATGGTGAAAACCCAAAGAGTTTGAAGGCAAATCCACATTTCTACCTTCCTCTCTCCTGGTTTTCTTTGTCTCCTTGATAGAAACTTGGCTCCCGTATAAGAAACATCAGATTTGTTGCGATCCGTGGGCTCGTCCTTTTCCTCACTTTCATCGACTGCGTTGTTTCACATCGAGGACAGGCGTACTGCTGAGAGCTTCGCTCCCCGTTAGGATGAATGATGAAGGAGGCAGCGCCTGGCAGAGAGGTGGACACTCTCACTCCACGGTTCGGACATTTTGATTGATGAAGCCCAAAGACAAAGTCACAACTCACTTGAACAGGTCACTCCGGCTCTGTTTATACCGAAGCTGAACTCACTATCGAACGTGAGGCTGAGTTTGAGAGTCGGACCAGCAGGTCGGGTACCTGTTGGCTGGCTCTGATTGGTTTAAGAAGTAGGAACCTTCACATTTACAGCACAAAGAAGCACTGGTCACATGATATCTGCGCCATCATCCCGGTCTGAATTTTCCTCCATACGCCCAACCCGCCCCAGCTCATCCCGACTTCTTCCTGAAATTTTACTAGAAGGCCGGAAGGAGAACTCTGGGTAATGTTGGGCTGAAAAATCTGGTCAGTTACATTCACACATGCAGCTCAAACCAGGTAAGTCCTCTTTGAGTCCCACAAGGTTCACTGCTTAAACCACCACTATTCACTTTGTATAAAAACAATCTATCGGACAATGCAATAACTTTTATTGATATGCATGTGATAGCCAATTTTACGAATCAATAAAAGCATGTTTTAAACTCACATAAAGACCTGGATGACCTTGAACTTACTGTGTTTTACCCCTAACCTTTTACAGATATGATATCTAATAAAATGTAATCTGTACATAGTATGCAGCTCTGTCTAGATCTATCTGATTTGTTAGTTTGGTCATTGGTGACTTTGGTATTTATGAGGTATGGACCCACTGCCATGACTATCATGTACACAGACTTGTCCAACCAAACGCCATTTGTCACTTTCCATCTTAAATTGAGAAGCAAATCAAATCAAACCGTCACTTAACAAGGTTTTAAAGAGTTTACTGCTGTTTTCTGTTAATGCATAATCAAGAAAAGGTGTTTGAAAGTAACTCTGCACTGTGTTGAGTAAAATTTCCAAGCAGGACTAATTTCTAAACTTGGGAAATTGGACCATCTGATGAGCCGAGGTGAACATTTTATACAAAAGATGCAATAAAAAAGTGAATAAAGTGAGACACGTCATGTTTCTGTTACAAAACCGAAGTGCAAACCTCACAGCCCTCAGGCTCTGCAGCCGTTTGTGTACAAAGTTTATGAGGGTGAGGCAGCGGGCTGTGACACAACTCCACCCTGATCTATTCTTTAATCTCCACTGAGTTATGAGAGACAACACATGACTGACATGATGACACTCCTTTTGTTGAACCTGCCGACTCGTGGTAATGATTAACCAGATTGATAGCTTTAAACCGGCTTAATTCAGAAATGCATCCCATGCAACCATCGCTATGAGGAACAGAGTTAGTAAGGTAGAGCACATGAGCGGTATACAAGACTGCAAGTTCAGTGCAGAAGAGACAAATGCACATAGTTAGGGGAGAGGGTCAAAAATATCTAAAAATATCCAGGAAAAAATGCAAAAAATCTGCAGTTCCTCAAGCGTCCACCAGAGTTAGGTTTGACACTTTAACAAATTTCCCACAGAACAGCTGAGTTTGGTTTGAATAATTTTCTGACTCACCCTTTCTGTTATGTCAAGGCTCAGACTTCGGCTTAATATGGGAGTGACTGAATTTACGAACAGGCTGGGCTGAGTTTATCACTGTTTGCCAAGCTGTAAATCTCTGACATCATCGTCAAGATCAGCTGTAACTCAGCTGTGAAGACTTTTCCAGTATAGTGACCGTCATCTATGATACAACCAGACTTTAAATTCACATTGATTCTGAGGGAATGATTTTAGTGAAACATAGAGATGATATTAAACTGTGTCACACAGTAGGTAAACACACGGTGGGAGCTTTACATACAAACACACACAGTGCTGTTCCGCCCTGACTGCTCTACTGCTCCATTTTCATAATGCCTCTGATACTACCTTCAAATCTAGGTTGGACAACTTTGTCCCACTGTGACATTTTGGTTATAGAGGTGTGAATATCATACCTTCAATTAGGGCTGCACAATTAATCAGTTTTAAATTGTAATCTGATTATTTGATTATGGCGATGTTAAAAAAATTAAAATCCTCAAATTGATTCTCCTCGCTATCATGTTTGGTGCCTCCAGGCCACTGTAGGCTCCTCCCCCTTCCTGTGGTAGCGCTCCCCAGTTCCCACCCAAAACAAACAAAATAAACATGGCGTTTGCAAAAGAAGGCGATAATTTCACTGAAAGATGTCAATAGTAAAAAATCAAGATCAAAAATCGAGTTTTCAGGGAAAAAAATGGGGCTCCAACAAAGCTTTCAGCACAGGTGTGGTTACTCCTTTCACAAACTAGTGGAGGATCCTGCAGAATCAATGACCTTTGACCTTTGCTTATGTGGTTTATAGGAGTCAGACACTAATGAACGATTTCAGGATAAAAGCGTCAGATAAGTGTTTGAAATGCAAAAAGAAAGTGATCTGATATGAAGGGGGTTGGAGTCTGACGCAGGTGGATGATTTCCTAAGAGCGTGGTTAAAATGAAAATATATAAACATGAGGGTTCCTGAGGCTTTTCACTGCAGGCTAACCCCGCTGCAGCCCTCATCCCGCCTCTAAATAATCACCATATTCAGCTCTTTTATTTCATCTGAACTAATTAAAGTGATGAAATCTGGAGTAATATCCCCCTTTTTTAAATGTTCCAGGCAATGTGAAGCTTTGGGCGAAAGGAAATGAGTGTTAAAGAGGCTGATGATGAAAAGGTGGAGAGGGAGGGAGTAACTCGGCAGGCAGGGTTCAGAGAGCGGAGGACGGCTGAACCTGGGGATGAATGTGACTCCGGTCAGACGTCACCGATCATTATTACTGATTATTTTCATCATCTTTGAATTAATTTGAAATGTTGCTGCAAAATGAAACATCATATTCTCCTGTCGTATTTTGTTTTGTGTTTGAGACTGCTGGTATAAACGAGGGTAACTCAGACTGCACACTTCAGGGCCTTCACCTCCCCACGACATGTGCACAGGTCAAAGTGGCGCCTAATTCTGTCTTATTTTGTTTAGATTTAAGTTCAAACTTTCACAAAGTTTTGCTTCATTATGATTTACTTGAATGTGTTTTTCCTTTTGCTTTTAATCTTTAACTGTCTCGATAGTAACAAACTTCAACTCGGGCACAGATCTGGAGAGTTATGATAAATATGGTTGGGCTTTCCTACCTACCTTAATGCACTGGAGGCGAATAGGGGAACCATCCAAGACGGCGACTGCGCTGATAAGTGAGCTCCAATAGGCAGCGTCAGGCTTTGAGGCGTCTATGTATATTATGTCTATGGCTGTGTCCGAAATGAATCACTCAATCCCTAACCCATATATAGGCAACTTTATGGGGGTTAGCGCCATTTTGAGAGGTGTCCGAAACCTGAGTGATCAATTCCAAAGCCCCATTCAGGCGACTCAAAATTTCCCATACAGCATTGCAAAATGTGTTGAGTATCCGATGGTTACTCACCAGTGGTGGGCATCCCGTCACGCACTGCATCATGCCATGTAGTGTCCGATACCTCTGGTGATTAAACTCACTACATAGGGGTAACCTAATGGGGATTAGGGGTTTAGGGTTGAGTGATCCATTTTGGACACAGCCTGTCGGCGACTCTCCCGCCGAAAGCGTACAACGCTAATGCGGAAGTGGAGAAGCGCGTACAACGCCACCGCGCAATGTTTGTTTCAGGAAGTGGAGAAAAATCGCGGAAATCCCGAGAGCTTTCCGGCTTCAGATCCGTATTCTGGCGGACGGCGGAACCAAGTTGTCTGTAGTTTAAACAGTCTATGATTACAGTATTTAATACTATGTTATTGATCCCTGAGGAGAAATCAAAGCTCACAGTAAAGTTAATTATACGGGCTGAAGCTGCAGTATCACAAACGTGTCTGTATATAACTACGTCTCATTCCCAAAAACATCCCTTGTTTTTCGTGAGATTTTCAACTAAGTGACTTTATCTTCCATCATTGTTGACCACTTCGCCTTTCCCTGTTGATCGTTCCCGGTGTCAGCCTCCAGGGAGGGCAGCTCAGCTCTCCACAGCGCCGCCCTCCCTCCCTCTCAGCCCGGCTTCCTCTCCTCCACACACGGCGCTCACAGCAGCGACCTGACAGCCGCCCAGCAGCCGCGCTCCTCCCGCTGCTCCAACTCGTCGCTTCGCCGGTTCAGTTCTGACTTAAATTTACCAGTTTCGTCCCACATTTAGAACCACTAACTGGGAAAGGATCTTGTTCGCTTTTGGAGTTTTAATTTTCGGTGAATGGATGGAGTCCTCTCCGCAGGATTCAACGAGCGACCCGGGCAGGAGCGGCTCTGAGCCCGCCACGCCGGTCACGGAGACGCCGGCGAACGCGGAGCCTCAACCGGGCGGAGAGCACCTGACCCCGGCGAGGAGAACCAGCAGCTCCACCGGCTCCAGTAAAGGTAAGACCTCTGCTTTGTTGTGTTTTTGTTCATTTGGACAATCTTGACTGGTGGATGTGTGAGCTGTCAGGCTGCAGCAGAAACTTCAAACGGATTGTGTTCAGATTAAGTGTGAGGAGGTTCACACAGACACGACTGGAGTGTCCTCCACTGCTACACACTCATGCTACACACTCATGCATTGTGTTGACCTCTTCACTCAGCAGTCTGTGGAGGATGTGCATGTGCAGCTGCATGGATGAAACCTTGAATTTCCTGCAGCCTTTTCCTTCAAGTGACTTTAAAGTAACTCCAGAGGTTGATCAAAGTGATTGGATATCATGAACTCTGATTCTGATTCTGGTTTTAGTCTGAGGTCTGTGGTTTGGTGAAGGATTGATGAAGTTGTGATGGACAGATGTTCACAGTTTGTGTTTCTCTGTTTGACAGTATTTGAGTGTTTTTGAGCCGATCATAAAATGCACCGCTGGAATGAATTTAGAGCTGATTCAAGTATTTTTGCAACAAAGCCAAATGTTTCATCTTTTCCAGATTTTTAAACTTAAATATCTAAAACTCTGATCCCAGGTTACCTGCAGGGCTGTGATTATAAGTTGACTAATCACAAATGTTTGTTCGTCATTTTACAAGCAAGAAAAACAGACTAAATTCCTGCATGAATGGTTTCCAGCTGCTCGTATGAGAGTGTTTCGCTGCTTTTCTTTGTCTGATGGAAAAAAAGACATAAAATATGATGCAACTGTGTCAAAATCTTCATTTTCATTGGTCAGTAATAAATGATCCTGCAAAAGTGGCTTTACAAATCAAATCGAGCCATGAAATGCAGTCCAGCATGTATCACACACACAATTTCACCTCTTATTGTTGGTGCAGATCCCAAAATACTGAACAACGGAAGTAGAAATGTCCCAAGTCTTTATTCGTTTTTTAATGACCCTATAAATTTTGTTGCATGGACTTGTTAACATGATTTTTGTATTGAGGGACTTTGGCTCTCTGATTGGTCAACAACCAGAGCGCAGCCAGATCCAATCTCTGCGTCACATCCTAATTTACTAAACCGTGTATTATCCCTCACTTAACTGCTGCCATAAACAAAGTCAGTGTGTCAGTGTGCTGTCCTGATCCTTCGCTGCTGTTAACACTGCAGATTTCCCCACCATGAGATGAATAAAGGGTTTATCTTATCTTATCTGAGTGTCTGTTTGGACCTAAAGCATGCCTGTAGTCTCTAAAGAGATGTTATAAAGCTCAAAGATGCTGGTTGTCATGAGGATGGTGACTTCAGCGAACTTATCTGGTTGAACTAAAAACCATCAGAGAGGTGGAGTTGGTGTCACAGCCTAACCGCACAGTCACATCAGCCACACCTCCTACTGTCCCCAACTATGTGAAACTTTCACTCTTGATATTTAAGATCCATGATATGAAAACTGAAATCTTCATCCAGCCACTGAGCTGTCAGAACTCAGTCCTCGTCTTTTTCTTGGTGTCACAGCTCCCAGTAGCTACTGAACCTTTGTATTCCTACGAGCTTCTTTGCAGGAGGACGACTGACTTTTCGAGAATTTGTAGTGGCAAAAATTTTACGATATTTTCCCCCTTAGAAATACTGAAAAACTTTCACTCTGCCGATGCCACACGGACTCTGTGGTCAGCTTACTTTGCTGCGCTAGTTTTCAGACCGGTAACTGTCATGTACAGAGTTGGAATGTATGCAGTATCATCCTCATCGTCATTGGATTAAAATAGTTTCTTTCAAAGATTTTAAAAAGGAAACAGACAGAAACCAAAAAGCAAAATATATATTATATATGCATAAATATAAATATGAAGCAGTAACACTTTAAAATATCACAAAAAACATTCCCATCACTGACCTAAAGTTATCAGACACATTCACCCCGACTTAATATAATCAAAACAGATGAGTTATAAAAATCCAAACCTGCACGCGCCAGAAATGACCAAAACTTTTCTCAGAGTTTGTTCCCAGCTGTAAAAAAAGACATTTTAATGCAGAACTTAATAGTTTTCTTTGACTTTTACCACCAGCCCCAAGTGGACGCTCAAGGTACTGCAGGTTTTTTTTTATGGTCAACACGTTGTAGAGCAGCTTCTGCCATCTGAGTGTTTCATTTACGGCTTAATTCCACAGGATCCGAACAGCAGCCTGATCAAATACGCATTATAATCAATGTGCGTGATTCCACATAATGCGTCCGCCGTCGGGCTCTGCTGCGGATCTGCTCCGGTGGTTGGATCAGATATGTGAAGCTTCTGTTTTAGCTGGACGATGCAGCACAGCGCATCAATTCAGTTGAACTGTTCTGCACGTGATAGTGGGAGGGGCCAGGGTTGTGGGATGTGAGTGTTATACACCACCAATCTCATTTAATGTCTTACGGTGAAACATGTGAGATCTTGTGATCTCGTCCAGTCTCGCGAGAAATATCGGTAAAATCACAAGCGCTTCTCCTCCACCTGCGGCTGCGGATCAGATCTGGTGGGCGCTGTATGCTTGCGTTACAGCTCCCTCAGTTGTAGGTAGATGATGAATTTTGAGTTTTTCTGATATTTGTGGAACAAATCTTCGAGTTTGCTCGGCAGAGGAGCTCTGTGATGACGCTTTTCCCTCTTTTCTTTTCTTCTCCCAAAATTATTGCTTCAGTCAGAAAAGTTTTCATTTTAGTTTCACTCTTCTTAAACTATGATCTCATTTGATTTGAAGGAAACAGACAAACAGACTCATAATTAAAAAAAAAGCAGTTTAGGAAGCGCTGCAAACTTCCGTGTCTGACTTCCTGCATGCAGCTCCGGCCTGACGCCAGATTTTCCTGCAGCTCTGTTGGTATGCAGACCAAAGAGAGAGAGAGGGGGGGTCAGATGGAGCTTCATTGAGTTTCTCAGAGCGGAGACTTTGTTACATAACAGCTGTTCAAGAAGAAGGAGAGAGGGGGAAAAATCCCAGTGAGTGTTTGAGCTGTGACGTAAAGCAGACGGGCAGCGAGGAGCGTGACTCAGTTTCTGAGATTGTCAGACGAAGCAAAGGCGTGATTTGTTTGATTGAATGGAGTCGGTATGAGACAGAAGGTCCATCTGAAAGTGAAGAGCAGCAGCAGAAACTGAGAAGAGTTCCTCTGAAAGTATGTTAGGATCATCTAAAAGTACGGAGCCATCGGGACCTTTGGAGCCACCAAGTCCAGCCGTGACATTTTAACTTCACAGACGTCAGCGAGTTAATACTCGACCGATTCACCGCAATGGACAACTATTAGAGTCAGCTGATATAAACTGCCACTCTCACACATTTGCACAATAATCTGACATTTATATAATCCAGAAACTCAATGTTTATAATCTGATAAACTCGTCAGATATGCTCTCAGTGTCAGCGTGTCTTGTTGTGTCTGACAGCAGTTGAATGGATCGTCTGAGTTACGTAAGAGGTGACAGGTTAAGAGGGCACAAAGCCAGAGCAGCTATTGTTTGAATGACGGCGGTGAAACCAGCGCTGAGGTTCACGTCTCTAACCTGCTGACCCACATTCCTGCACTGGTCAGCACCTGACTCTTCAGGACAGGTTTTAAAACAAAGTGAATAAAACATCCTGATCATAGAGTTTCAGTGTCGACTCTTTAAATGATGGAGAGCCTGATTTTATTTCCTGTTTGTGTAAAAAGTTAAAGCTCCAGTGAGGAGTTTTTAATGGTTATAAAACACTCTGAAGTTAGCAGTGATCTTTTCAGGTGGAGACATTTGAGCTGATTAATTGTGCAGCCCTACAGGAACAACAGTAAAGACGCTATGTATGTATTTTCTACATCACTACTACGGCTGGGCGATATGGGAAAAAGTTTATCAAAATATATTTTTGTCATATCAGTCGATATCGATATATATCATGATATAAAAAATGAAATTTAACAGTGTTTATTGGTAGCATGTCTTTTGCGGGTCTTTGTGTCTCTTCGATGTTTTGTCGTACGGCGTTGGGCTGGAGAAGCTGAATGAATGGTCGTCTGTTTTGGCTGCACAGGCAGCACAGGCTTTTTGCTCCGCTCGGGGTTTGTAACCTTTTGCGTGTGCTCTGCGGCGTGGTGCTGCTTCAGGTGGTGAAAAAGATTTGAGGTATTCCCCGACTTTGTGAGAACATGTACTCGACATAATTTACAGTACACATTACTCTGCTTCATGTCCGACCTCAAAAAACCAAAATACCTCCACACCACTGACGTTTTCCTAATGCCAGTGTTGTCGTTGACATTGATGTGGTCATCTGTTGAGCCTTCATGGTCATTTCTGTCGGGGGTAGCACTCATTTTCTTTGTTTCTCACCAACAGTGCTGTCAGCTTCACCTGTTAAAGTGATATGGTTGGGTGGAGCTGCTGTCTGCTACGACTTTGCAGTTGTTTGATACTTGGTTCTAATTCAGAACATGATTGGTTCAGACCCGGAGAAACTCCCCTTTTCATTGGCTATTCGTATAGTCTACCAAAACATCGCAGAATGACGACTATCGAAAAGCATATTGACCATGTTTTATATTGATATCGACGGAAATCAATTTTCGATATATATCGTTATCGTTTTATCGCCCAGCTCTAATCACAACTGTACTTGTTTACATCTGGATAGTCCAGATTTCCAGCATCATGGCGGTCAAAACTAACCTGAGCTGCAGCCTCGGTTGGATTGGTAGCAGTGCAGCAGCTCGGATACAACATTCGACCACATTACAGATAAGAATATGGAGAGTCTGTGAAGCTGCGGAGTCATTCTGGTGTTTTTATTTCCCTCTATCTGTGAGTCCAGATGAGTCTATCAGCTCTAACCTGCCGCTCCACAGGAGGTCACATTCACCACATGAAAACAGAGAAGTTGTGTACACAGAGTCTCACTGGGTATTTTTGAACCCCGTTCATTATCCACAAACACCAGACGATCAGATCTCCAGGATGAGACAGCGAGAGGAACGAGGCTGAGATTTATTGTTTGTAATGAAGCTAAAACCGTCGAGAAGAAGACGAAGAAGAAGAAAGAGGAAGACAAGCTGTGTGGGCGAGACGGAGAAACCTCGAGGGGTTCAGACGCCCGACTCATCCCAGAGGAGAAGAAGAAGAAACAAGAGAAAAAGTGACAAGTGAAGACACAACAACATCAGAACCGTGTGAAGGAGAGAAACGCTGCGGCAGAGACGAGGGAACTTGAAGAAAAACTGGAGTGGAGACGCTGAGTGTAGACCTGACGCAGAGTTCACATGAACTGTGAGAGCTGGTGTTCACATCTCTGCGAGGAGGGAACGAACTGAAGGTTTCTCTGGTTTCTTAAGAACCTCCTGGTGTTTTCAGAGCGTTTAGGAGTGTGGATATTTGGTGAAATCAGGATATTTCTGCAGGATTTCAACAGTCTGGACGCTTTTTGATGCATTTTTAAAGACGCTAAAATTCTTTGGTGATTCTTCACATCAGACAACATTTCAGTAAAACAAAGTTGTGAATTTTGAAAAGTCTAAATAATTTTCTCTGAACTTCACATTTGAAGTCTTTAAGTTTCAGAAAGTCGAGTTTATTAAAGAGCATGATGACATTTTTATTCGTGTTTGGAAACTCCAAACTTCTCTGCAGCAACATTTTCTAAATTACAGTCAATTTGAGATTGTATGGGATACTTTGAACTAGGGCTGCACGATTAATCATTTTTAATGATGACGATGTAAAAAAAGATGAAACTGTCAAATCGATTTTCCTCTCTATCATGTCACACTCCTCCAGGCCACCATAGGCTCCTCCCCCTTCCTACATTTCTCACACACACCAGTGTAAACAAACATGGCGTTTGCAAAAGAAGACGATAATTTCGTGGTTAAATAGGACAAGAGCGAGTCAGTCGTGTTGAATTGGTACGACTTCACAGTTTCAGATGAAGAGTAAACCACTCCCCGCTGTAAAGTCTGTCTGAAGGCGGTATCAACCCGTCACCATGGAAACGAATTCAGGAGGAAACGCTAAAGTTTTTTGTCGTTTCGTCGTTTCATCCACATGGAAACAGTGCTTTAGGTGACTGTAAACGGTACTTTTTGAAAATATGCACACTGTTTTAGTGGTTTCGATTGAGAGATGATAGAAAAACTTTTTATTATTAAAGTGAAGTTTGGTGAAGTTGTCACTAAATAAAAAGTCGAAATTGAAAATTGAGTTTTCAGAGAAAAAAATCAGGATTTTATTTTTGGCCAAAATCGTGCAGCCCTAGTCCCTGTTGCTGAATCTTGTTTTTGCAAAGATAACAACTGTAATTGAGGAGCACATTTAAGGTGGACTTGATAGGGGTGGGAGAAAAAATTGTTTCACATAAGTATCGTGAGTTTTGGTTTTACAATTTTTTTAAATCGATTTTTTTTTTAATTTAAGAATAAATCTTAAAAATTGGACTCACATATGATGTGAATATTTTTGGGAAATACAGTTCCCGGAATAGTCAGTAAAATCCGAATCATTCAACTGTTTCACTGGTGTTAAAAATATTGAGAAAATCGACAATATCGTAGAATCGCTATTTTAATCGAATTGGCATCCAAAAAATTGTATTAAATCTGAGACAAGCATATCGTCCCAGCCCTAGGACTTGACATATTTTGCACACGATTGTAAAACTGTCCTATGTAATGTTGTTCTATGTTCTCCTGTATCTCTGATCAGTTTTTCGTTTGTACTCATTTCGACACTTCAGAAAACTTGGACATATGACCCAGTTTGGAGTATTTCACAAACTGGGTGACGATGTGCTCAGCTCGGGGCTCCTGTGAAGTTATTTTGGCCGGCAGGTCCCCGGTGGCTCCGGGGTTTGGATGCTAGAGGAGGTTCGGATGCGACTCCTCAGTGTGTTTTTTTTTATGTCAGCTCCCACTAACAGGATTTAATTATCTGGTTTGGGATGTATTTTACTTTCTTTTACTTTCATACAAAGACAAACTGGGGTTGGAGTCTCGGAGGACTTTGGGTTCAGGGGGTTTTAACAGGAACATCTGTGTGAGGGGAGAAAAGCTGCTAACTGGCTGAAAGTTTCTCCTTTTTTCGCAGCAGTGTCTCTTCTCTGTAGTCAACGTAAAGAAGTTTTTATTTTAGGTCAATTTGAAGAAGAGTTTTGAGGTTTATTCTCTCACCATGTTCTCCACATACACGGCTTTTATTTCTTTAACAAACATCCGAAGTTTTTCCTCACCGACAGTCCAGTTCCTCCTCCCTCCAGACTCACATGTGGTGAATTACTGCGCTCTAATGATAATTACCCAGAGTGCATCTTGCTCTGGTCTTAAGCCAGCTGTTAATTAGTGCGCTGACGGCTCCTCTGTGCGGCGGCGGCGGGTCTGTTGGGTCGAACACGCCTCGCTGCTCTCCTCATAGAGACTCAAGATCGCCGTCATTAAGATTTCTTTAACTTCCTCCGATCAGGATCCGATAGTTTCGCTCTCGGGTCACGTCAGGGTGGATTGATCGTGATTTCTCTTTATAAAATCACTTCTCAATAGTTAAAACATTTTGTCCCTCTTCTTTCTGAATAAATGCAGCTCAGGTGAAAATCGTCTCAGATGCTCGGACTAACTGCCTCTCACCATCTGGACTCTCTGAGCGGAGTCCAAAACAGGACTTGCCTCTCTTTAACTGCTAATTGATATTTGCGGTCTGGTCAGCCACCTGTCCAGGAGGAGGGAGAGAAGCAGGGGCAGAAAAACGGTCTGTGGTTTGAGGAGTTAAGGCATTTTTAACATTTGATTACTGAAACTAGATTCAAGAGAAACTGAAGAACAGTCGAACGAGGATAGACTCATGATGTAGTGACTTTCTTACCTAGAAAAGCCCCTGGACGTGTTTCAGGGAAATTCAGAGAAGATCCAAGTATCTTCACAGACTGTCCACGATCCTCCATGACAGACATCCATGATGAGTTATCTATAAATGTTGGTGTAATGGTTTCTATTGTTAGACAAAAGCTGAGATCTTGATTCAGTCTGATGACCAATCAGAGGCTCGTCTCGTTAGAGTAATTTTTTCTGTTCTGTTCTTCTGGCTTATTTTTTTCTTCTGTTTTTCACACAATTGTTTTTTTCTTTTTTGTTTTTTGGAATTTTTTTGTTGTTTTGTTTTTCAGACTTATTGTTTTAGATAGTGATGCACGATATGAAAAATTTCAACCGATACCGATAACCGATAATTTTCTTCTTCTCATGGCCGATACCGATAACCGATAAATTCATATTTTTACATTTATTATAATCTTCATATAATCTGCAGTTTGTGCAGGATGCAGCGATTGAAAACTGATAGTTTTGTTGCTCTGGCCTATCTAGAACAACAAACAAAAGTTTTTGGCTCTTCAAATGTGGTCATTTGCTATAAATAACAATAACAGAGCAAAAAGCAGAACTTCATTTGATCCCCTGAACTGTTCAACAGAACTGTAAACTGTCAAGGAGCCATTATGAGCCGTTAGGCTTAGCATGCTGACCGGACTAACATCTGACGTCCATATGTCTGTGGTAAAACTCACGTGTAGTCCGTTCTTGTCGATCAGGTTGTGAATGTATGTGGCGACAATATCATAGAGTGCAGGAAGAGACACATCCGAGAAGAAGCGGCGGCTTGGGAGAGTGTAACGTGGCTCCAAGTGTGCTATGAACTTACGAAAACCCGGGTTCTCAACGACGGAAAAAGGCTGGTCGTCGACCGCTATGAACTCCATCACTTTGTCGTTAATGGCTTTAGCCTTTTCGCTGTCTCTTGAGAAGCTTTTGCAGTTTTTAAACGCCTGCTGAATGGGGACATCGATCCTCCGTAGTGTTGTTGTCTTAGCTTTAGTACCGCTAGCAGCTTCGGCGGCTGTCTCATAGTCCTTTAATACTGCTTCGCCGCGATGGCGACTTTTCAGATGAGCTATCAGATTTGTTGTGTTAAAACTTGACGTCTTCTTTCCTCCTCTCGGAATCCTCGCTGAACAGGTTTTGCATATAGCAATGCTGTTGTCATCTTCTGCCACTGAGAGAAACGACCATGCTGGTGAAGACATTTTATTATCTGTCAGGTAGTGACGGGGTCAGGCTTGGGACCTGCGAGTAAGGCGCGATAGATGACGTAACCAGCGCGTCTCGGACGGGCGGCTACTCCGCCTGCAAACGTTACTCGTAATTTCATTAATATATCGGATCTTTCTATCGGAAAAATGCACCTATCGGACCGATAAAAAATGACGTAATTTCCCCCCAAATCGGCCGATATTTTATCGGTCCGATAAATATCGTGCATCCCTAGTTTTAGATATTTAGATAAGTATTTTGTTTAGTTAGGAAAAAAAAATAGTCCTCAAAACAGAAACATAAAAAAAAGAACGAAAAGCAGAATAAAAATTTGTCCGAAAAAAAGGAGAAAAAAAATTTTGTACAAAAAACAGAAGAGAAAAAATAGTAAATAAAACAAATAAAAATTAGTCGAAAGAAAAGGAAAAAAAATCTTTAAAAAAAAAATTTTTCTTTTCTGTTTTTCTTTTTGTAAGTGGATGCAATAAACTTCCGTACATTTTCTGCTTTTTTGGTTTGCATCAAATCTTTAAATGATTTGACTATTTATTTCCAAGCATGCATGTGACAGAAAATGCAGCTGATTTGATGAAAACATTGAAACCACCATCACTCACTCTGGTGATTTTTAGAGTAACACAGTAATCATGACAACATAAAGACTGATTGATCCTCACGTCCTCGGCTGAAAATCCGCTGCTGTCTCTTTAAAAACCTCTGCCTGACTCCTGTCGCACTGAAAATTGGAGAATCTGTCACAGTCTATATTTGTTCCTGCAGAGAAAAGACCGCTTTTCACAGACACACACACGGCTTCTCATTCTTCTTACTCCTGAAGGACCCTCACCGATCCTGAACTTCCCTCAAACCTTCCTCCAGAAGACACTGAAGTTAATCAATAACCAACAGAACAGAGATCCAAAGGGCCCCGCTCTGTCTCTTCATGCAGTTTAACACAATATGATCTGAAGTGTGTCAGTACAGATAGAAGGAGGAGGAGCTGCATGAACATCACTCACTGCTGCAGATACCATCAGAGTTGAGCCTTTAATGATAAAATGATGAGGACCATCAGTCTGAGTGACGGGAGGAGACTGACGGCTGCTGCTCAGATCAGAAACACATCAGTCTGTTACAAGCTCCGCTCAAACTTTCCTCTGCAAGACGCAACCTGGTCCTGGACTTTACTGCCGAAGACTCGCTCCTGATGTGTTGCAGCACATTTCAATCGCTATTACAGAACCAAGAAGAAGAAGCACCAAACGATGAATATTACGCTATACAGAGTTACTTGGCATCGTGAATTCAGACAGTCTAGTGTCGGAGCTCATGACAGGTTAATATTATAGATAAGGTTAAAATGATTCCTCAAATACCTCAATTATAAAAAATGATGGAGGAATTCTCTCTGCCTTGTTTTTAAAATCAAATCGTCACTGTTTTTTGCATGGATTATTTTCAAGGTGACACAGCGTGCTTACGTCACCACGGTAGAAGGAGGAGTTAGCGCAGTTTTGTTTTTGCAGAGCAGAAAAAATGAATGATGAGAGGGGCATTGAAATCTGCTAACGCACACGCTTGTTCCGCGTGCCTTGTTTCTAAAAAAAGGAAAACAATTGATTGATCAGTATTAAGTTCAATATCTTCTTCCTTTATATATTGATAATTTCATCTTTACGAGAAAACATCATGTTTTATCCGATAACTCAATTAATAGAAGCAATATTCGGAAAACTACTCGATTACTAAAATATTCGATAGCTGCAGCCCTAAATATCGAGCAAAACTGTTTCCCCTAGAAATTTTTGCAGCTGTGGTGGTGTGTGTGTGCTTGTGTGTTGCTTCTTGGTTCTAATTCAGCACATGATTGGTTCAGCGCGACGCAGACCCACAGAAACTCCCTTTTTCATTGGCTATTCATATAGTCTACCAAAACACGTCAGAATACCGACTATTGAAAAGCATATTGACCATGTTTTCTATCGATATCGAGGGAAAATCATTTCGATTTATATCGTTATTGTTTTATCGCCTAGCCCTAAGTTGGATGATTATGCATTTTGGGATAAGTTTTCTTTTGCATGTATTAAAGCAGACACGCCCACAACAGCGATCTAGAAGAACCTACAGGATGATGGAGCTCAGAGACTCCCAGAAGAGACTGTATTAGAGACTCTAATGGGACATTATTCATTCTGCAGTCCAGTTTGACCCTCTAACTCAACTTCTCTGTGCATGTAAACGTACTGCCTGGGTTCAGTTTAAATCACTTCAAAACGCTCAGTTTCCAAATAAGTATCAGGCGCCTGGACGATAAAACTGAAATGGTCTTTAGTAGGCCTGAACGATATATCGTTTGACTATCGTCATCGCGATGTACGTGTGTGCGACAGTCACATCGCAGAGCCTGCGATATTGGAGGTGAATGAACTCATTTAATTTCAAGGGTAACCGACTGAGATACACTCCATGTGACTCTGCATGTGCTGTGCAGCGATCCACCAATCGCCTTCGTCCTTAACTCAGTTGCCAATCAGACTCACTTCTCAGTTGCCAATCAGACTACCCTGCCAGCTGTCAATCAAAATCAGGGAGGAGAAAACCCACCCCTGCACATGTTCTGCACATGGAGGGAGACGTGTGTCCGGTGAGAATTACTTTCGGAACTTTACTCATGACTGTTAAGCCCAACAAATAAGAACTGTATGGGTTTTAAATTGTACATTTCCGTGGACCACTCTACTATAAGCAGTGCGCGTTTTGCGAGGTGCATGCAATTCTCGGAGGACATGCGTTTCTCGGCACAACCCCGCTAACAACAACAACAACGATCGCAAAATGAACAACGAACAAGCGAAAACCACCGAAAATGAAGATTTGTTGCCAAAAAGAAAAGGAAAGTCAGTTATCTGGAATTATTTCGGTTCAAAGAAGGATGATGTCGACCAAAACACGTCTTCTGTGTTCATCTGTTGCCACAATAACGTCCCAGCACAATAAAAGCTAAAAATATCTCTGAGACAGACAGAAGCCATTCTACTAACATTCACAAAAAGAGGTAAGATCAGAGCAGATTAACTGTCCTCAAGATTTCAGCAGTGCAGCATAACATTAAGTGCTATTCAGGTCATCTGGTGAAAATACTGTATTTTTAATATCGCAATATATATTGCAGGGTTGAAAAAATCGCAATATTTTTTTCCAATATCGTGCAGCCTTAGTCTTTAGTTCCTGATCCTGGAACCTGGTCTCAGAGAAGACGCAGGAGAGAGAGAGAGAAAGAGAGAGAGAGAAAGAGAGAAAGAAAGTGAAACCGAGAAACTCAGCAAAGCAGATTTTAATTAGTGAGTATTTTGGTTCTGGTAGTAAACAGCCCTCTGAATGTATTTGTCATGTTAGCTACATGATTTTCCTTGCAGCACTTTTTACTTGCAGAGATGTAGAGGTTGTGTTAATTTTATTCTGTGTGTGTGTGTGTGTTTGTGTGTGTGTGTGTGTGTGTGTTGACGCTGAGGTGAAGCTTCCCCGCAGGATTAAAGTGAACCATCATTTAACCGCTGTGAATCCTGATCAGCCTCGCTCAGCATGCTGAAGTCATGTCAGGTGCTGCCTTTGATGTCACCACGTTTTTTCCAGCGCCGGTGAAGGTGGAGTGGGTGCGGGGGTTGATTTGCATACAAAGCTATTCTTGACTCCTCTTTGTTCTTGCACACGGTGTGGAAGCAGCGGTAATTGTCTTCATTGTCAGAGGTGTTTATCTGCTGGGTTTCTGTGCAGATTTGGCGAGAGAGTGAAAAGATGGTTGTTTGGGATTTTGTGCTGAAGACGGTCTTCTGTTCTCAGCGGGACGTTAACGGTGCTGACCGTAACTAAGGCTGCTGCTCTGAATATGAATTTGCCATGAATTAAAAATGAATAATCTCTTTTAAAACGATCTGATGTAGAAACGCACTCGTCGATCGCTTTGGTGTCGCTGTTTCTGCCATCCTTTTGATGACCATCAGGTGCTCTCTGTGTTTTTTTTATGAGCTGAATATTATAAGGTGCAAAAGTTGCTGGAAGAAAGCTCAAATGCAAAGTATGGACTGTGTAGATGTATATTTACGTTGCAGCGCCCTCCTTGGAAACACATGTAATGACTCAAATCAGCTCAGCATCGATCAGCTCTGGAGTCAGCGGCTGCTGATCGAATGAAATTCATTGATCGACTGCACCCTAACTGTCTCAGAGCGCGAGTAAAATCATTCACGTGACTGAATTACATGTTAAGTCAATGCAAAGACGCGATTAAACGCTCCTACTACTCTGGCGGCGCGAATGACGCAAACATGCGAATAAAGCCAGTAAATACTTTTAATTCACGTGTCTGGATTCGCGTGAATTAAGCGAGTTGATGATTTTACTCGCGCTTTATGTGAGTGCCCCATTAGGCTTGAGTTGCACCTCTTTGTCTGTGTCTCAGCATGTTGGACCAATAGAAGAACATGATCTTCATGCTATTTGAGGATCTTTATGAGTGAACTCTGAACTTCAGGACCCTTCACACATGAGTTTGCATCTCTGTTTTTTACTGTCTCTGATAAAGTTTAAGTTTCTAAAGCTCCGTTTTCTATTTATTAAAGTCCTGCAGAAGTTGGATTTTCTTTTTCTCCGTACCCATCAGGCCAGTGAAAGATGCTGTGACTACATCCATCCCTAAAAAAACTATTTTAACGTGATTGTGGTTGATTCATCTTGACCTTTAAAGTATTGTTTTTCATTTCCAATAATCCAACAGACAAAATCTCCTGTTTTCTTGTAAACTTTCAGCTCTATCACATCCATGTTTTCAAACAGTTGTTTCATGGTTTACTAAATCAACAAATAAGCAAAGCTTGTCGTGAAAAGTTGGTGTATTGGCCCTTTAAATCCAGGCTGAACTGTGGTTGTGAGCCCTGAATGTTTCTGGATATGTGATAAACTGAGGCAGCAGATGTTAAGTACCTGCAGAAACCTACTTTCTCTCTCTCCCTGAACTAAATCAAACATTAAGAAGCTGTTGGATCATCATCAGCCTGTTTTTTCCCCTGGCTCATGAAAAGTTTCATTTTGAGGACGTACGGTGACGTGTTTAAATCCACTGAAGCCTGCAGAGCGAACCGTGAACCTCTGCAGCAGCAGCAGCAGCATCGTCTCATCTCACACTGGACTGCAGAGACTTCCACCCTGACAGCCAGCAGCTCTTTGAAATGCAAAAGCGAAGCACTCAGCTGAGATCAAAGCAGGTGTTTCCTGTCAGCCGGATCTGATCTGGTGTCAGTCTGCCGCTCGGCCCGCTGCTCCAAACGTGCTGCTGCAGTCTTCAGGCTTCAGGATGCTCACGACGCCTCCTTTACAGACTTCACCAAAGATGTCACCGCGATCCTCCGCTGAGGACCAGCACAGAAAACGAACAGATCTTTGATTGCTGGTTCTACCCCGGGCACATTACAGTGTCAGTTTTCCATAAGAGGATTTATAAAGAGTTTCTAAATCTGTACTCTGGATTTAAAAAAGCTTTACTGCACTATTTTCAGGTTCCCCTCAGAGGCTGATTCAACTCACCACCCTGTGTGTGTTCATCGATACCTCATTACTCCTTTAATTTTACAATCTTACGTTCGTCGCCAAATTGACTAAATCAATCCTGAATTTTACATATTTGTAAAAAACAACTAATCCTGGATCTAAATATTCTACTTTCTACTTCTCCTGTCTTTGAGCTGAACTTAAGAGTAAAAAAAACAGTTTCTGCCTCATTTATGCAGGCCAAGTGATAATAGTTAATCTTCGGTACGCTGTGTTGTGATTTCAGAAGAAACAGTTGGAGAATAATCAGATACAAAATAGTTTTTGCTCCGAATGATTCATTTTGTTCGCGGCCTCAAATGTCATATTTTAGCTGTATTAGCATTGAAACTAGCTTTAAAACCTGTGCATGTTGTTTATCTTCAGCTCAGATGATCTTTGTATATATCCTGTCACCAGTGGGGTTTCCCAGATTTTAAGGTTGCAGTTGGAGCTCCACAGGCAGGATTTCCAGGTGTACGATGATTATCGTATTTGTGCGATAATTTTGCCCTCTCTACGATGTACGATCAATAACCCAGAAAAAAGGCTAAATGTACGATAATTTGACAGTTTCGTGCAATAAAACTGTCTCAGTCTGCCAGACACTTTATTTTTCAGTTTTTTATTTGCGAACCCTGAAGGCATCTTAACCACATGATGTTTTCATCCAGTCGTCCAAACAACAGGCATGATTGGCTGTCCAGAGGAGGACGGTGATTAAAGGAAGCTGAAACCTTGTGTGAGGACGAGTTGATTTTTGTGTCTAAAATAGATTTCACTAATTTAAGTCAGATTACTCTTTATCTCTCTGTCTGTTATTATGAATACTGTTTCAAAAAGTAGGTGACCTCAAGGTCTCATGATTTGGCTCATTAGTTCCCACCTGTCATTTGTTGAAAGGGGACACATTAGTGTAACACTGCTGAGTTGGAGCTGCTGATGTGGGGTGGGGCGGTGAATGACCATAAAACTTTAAAACCATGAGTTCCTGTAGGATGCTATATAGAGGAACTATCTGTGACTATCATTCAACAGTAAGATTGTTATATATAATTCTATATTTCCCATTTGGCAACACCTCTTCTGTTTACCCTTTATAAGCTTCCTGTTGTTACGCTTTTCATTACTGATAGTTTAATGCTGCAGTTGGAGTTCCACAGGGTTCACTGCTTAGACCACTTCCATTCACCTTATACCAATAGTAAGGTTATTTATGATTGATAGTTAAATGCTTCAGTTGCTCATGTAACAAACATTTTATCAGGGACCCACTCAGATCACCACCTATAGGTCTTGTTGACTCATTACAATGAAAAGCTGTGAGCATCTTCACCTAAAATTACAGAGGATTACATTTCCAGATGATTCGTTCCATGAAGCAGCACCTGAGCGTAAACAGAAAGAGCCTGTCACAAACTTTATCTTCGTGTAAGAACAACCTGAGAGTCAAACGTGGGGCTCTCGGTGAAAAGGAGGATTTGTTTGATGTGTGTTTCTTCAGGATCTGAGAGTTTCTGTTTTGATAGTTTCAAAGGTTCCTGAAAAGTTTTGTCATTTTTCACACACACAGACGGTATTATCGGAGGCTTAAAAGGCGTTTGAAAAAGCCTCAAAAACTAAAAGGCTTTGTGAACATCTTGAAAGTATTTTAAGTTTTTTTTATTTGAAGATCAATTCAAGAGTTCAGAGACGTTTCTGAGGTTGTAAAGGGTTGTTTAGACGTATTAATGATGTAGGAGTAAAGTACAGTTCCTCACTCATTTGGTCTTTTGATAATGAGGTGAGATAACGTCTGATGATGATGATGATGACAGCGGCACGTTTCAAATCAGTCGGGACAGAATCAACAAAACACGAAAAAGAGTCGTGAAGAGGAGACCGGGGATGGTTGTGACACTTTTCTCTTCAGCTCCTGACACTCACAGAATTTTTGAGCTGAAGCTTTTAAATTTTTACACTATGAACCAACATTTGTTTACAGCAAAAGAAACATATTCAGTCCTCATGATGTGATGTAAAAATACAGGGTTCCTTTGTTTAAACCTGACCCTATCGTGGGGTGACTAATCCACATAAACTCTCCTGATTATTTATATATACAGTAAGTACAGTCTGGACATATTTAATATCTACATCAATGTAAATGTTTGATAGCGATGTTAAATCTGAATAAAGCCCAGAAGATGTGCTATATTAGCCGCTACATCTCAGACCATAATTAAAGTCATGTGACCTAAAGAGGATAAAACCACCAAGTTGGACAATACATGGTAACACCTTCTACTAAAGCCCTTATAATAAGCATTAATTAATAGTTATTATAACACTTATTAGATGCTTATAAACATTACTAATACATATAATTAAAACATTTATAGTTGCTCATCAGACACTCATAAAGGCTTGCATTAAAAACTTCATAATAATAAAACATTTTATTTTTAAGCGCCTTTCTGAACACGTAAGGTAACTTTACAGAGTGAGAACAGAAAAAAAAGAGAAGAAAATATGTAAATAAATTAATAAAACACTAAAAAAAAAGAAGAAATCAAATGTGTGACTCTTAAACATAAATCAGATTTTTTCAAAAACAGTTATTAGACTTTATAAGGGTTAATTAAACATTAATGAATATGTTAATTAGCTTGTATCACACTTTTAGAGAACTTATAACCAATTACAGAATATGGACAGGTTTTGAAATTCAATAAGATGTTTATTTACATTAATTTAACTGTGTAAGCTTTCAATAAAAGATTTTATAGGCTCCCCTGTACGCACTCACAGAAATCTTGACACTGATAGACTTTAATTAGATGTTCTTTCACTTTATTAAGACAGCAGAGGTTTAAATTAACCCTGAATTAACAGCTAACAGTGCTCCTTTTGCAGCTTTTGGATTTTAAATGTGGTTGATCGTCGTCATATTTGTAGATCTTGTCGTTTTAGACTCAACTAAAAACATAATTTTTTCTTCCTCATGACAGAGACAGAGTGGAGAGACAAAAACTTGATTGAACTTGACAACACAAATCCAGACTTCACTCGAGGTTCTAATATGAGCCTGAAGAAATCAGATTTTAGGAGGAGGTGAACGGTTACAGCGAAACATAGCTTGACTCTGTTTGAGGTATGCTCATCGCCAACAGGTGTTATGTTGAGTTTTGCTACCTTGTGGAAGATTGCCACTGTAACGCAAATGTGTTTTTGCGTCGGCTGATCATCATGGCTTCTTACAGGAGACTGTAAACACCAGAATGAAACCCCAGACTGTGAAGTTATCAGCCGTTAAGTTTCGTCCTCAGAGGTGACTTTGCTCAGGTGAAGCGCTCACCTTGCTCCTTTTTTTAGGATCTCCACGGAGGACGGTGAGGAGGCAGCAGCCATCATCCTCTCAGAAAGTGGGACGATGTTTGAGCCGCTGTTGATCGATGATGAAGTTTCTCCAATTTGTTATCGCTGCAGGTCGACGTGAGCCGGTATTCTTAGACCCACCTCACACACACACACAGACACACACACACACAGGTACGCAGCGTTGTCTTGGTGTAATCATTTCTCTGAAGGAGGTCGTCGTGTCTTTCCGCTGTTAAACACGTCGACATGGATCAACTTGTGATGGTGTATTTTGTCTTCTGTGACTTTGAGCAAAGTTACCCAAAGTTGAAGTGAAAGTGATGTTTTTTCATCTCCGCCGTTCGCCCTCAGGAGCTCAGCAGCTCCTCACAATATTGATTCATTTCAGTTTCCCAGATGAGATATTTTAGGGAGAAAACCCGACGTGCAGACTCGCGAAAATGATTGATAGCACAAAGTGGAAACAAGCGGTGGCGCTGGTTTTCAAAGGGCAGCCAGGAAGTTTTGTCCTCAGGTGACAGAACGTCTTTATTTAGAGTGAAATAAAACTCCGATAATGAGTTGAAGTCCTCAACGTGGAGTCTGAGAGGCATGACTCCGATTTAAGGAGGAAAAACAGCGAGGAATATTAGTGTCTTAAATCATTTAAAGGTGATTTAAGAAAGGCTGAACTCAATAAAGTCCATTAGTGGGAAAAACATCTGTTACAGCCCAACAGAAGTCAGATTATCTGATCATTAAAGGGCATCATTGTGTGTCCAGAACAAGGACGAGCAGCAAACGTCAAGAGTTGAACCAGCAAAGGATTGTAGATACTGTTCATGAGGCACATGCCTTATATCAGGAGGCCAAACCAGTACCCCATAGTTCTGGGGTACTAGTTTCCCCGCTGACTCCCGTCGCCTCTCAGGGGTGAGAATATGATACGATACGAAATGATATAATTCGATACCATATGATACAACATGGTACAATACAATATAATATGAAACAATATGATACGATACAATATGATATGATACAATACAATATGACGTGGTATAAATGTTATGATTCGATACAATATGATACGATACGATATGGTACGATACTATACAATAGGATACAATATGGTACAATATGATACTGTACAATATGGTATGATATGAGACGATACATTATGATATGATACAATAGGATATGAAATGATATGATGAGATACGATACGATAGGACATGATATTATACAATACGATTTAATATATTAATGATATGATATAATACAATACGATGTGGTATGATATGATATGCTACGATATGATAAGATACAATACAATATTGTACAATACGAAAAGATATGATATGGTAGGATTTAATACAATACGATATGGTACGATATGGTACGATAGGATAAGGTATGATGCAGTATGGTCAATATGAAACGATATGATACAATAGGATATGATATGGTATGATAAGATATGATACGATATGGTACGATATGATACGATAGGATAAGGTATGATACAGTATGGTCAATACGAAACGATACGATACAATATGATATCCACAGCACAGCTCCTGGTTAGGCTCTTGTGTTATCACGCATTGACTACTTCAACTTCTCACTGGTGGCCTCCCTGCGTTCACAGTCAATCCTCTGCAGGTGGTTAAAATGCTGCAGACCATCTGGTTTTCAACCAACCCAACACAGCACATGTCACTCTGCTGTCATGTCATGAAAAAGTCCTACAAATCTACATCAAACTACATTATCTCATGCCTACCTGCAGATCCTCATGCAGACCTACACTCTCTCCTGCTATGCTCTGCCAGTGAAGGTACCTGGTGCTTCCATCCTCCTCTGATGTCACTTCAGTCAATGACCAAACTCTACCAGATCTACCTTTAAGAAAAGTCCAGTGAAGTCGTGGAATGAGCTGGAGGACCGAGTCTGAACCACAGAAGCTCCACCTTGAGGATCTGCTGCACCTTCATATGGATAAATATGGATGAAAGACGGAGAAAGCAGCAGGAGAAGAAGAATGTGGAGCTTAATTAAGACTCATAGAGAAGCTGAAATGACTGATGTGTTTACAGGCTGTAGGAAACGAGAGCGCCTGAGGTGAGAAAGCAGCAAAACTCTGACACAGGATGTCTAAAACAACCCTGAGCAGCCAAAAACCCTGAGTGTAATATCCCCCCGAGGCAGACACACCGCTGTATCAGTGAGGTGACGCACACACACACACACACACACGAATACACACACACACACACAGTCCGGTGTGTACTGTTATCTCACAGCCACATGTGTGAGTGGGAGGCTGGCGTTTCCAAACCCATTTAAATTCCAATATCAGGCGTTATAGCTTATCACTCTCAGCGCAGCCTGAAACATTTTCTATACGTTGTTTATTTATGGAAAGAGTAATTAGACAAAGTTGTTTGGTCACATGTCAGAGAAACTTAAAGCATGTCATCACGCTGCAGAGGAGCGAGGAGGAGGAGGAGGTTCGTGGTTATGTTTACGTCGCTTCGTTTTCTACATTAACGCGCAGATGTTTTATAAAATAAAATAAATCTGCGTCCCTCCTGGTTAATATTCCCGCTGCGGCCTCTCCTCCGTCACCTTTCCCTCCTGCACAAATTAAACTCAGATTGGCCGCTCGCCTCCCGCTTGGAGGAGTAAATTAACTCGGGGAAATTGAATTTTTTAGCCTGAAATATTTCTGTCCCATCAGCTGATGGGTGGAGGTGTGGGGTGGTAGGTGTGTGAGATTAGCTCCAAAAATATCTGTTTTTTTTTTTTATTGCGCTGCAGTAATTTTCCTCGCTGTTTGTTTCCAAACTCGGACGAATCCTCCCGCCACGCCGCACGGTATTTCACACCCCTCGTAGAAACCAACATTTATTTACGTCCTAATAAGGTGGCGTCTTCCTCGACTTATGAAAGAAACTTTTCTTCTTCTTCTTCTCTGTGACTCATGGAGCCTTTTTTTCCCCCCTCCGTCTTTTGAAACTCGTCACTGCCTCTGAAAACTTTTTTCTTTCTTCCTCATGAAACAAACGGCTCCTTTCTTCTTTGTCCCATTACAGATAACATCCTGCTTCCTTCTTCAGAGCAGCCAGACTTCTAATAAGGATCCTCTGCTGTCTGTAGCTCTTAAAAAACCACCAAATATTGCAGAAAACACAAAAATAAGACCTGCTGGTGTTTGAACCTGTCATCGTCGGTGGTGTTGCATAAGAAGCTGCAGTTATATCACAGCCCCTCTGATTTTAACCCGGTTCATTCTCTCTCATGTTCATCGCTCTGATATTGCTGCGCAGGTCCATCAAAAGCTCAGATCTGATTCTCCAGTGTGGAGGATTTTAGTCCGAGAACAAAGGAATCAAAGAGACGTCCTATAGGCTGCTGCTCAGATTTCCTCCTGCTTCGTTTTACTACAAATAAAATCTAATTTTAGGACAAAGACTCTGGACTTTCCACCAGGTTTTTATGAGGAGAAAAGTGACAGTAGTGAGTGATAATATCATACACAGCATCACCTAAACTTGACTAGTTTTGACCTTAAAGAGATGCAACAATATAATGTGTCCAGATTTACACCTAATCTTACAGGTTTGTTTTTGTCGGCTGCTGATGTGTTTCTTTTGGACTTTATTCTGCTGCGTTTGAGGAAACAGGAGTTCAGGAAAAAAGGTTTTATTGATTTTATTTGCATATTGAAATTGCTCTAAGAGGTGCACTCAAGTATTTACAACTTTAAAAAGTGACCCTCCAGTGTATAAGAGTAAAAAAGAGCCCAATGAAGGCCCTGTCGGTATATATGACCAACAAAAGTGCCCTCTTAGCAACTTCTTTATATAAAACTTTAAAAACTTCCCATTTCAAGTCCCTTCTGTTGTAAAAAACTTTAAAAAGTGACTTCTTCTGATTACCCCTCCAGTACATAAACTTTAAAAAGTTAATGGTTGAGGCTTCTTTATGGAAATACATGTCCAGAAAAGTTCTGCTGAGGTGCCCTCAGTTCTACACAACTTAAAATATTTAGGATTAATTTGGTTTGCTCTGTACTTATGCCTGAAGAAGTAGTAGTAGAAGTGGAAGAAGAAGAAGAAGAAGAAGAAGAAGAAGAAGAAGAAGAAGAAGAAGAAGAAGAAGTTGGAGTAGTAGAAAAAGTAGTAGTCGTTGTAGTAGTAGTGAAAAAAGAAGAGGTTGTGGTAGTAGTAGTAGAAGGAGTAGATGAAGAAAAAGAAGTCATAGTAGTAGAAGAAAAAGACAAAAAAGAAGAGGAGAAAGAAGAAGTCGTAGTTGTTGTAGCATTAAAGGTAGAAGAAGAAGAAGAAAAAGAAGTCACAGCAGTAGTAGAAGAAGAAGAAGTCGTAGCAGTAGTAGTGGTAGTAAAAGAAGAAGATGAAGAAGAAGAAAAAGAAAAAGAAGTCCTAGCAGTAGCAGAAGAAGGAGAAGTTGTTGTGGTCGTAGTAGTAGTAATAGTAATAGTAGAAGAAGAAGTAGTAGCAGTAGTGGAAGAAGAAAAAGAAGTAGTGGTAGTAATAGTAGTAGAAGAAGTAAAAGAAGGAGAAGTAGAATTATTAGTAGAAGAAGAAGTTGTTGTAGTAGTAGTCGTAGTAGCAGTAGAAGACAATAGCTGCGTCCGAATTGCCAAGTAGTAGTCGAAGTAGTAGTCGAAGTAGTAGTCGAAGTGGTATCTAGCATGTCCGAATTGGCCACCGGAGCGAGTAGCATGCTACTTCAGATACTACTTCAGATGCTAGACACGCCCACATTGTAGGTTGGTCTCGGTGCATCCTACGGGCATGCTACTGACCCAAAATGCACCGCGGGCTTCTTCTTCGTTCTCTTAAAAGTTGTAGAAGCGCATGTGATGCTAGCGCCACCAGCTGCTCTGCCTATTTAAAAGTGTCGCGAACGCCGGCTGGCCACAGCAGCGCGCACCATGTCGGAGCAGCAGCAGCAGCAGCAGGCGGGACCGCAGCAGTACAGATGTAAGTTTCCTAAAAAATGTGCGGTTGTATCTCTTTGTCATGTCATGGTGTCATATTTGCCCAAGTAATCATTTTATGAGCAAATATGTGGCGACATCATGGAGGTAAAGCTCACTTATTCCATCATTAAACTGCACAGCTGCAGTACTACAGCCAGGCCCGCAGATGAGGGGCTTCAGTTACCACTGTCTGCACGGGCACAGTACCTACTCTCTGCCTGCGGGGGTCGTCTTTCCCCACCGCTCGTCTAGTGTGTCCGAATTGGGCCAACGTATTTAGTATGTAGGAGTAGGATCTAGCAGTAGCACGTAGCAGTAGCACGTAGTATCCGAGCGGGCAGTTCGGACGCAGCAAGTGAAGATGATAAAGAAGAAGAAGTAGCAGTGGTAGTAGTAGAGGAAGTAAAAGAAAAAGAAGTAGAAGTATTAGTAGAAGAAGAAGAGTTGTTGTAGTAACCGTAGTAGTAGTAGAAAAAGAAGAAGAAGAAGAAGAAGAAGCAAGACTTTATTGGAAATTGAATTTTGTTACTTTTCAAACTTTTCACCATGAAAATGTAAATGACTGGATTTCATAATTCTCTTAGTCAGACCTTTTAGTGGAAATACATCATAAAAAACACATTTAATGGTACCTACACACACACACACACACACACACACACACACACACACACACAGACAATAAATAGTACTTAAAAAAGATGCTTGAAATTATCCTGAAAAAAGTGAATAAAGAGAACCTGAAAACGTAAAAAGAAGGCATCACTCTATTTGAAAATCTGAACGCCAAAACTGAAAACAGACGCTGAGAGCTTCTTTAGACGATTCTTACCTGGTGAGTTTAAAGAGTGAACTTTTTAAAAAAGAAACTTAAAACCAGCTGTCATCAGATTCTGGTTAGGAGAAAATCATGAATTTTTACACAAAATTACCCAAATAATTTAAAATGGGACCTTCAGGGTGCTAAAACCAGACTGAAGCGATTCAACCAGCACACACACACACACACAGAGACACAAACACACACACACACACACACACACACACACACACACATGCACACACACGCAGAGTCATAATCAGCAGGTTATGTAAGATGGTATGTGTGACAGTGTGGGTTTGATTCGTCAACCTGGCTCTCACCTCCTGACAGTGAGGTGGGCGGGGCATCACCTCTCACCTCCTCAGTCTGCTGGGAGCAGATGGAGGAGTCGACGCTCTCTGTTCCCTCGTTCTCTCCTCAGACACACCAAGGAGACAGAAAAAAAAAACACCCACAGTCTTTTTTAGACGAGGATTACTTTACGCCGCCGGCCTCATCTGCATACGCCAGCTTTTCTTTACGTTCGCACTGACGTACATGAAGCTGTGGTGATGTTTACGAGCTCAGTGCTGCTGTGAAGGAAAGAGAAGTTGATGATTTTTCAGGCTAACAGTTGAATCTTTAATTTGTGTCTGAGCATGATGGGCTGCTCATGATTATTTTCATCATTCATTAACTTCCTTTGAAGCCCAACAGCACACAAGCAAGAAGACATTAGTACAGACAGACGCGTCTTTACACTCTGCATCTTAATGCACGGTTATAGCTGTATCCATGCAGCCTGCAGATATATGGAGGAGGTCTGATGTGTGGTCGTTGTTGTTTTGGCGTGAAGGAGGACGGTTTAATACGAGGGTTTTTAAAGGCTACCATGAGTTTTTACAAACCTGAGCTCCAGGTTCAGACTGAAGAGAAATAAAGACTGTCGGGCTGTCAGAGTTGACCTGCTGATAGTGTGGCGACGCAGTTTCAGTTTGACGCCACAGATTTTTTATTGGTGTGAGTAACGCACATGTGGTGCAGCAGGAACGTGGAGGGCAAGTTCAGACAAAACTCCCTGAGCCTGAACGGGTAAAACCACAGAAATGTGATTTTATTGAGGACCTGGTTTTGGCGAATTTCATCATCCAAAAATCAGGAACGTTTGGCAATAATTGGGTTTATATATGTGGCTGATTCAATTAGTTATGAAATAAGAGCACTTGTTTGGCTTTGGGTCTGTTCTGGGGGATATGGCCTCAAATCAATGTCATGATATATTGATCAGTCTTCGATAACGATAAATGGACGATAACTACTCCACCAGCTGCTCACCCCCTCCCACATTAACTTCGTCTACTTCAGCTGCTCCAACTTATGAACCGTCCTCCATCTCCTCACCTGTCTTTCCCTCTTTGTTACAGACTGGATGGGGTGGAGTCACGTCTCTGATGTAGGACAGAGTCTTAAAGGGACATGAGACCATAGCCTACCTACACACATCCAAAACACACTTTGATTGATTTATGTTTTTGACACCAATATGGGCAAAATGACATTAGTTATTGTCATAAATTTCGGTATCAGTAAATTTTCGGTTTATCGCCCAGCTCTATGTCCCGCCCACAACACCACCTGATTGGCTCGACTAACCTCAGGCGAAAGTGGTCAACGGTTAGTCGTCCAAATAAGGTTTTTTTTGTGCTGAAGTTTTTCAGGTTTACATCAGAACAGAATAGAAGTTGTCGGCCCACATAGAGAACTAAAACCCGTGTCGGTATCAAACCTGAAAAAAACAGTGTTGGTTGTCACCGGCTCACGGGTCCGATGGTGTAACGTTGTGGTGTATTTCTGCACTTTCATCAGGTCTAACATCCTCATCTCTTTAAAAATCTCTCCCCATCAAACTGACATGAAAGTTTCTGCTAAATCGTTTTGTTTTCGCTTTTCTCTTCGCTCAGTTTTTGGATTTCTGCCGCAGCCGTCTTGTTACTGTCGTCTTTTTTTGGCTCCAACTCGACAGAGTCTGATTCCTCTAATGGGATTTTGCTGTGTTTGATTTGTCAGACTGGAGGGTTTACATGTGTTTTTTTTATTTTTCTGTTGTGGTTGTTTTGTATTTTCCCTTTTCTTTTGGCTGGAGCGGAGCACAAACGTTGGTCTTTGATTGGTCTTTGACAGTTCGCTGCTGCTGCTGCTGCAGAGGCAGACGTTGGTACGCCGTGTTCGGGCTCCTGATGGAGCTTTGTACTGCTGGTCTGATGAAACCTTGATGCAACACGAACCCTCAGAGCTGTTTGTAGAGGAGACAACATACAGCATGAGGACAAGATATACAACACAGAGTCCATGTTCAGACGAAATGATAAAACAGAAGGTTTCAACCCTCAGACTTTGAAGGATTTATCTTTCATACAGACACAGCCAATCACGGCAGAGAGCTGGAGGCTGAGACACCTCAACATGAACTGTTAGCTCGGTACACACTGAACCACGGACATTAGACCTGTTTACATGGAGGATTTCTTCATTCTGATACTGGTTCAAGTCTAACATGTGTTTCAATCAGGACTTCAACAAGTCTATATTCTGCTCCGTCCCTCTGTCTCAGCTAGGGCTGCACGGTATCGTAAAAAAACTATACAGAGATGTGAAATATCAGGAATAATTCCAGTTAAATGAGCTCCCTGTGATCCTTTCATGTGCAAACAACATTTACTACAACTGGGACGAGCTGGAATACATTCGAAGATACACTCGAACAGTGACGAGTGCGTGTTTACAGTCTGCAGGAGACACACAACAGAGCGTGACGGCCGTCAGTTTTTTATGTGAGGGCTGTGTTAAGATTATTACACACCGGGGGCGCATTTGCAAAATGAATAGTTTCATTCCATATATCGTATCAGTGCGCGTCTCATCCTGTCACAATAGTAACGCTGACCAACGAGAGCAAAGAACTCTCTGCATGTGCAAAAGTCAACAAACGGCAAGAAATTTTTTTGCATTTTCAAGAAAACAGAATAAGAGACGGTATATCGTAAATATCTTTGATGGCTGCTAATAGAGTATGATCTCAGCCTGAGATGCGTTCAGGTTCAGTCCGTCCACTTCACCGCCTCTCTCTCTCTCTCTCTGTCTCTCTCTCTCTCTCGCTCTCTCTCGTGTCCCTGAACATCTCTGATCACTTAAACTGATGAGCCGCCGCTCTGTTTTTCTCTTTTTGAAGGTTTCTTCTTCACTGTCCTTCACACATCGATTTTTTTTCCACTCCTGAGTCCCCCTGATAGATGGAGCCTGTTTCAACCTGCAGGTGTGTGTGTGTGTGTGTGTGTGTGTGTTTGAAGTGTGTGTTACAGCACATGTCAGGACACACTTCTGATGTTGAACCGCTAAATAAGAAGAAATCTGTTGAACTCGTTTACAGACTGTTTCTGCAGAAGAGATTATTCCTGTCCGCTGTTTTAATGATTTCCTTCCTGATACCAGATCATATTTGACAACCCAGACCCCAGACCCGGTCTAACCCTAAACCTGAGCATTCATGGAAATGATCTGTATCATTGCAGACATTCAGATCTGGAGGAATTTCTGCTCCTCCTCCACATTTGGAGTTTTTTTTTTACCGCATTGCTCGACTGTTCTTGTGTTTCACTCCCGTGTTAAATAACCAGAGTCCTCAGTTCACACCCGCCTCCCCTGGTGTTTTGAGGAGGCCCTGCTGTCTCCATCATGTACCTCCTGCGGCTGCAGAACAAACAGCGTGTTCGTTCATTAGTGGGCTGACTCTCTCCTGCGGGCCCCGGCGTTACCCCGAGCTGAGGATGGGGAGCGGAGCAGACTGTTTGGGATCTCCTGCTGCCTCCACATGTACAGCTGCAGGAGCTCAGTGTGTTAAATATTACAGACGAACGACTGCGTCTTCCTGCTGCACAACGTCAGCTCAGAGGGATGGGAACTGTTGGATAAACAAGAATCTGTCAAGAGAGGAGAGAGACGGACAAACAGAGGGAGAGACCGTTTAGAGATGTAAAGGAGGTGGAGAGAGGAGAGAGCAGAGAGGAGAGAGCAGGTGGATGTGTCACTCGGGATTTCCACAGCATCCGGAATCACCAACTCCTACCTGTTCCGATAGTGAGGTGAATTTCATCGCGGATTACAGACAGCAGGAACGCAAGAACTCACAAGATCCAGCAGAATCACGTTCAGTCGCGCGATAACAAGTTGTCTCTTAGCCACAGAGGCTAACCGTATAAGCAGTAGATTGTGTCCTTCCAGAGGAGGAAATCTACTTCTAGACTTCTAGAATCAGCATCTCCTCATCCATGGTGTCATCAGGGTGAAATGACGTCTAAAAACCTTTCACTTGTTCATCTCCGCCCGTTTGCATGGTGTGAAATACGATCCTTCTGAAACACGGAGTGTTTTATTTTGAAAAGAAGCCGGATGTTTTATTTTGTGTCTGTGCCTGACTTCCTTTCCAGCACGGGTTCATCTTTGCTGAATTTATCCGCCATGCTCCGGCGTCTGGAAAAACCAGAACTCTTTCGATCAGCTGAGGAGTCCGGCGATCCGCAGAAGAATGGAAAGAAGTTGGTGTAAATTGACACGTTAACTTGAATGGTTACGATCAGCTACGATCGGAGGATACGACCTTTTCATAGACGTTCCAGATGAAGTGGAAATTGGGGGTTAGTGCGCCTGAAAAGCCACTTTCAACTTGGGAAATAAATGCACCCTTAACCTCATTTAACCTCCACAGAGATCCAGATTACAGAAGTTTATCTGAATCGCTTTGCTCTGCCTGGCCCTCACACGCACGCACGCACACACACACCCTCAGACCCTCAGGTAAACCGAGAGGTGAACTCGATATGATGGAGGTTAACAGAAAATATCAAAGTCAAACAGAGTTCAGAGAGAGAAATTGACACCTCAGGTAAATGACAACTTTGGATCCAGTGTCCCGTGCGTGTGTGTGTGTGTGCGTGTGTGTGTGTGTGTGTGTGTGTGTGTGTGTGTGTTAGCCTTACACTGCAATATTGATACTAATGGAGAGAAAACTTGAGATCACAGTGTTTGACAGAAAAGTGAATCATCCATAAAATGTAGATTTATTTAAAAAAGAAACTCAGGTATGATATTTTCTCGCATTTTTTTTCTTTTAGTTTTTCCTCACAACAGTTTGTCATGTAATTATATTTTTAAAGGAACATTTACTTCATTTTAGTGATTTAAGTTTATTATTTGCTGCATGAATGTAAAATTTAAGACTTTTGAGAAATAAGAGACTCGTCATCAACGTTGGTCTGAAGATGCTAATTTTTGACGGAGGTCAGGATTATTATTTTCATTTCATAAAGTTCGTTAAACATATTTTTTATTACAGTAGTAAGACGGATATAGACTGATCAATAACATATTTTTACTAATATGCTAACATGCTGCAACACAGCTGTGAGGGCACTTAGTATTAATTTATTGAATTATTGGAATAATAACAATAACTAATTGATTCATTATTGCTAATGGCTAATTTTTTATTTTTATTTTTCCTTTTTTGTGATCATTTTTTCCTTTTGTTTTTCATTACATTTCCATTTATCCACACCCCTTGTACCTACTCTTGTCCAGGGGTAACATAAAATTTAGGCGATTACAGGGAAGAAAAAAAAAATAATAATAAATAAATAAATAAATAATAATAGTTATAACAATAATAGTAATAATAATGAATAAATAAATGAATAAAGAAATAAATAAATAATGAATACATGAATGAATAAATAAATAAAGAATTATTTAAAAAATAAACAGCAGTGTCATCAGCAGATAGAAAACATAGTCAAGAGATAAATGGATAAAATGCAAAATAAAAGAAAGGAAAAAAAATATTCTGTCAATAATTTTAATGAGTGGGAAAAAAAAAGTGCTTAAACTCCAAGAACAAGGGTCGACTGTTGATCATGTAGCAGTCTCTCTCTCTCTCTCTCTCTCCCTCTCTCTCCCTCTCTCTCTGTTTGATGGATTCAGCACACAGCCTTAGGTAATAATAGCCATGATGGATTCTCAGCTGGTCTGGGAAGCTGCAGCTCGGTCCGGGATGATAAAGATGTTCTGGAGCTTCTGCTGCTGCTCCGCTCGGGGTCCGAGGGGCCCCGAGTCCAGGAAGATATTAATGACAACCTGCAACACCATTGGTCATCGGCTAACAAACCTTATTTTAGCGCGAGAGCATCCATCTGCCCCCAATTACACAGAGAAAGAGAGCCGGCATTCATCAGGAGTAATGTTATAATGAGAGTTCAGTTATTAGTGTGTCTGTTTGCACAACAACATCAACATTATGACCACAGCAGCATCTTTTTAAGTGTGTTTCATAACCTTTGAGAATCATCAGTCAGCATGTGTAGATTTACTATTATAAGACTGAAGGTCATCAGGTTAAAATGAAGTTTTCTGGTCAGTTTATTTCTACAGTTGAACGTCTGAAGATGTACAAACCTGCACGAAGATGTGCAACGTCCTGGTATCTGTGATAGCGCCTCATGTGCATGTTTGCATTCTTCGGTAATAAGATGTAGATACAGACACAGCCTGCACAAAGGTGAGTGTCTGTTTGTGTTCACAGTAATTTCAGATGGACGTAAAACTGCCCCCAGATTTTCACAGGATACGGAACGGCTACGCTTCGCTCCGGAACGGCAGCCTGATCAAATACACAAGGATTATAACCAATGTTTGTGATCCCACACAATGTGTCTACTGTCCAGCTCCGCTGCGGATCCAATGCGGAGGTCAGATCAGATACGCAAAGTTTCTATTTTTGCTGGATGCAGCAGCACAACGCATCAATTCAATGCAGCGCAGCACGAGCGGCAGTGGAAGTCGTATGTGGCTACAGAGTAAAATATCCGGTTAATTTTCAAACAAATTAAAGTCGATCCGTTGACCTGTTCTTCACGTGATAATGGGAGGGGCCAGGGTCGTGGATGTGGGTGTAAATATACATCGCCGATCTCATTCAATGTCTCATGGTGAAACACACGAGATCTCGTGAGATTTCATCCAGTCTTGCGAGAAATATCGGCAATATTGCCAGCGCTTCTCTTCCGCTTCCGGATCCGATGGACGCTGTAGGATTATGTTTTTGATCCACCTGCTGTTCAGGAGTGGAGTGTAGTGAATCTGCATGCAGTGGAATCCCGGAGCAAGGGTCTGTCTATATCTAGGTATCCTGATCCTGATTGGTCTGATATCAGCAAAAAAAGGAATATCGGAATATATCGGCCTGCATCTAAAGTCTACGATATCAGCACTCTGATACAAGCAGTCCATTCCAGACTCAGTGCAGGGATCCAGCATGCAGAACCCACGTGATCACGACATCAGTGTGAACTACGGTACAAACAAAGTAGAGAGGAGTCGGAGTGATGTCGGCCGTGCGGCAGTATTTTTTGTCTAATTCGGAAAAAGACGTTGCAGCTGAGTGCAAATCTTGTCGTGCACAATACAGACGGTATTGTATCGTATCAGAAGTAAAAAGCTTGTGGTTGCATGGTTCTGCAAAGTTTCACAGACTAATAGAGATAAACATTGTGCCCTGACTCTTAACATGTGTTAAAAACATGCCTGAAAGTGTCTTCTCACTAATTCTCAGAGAACTGAGGTTGTTGGTTTGTCTGTTTTCGCAGCAGCTGTGCAGAGATGTTCTGAGTCATTTATCGGTGCAGCAGTACAAACCTTTGAGCTTTTTTTCCCCCATGAGCGCTGCAGCCCGCGGCCTTTGCAGGGCAGCAGAGATATTTCAGAGGTTTCTGGACGCTCCGCGGGGACGAGCGAGCCGGCCTCTCTCTGTCTCTGCTGTCCTGTTTTTAGCTCCTGAACGTCTGCTGTGATTTATTCAGCCTCTCTGCTGCTTCTGCTGCTGCTGCTGCTGCTCAGGTGAGAGCTGCTGCACCAACAGGATGAATGAACGGCTGTCACACCTGCTCACTCTCTCTCTCACATATATACAGGTTTATTTAAGGCTGCCAGTGCTGCCCACTCTCTCTAATATATGTGCTGAAATTAACAGTGCATGAACATAGAAATCAGGCTAACTCAGGTGTGCAGAAACCCAATAAAAATTAAGTCAAAGCATCGTTTCCTAATTCAGTCTGGACACAGAGGAGGAGGAAAGCCTGATGTCTGACTGCAGCGCCCTCCTCGTCATACAACAGTTCAGAGTCAGAGAGGAGCCGTCTGTATTAAATCCACACCTTTATTCACTTTTCCACCTCCGAGGCAAATAAAAACATCTTTATTACTTCCCTCTCATCCCTCTCACTTCACTTTTCTTCCTCTCGCAGTCTCAGACTTTCCTCCTTCACCACTTTACTCCCAATTCAGCGTTTATTTTGGTCGCCCGCGGCAAGGTTACGGATAAAAGGATTAAGTTATCGTCTACCAGTTTAACGTTCTTAAACTCAGGCTGACGGCCCCCCTGAAAATTGACAAGATGGATGCTGGGGAAGCGCCATTCAATACACATTAAAATCATTTCCCCTGGTTTATTACACAGAGGGCTGCTGGAGTTTAAAGCCTCAAGAGTTCGGAGCTGAAAGACGGAGCACAGGTAGGATGTCGTAAGAAATAAACTGTTGTTGCAATTATATAATATATAGTAGGGCTGCACGATTAATTGATTTTAAAAAGGATTATTTGATTATAATGATGTTAAAAACATTAAAATCATCAATTGATTTTCCTCTCTATCATAGTAAACCACTCCCCGCTGCAAAGTCTGTCTGAAGGCGGTATCAACCCGTCACCACGGAAACAAATTCAGGAGGAAACGCAAAAGTTTTTTGTCGTAACAGCGTTTCAGGTGACTGTAAACGGTACTTTTTGAAAACAGGTCAGAGAGTGAATAAATCTGTAAACGACGACCATTTCATCTCCGTGTGGATGTCTATCTGCATCTCTGGAAACGATCATGTGACACACAGCGTGACTCTTTTATAGCGCCTGAGCGTGTCCGGACAAAACAACCTTAATACGCATTCTCTGTACTCTTCTTCTTTTTTGCATTTCCTGTGCAGCGTTACAGCGCCACCTAATGGCTTGGCATATGCACTACATCGTTTTCAGTGGTTTCATTTTGAGAGATAATAGGAAAAGTTTTTATTAAAGTGAAGTTTGGTGAAGTTGTCACTGAATAAAAAAATCTGAAATCGAGTTTTCAGAGAAAAAAAAAAATCTGGATTTTATTTTTGTCCAAAATCATGCAGCCCTATTATATAGCTAATAATAACAAACCTTCATAATTGAAGGTGTGGCTGAAGGAAGGGAGAAACCATGTCTAACATGAACTCGTAACACAATATCATATTGTTGGTATGAATCACACATCGCTCACTTCCTCCTTTCACACAGGCCTGACCGAGTCTGTTCAATCTCTGTACCAGAGTTCAGCGTGAGAACCGACTGTGTGTGTGTAATCACTGAAGTAAACAAACAAACAGACACAAGTACACAAACAGATAAACACACACACGCACACACACACACACACACACGCACGGCAGTCTCATCAGCAGCAGTGAATCTGCAGCCCCTCACCAACACCCACCCTGTTCCCAGCAGATGTCAGTGTTACATAATGGCTCTCTGATGTAACACACACACACACACACACACACACACACACTCTAAGCATGTGTTCACAGACGAGGACATGAAGAGATTTTTCTGATCTCTGGCACAAATGTCGTGAGAGCACCTGTAAATCTGAGGGACAGAAAAAATCTACAGTTTTCACCTGAATGAGACGCTTTTCAGATTCTTCTGAATCACAGAGGCCGTCATGTTTTAACTGATGAACAGAAAAAACATTTAAAAAATAAACTTATGTGCTCATTTTTTTTTTATAAATGCCTCACAGGAGCTTTAATGTTTCTAGATTCATGAGATGTGATAAAAATGGAGATTCAAGTTACTGATCAGCTGCATGTTTCAGGTCCTTCAATCATAAGAGAAGTTTCTGCTCAGAGGTGAGGATATATCAACACTGTCATTGGGATTATTCAGGCAGACATCTCAGTCTGACTCGACTGAAGTAGCTCTCTTCTAACAGGTGCAGTAAAACCTGCAGAGACTGATTCATGTGGATTAATTTATGCTGTTAAAACGCATCAAATCTGGTTTGAATATTTTTTAAAAAGTGGAAATCTTCTCAAATTTCTGTCTGAACAATCAAAAAAACTAAATCTAATAATGAGAAAATGATCTTGTCTCTCTATCTGCGGCATAATGGACAGAAATCATCTCAGAGCTGCTGCCGAACTCTTGACCAATTTCTTCACCTATTTTATCTGGTAAATCAAACACTTGAGTGTAAAGAAAGACCAAAAGTAGTGACCCATAAAGACTAAAACTAAAATACTTTCACTTTTTATTGATTGACACTAAATTACCGAACAAAATTAATGGACTGAAAAAAGACTAAAACTAACAAGCACATTCGACTAACAAGTCTGTATCTAAAAGCTGCCAAAATTACTCTGATATTTAAAACACATAACAGCCTGAAAATGATGAGGAGGTTTGATATAAATCCAGCGAAATTTAGGTAAAAAAAAGGATCTGTCAGACAACAAAGACCTTATATATCGAGCCCGGGTTCACGGTTGGTTCACAGCATCTCGTCTGTCTGCAGGACAGCAGTCAGTGCGCAGATAACACACACACACACACACACACACACACACACACACACAGACGCACGAGTGTTACAGAGCTGTGTTTACCCCTGAGGCCTCGACAGAAACACACTCACACAGAACTTGTCAGTAGTACTTAAAAACCCGGCACCTCCAACATGTCACTTCACAGGACTGAAGGGAAGCAGCTTTGATTTTAGACTGAAGGGAAGAACTGAAATAAACACGGAAGGATAAAACCGTCTAGAACATCAAGTCAGGAAGAGTCCAGAGACCGGTGCATGTGCGAGACTGCAGATACGAGCTGCTCGTGTGCACACACAGCTGAACCTAAGTGTTATAAGAACTACATGTCTTACTGAAAGAGTCCTCTAGAGGGCACACCGGAGAGATCAGGCTGTGTGCAGTCCTTGGTTTCATGAGACACTGCAGAGATCACTGTTTTGTGAAATATTGGTCTGAGTCCCTGGCTTGGTTCCATTCAGTTCCCGGTGTAATCAGTAAGAAATCTGTTGGTTCCACTGGGGATTGAACCCAGGACCTTCTGCGTGTAAAGCAGACGTGATGACCACTACACTATAGAACCTCTTCCATGGTTGTGTACAGATGATAGTGTTGCTGCTGTCACTACCCGATACACATCTCTAGAGAGAAATGTAAAAGACAATGGCAGGGCTTTTTGAGGATCTTCATAAATTTATCTAATTGGTACGACTAGAGAAAACAATTCTCCAGCCTCCAACTGTGAGGTATTTAGTGGTCTGTCCGACCTCCGCCTCCTCTAAAGCTGCCTCTGTTTCTGGCTCCTATGCAAAATATACATTACCACTAGCTCCACCGCAGTCACCAGTTTTCTTTTTGTTTGTTGTTGTCAGAAACTTTTGATACTGGCCTGCACCCTGGGTGATGTAACAGTTGGCATCCATGCCGATGTAAAGAACACAAGGAAGTATGTGGACAATTACGAAACCATCATTTGAAACAATCGTGTACATTTTCGTACATATGGCAGGTATAAATCTAAAGTCTGGACCAGTATCTGGAAGAGCCTACACCTTTAGGAGTAAAAGATATCTGTTGGTTCCACTGGGGATTGAACCCAGGACCTTCTGCGTGTAAAGCAGACGTGATGACCACTACACTATAGAACCTTTTCTGTGTTTGTTTACAGATACTACTTCAGCTGTTTTTGCAAAGACTTTGTATCAAAGGGACGTTTGGGTAAAGTCTGATCAAAGTTGGGTTGAATTAGCTCAGACAGTTTTTTTACCGTATGTGTTGGCTTTCTGTGGATATCAAGACATGGACAGAACTTCTAAGTCTGGACCAGTATCTGGAAGGGCCTCTACCTTTAGGAGTAAAAGATATCTGTTGGTTCCACTGGGGATTGAACCCAGGACCTTCTGCGTGTGAAGCAGACGTGATGACCACTACACTATAGAACCTTGTGTTGGGCTCAGTTTATGGTCCTAAATGTTGGGTTGAATTAGCTCATACAGTTTTGAGCCAATATGTTGGCCTTGTGTGGATATCAAGACATGGACAGGTCTTCTAAGTCTGGACCAGTATCTGGAGGGGCCTCCACCTTTAGGAGCATAAGATATCTGTTGGTTCCACTGGGGATTGAACCCAGGACCTTCTGCGTGTAAAGCAGACGTGATGACCACTACACTATAGAACCTCTCCACAGATGCTAGCTCAGCTGGTTTTGCAAAGACTCTGTATAGAAGGGACATTTGGGTAAAGTCTGGTAGCATTAGTTAAAACAGTTTTTTGGCTTTTTGTTAATATCAAGACATGGTCTGTGGTTGGACATGTATCCCAAGTCTGGACCAGTATCTAGAGTATAAGATGTCTGTTGGTTCCACTGGGGATTGAACCCAGGACCTTCTGCGTGTAAAGCAGATGTGATGACCACTACACTAAAGAACCTTTTCTCCTTTTGTTTACAGATACTACTTCAGCTGTTTTTTCAAAGACTTAGGGAATATTTGTGTAAAGTTGGATAAAAGTTGGGTTGAAATAGCTCAAATTGTTATTTTCTTCTACTACTTATGAGGGCCTTCTGTGAATATTAAGAACTGGTCTGTGGTTTGACAGGTCTTCTAAGTCTGGACCAGTATCTGGAGGGGCCTCCACTTAATGGAGCATAAAATATCTGTTGGTTCCACTGGGGATTGAACCCAGGACCTTCTGCGTGTAAAGCAGACGTGATGACCACTACACTATAGAACCTATCCACAGATGCTAGCTCAGCTGGTTTTGCAAAGACTCTGTATAAAAGGGACGTTTGGGTAAAGTCTGGTTGCATTAGCTCAAACTGTTTTTTTACCGCATTTGTTGCCCTTTTGTTGATATCAAGACATGGTCTGTGGTTGGACATGTATCCCAAGTCTGGACCAGTATCTAGAGTATAAGATGTCTGTTGGTTCCACTGGGGATTGAACCCGGGACCTTCTGCGTGTGAAGCAGACGTGATGACCACTACACTATAGAACCTTGTGTTGGGGTTACTTGATGGTCCTAAATGTTGAGTTAAATTAGCTCATAGATTTTTAAGCCAATATGTTGGCCTTCTGTGGATATCAAGACACGGTCTGTGGTTTGACAGGTCTTCTATGTCTTGACCAGTATCTGGAGGGGCCTCCACTTAATGGAGTATAAGATATCTGTTGGTTCCACTGGTTATTGAACCCAGGACCTTCTGCGTGTAAAGCAGACGTGATGACCACTACACTATAGAACCTAGTGTTCGGGTCAGTTTATGGTCCTAAATGTCAGGGTGAATTAGCTCATGCAGTTTTTAGCCAATATGTTGGCCTTGTGTGGTTATCAAGACATGGACAGGTCTTCCAAGTCTGGACCAATATCTGGAAGGGCCTCCACCTTTAGGAGTATAAGATATCTGTTGGTTCCACTGGGGATTGAACCCAGGACCTTCTGCGTGTAAAGCAGACGTGATGACCACTACACTATAGAACCTTTTGTTTTGGTCAGTTTATGGTCCTAAATGTTGGGTTGAATTAGCTCATACAGTTTTTGACACATATGTTGGCCTTGTGTGGATAACAAGACATGGACAGATCTTCTGAGTCTGGACCAGTATCTGGAAGGGCCTCCACCTTTAGGAGCATAAGATATCTGTTGGTTCCACTGGGGATTGAACCCAGGACCTTCTGCGTGTAAAGCAGACGTGATGACCACTACACTATAGAACCTTGTGTTGGGGTTACTTTATGGTCCTAAATGTTGAGTTAAATTAGCTCATAGATTTTTAAGCCAATATGTTGGCCTTCTGTGGATATCAAGACACGGTCTGTGGTTTGACAGGTCTTCTAAGTCTTGACCAGTATCTGGAGGGGCCTCCACTTAATGGAGTATAAAATATCTGTTGGTTCCACTGGGGATTGAACCCAGGACCTTCTGCATGTAAAGCAGACGTGATGACCACTACACTATAGAACCTCACGTTTGTATCAGTTCATGGTCTTGAGATATCTTTTATTCCCCCACAGTCGCTGGTACGATGTCAAAAATGTTGTCAGTAGTGGATCCAGCTGAGAAGAATGATGAATTTGGGTGTCATTCTGAAGATCTAGTTTTAAAGGTGGTTCTGAGCATCAAGCAGCTTAAAGACATTTCATAAATTTTTTCCTAATTTCATACCATCACAGGGACCATACTGTATTTCCTTGGCCATGTGCAATGCTTTCTGTTCACGTTTGTGCAAGCAGCTTTGAGAGGAGCATCCATCGGGTCCATATGGAGGCCCTGAGGGTAAGAGGGGGATAGCGAGCATTTGTGAGGGTGTGTATGTGAGAAGGATTTGAGGAGGGCACACAGAAGGCTGAGCAGCATGATTCGGTCTCAATATGGAGTCCAACTGGAGCGTCACATCGCAGATTTAATATATGCAACAATGGGCAGCATGGAGGAATCATATAGCTTCTTCCTCAGTGCCTCCATTGTTGTCTAGCAGCTGTTGTTCAAATCAGAGCTTCAGGAGTCAGAGATAAGGTAGTCCTCAGACCATCAGACGCCGTTAAACTGTTTTAAATAAATTAACATCCTCAACAAGGTTCAAACGACTCTCTTATTTACAGACGTGGATCAAATCTGACTTCTTATGTCTTCTCTGTGATGATTCTTGTTTTCTTCAGCAGCCATGTTTATGCTCCGTCCGTTACTTAAAGGCAGAGCAGGGACTTTTGGTGACCGCAGACACCTCCACGTTAGCGTGTGAAGGTAGGCAGGCTGGTGTGTTTGGTTGGCGGTGCTTCTCCAGCTCACAGAGCTCGTAAACACGGCGTGTGGAGCAGCTTCAGTTGCAGCAGCAGTGTGTCGGTTGCGTTTGGCTGCTGGTGATAAGCTGCTGCTCTTTCATGTGGCAGAAAACGTTATTGTGGTTAGACAGGAAACAACTACTAAGAGCCCTTTGTGCATGTTTTTATTGCTCCCCTTTTGCCACAGGAGTGTAGATGCACGGTTCTCTTCTGCCTTATAAGACAAACTTCATGTTTTCAACCCCAAAAACAAATCAAAGGTGAAAACTTTGGGGTTATTTTGAATTTGATGCCAGTAACACATAAAAAAAAGGTTTGCAACGTGAGGTTGAAACGAAAGAGGATTAGGGCCACTAGAGGAAAATAAAGATAATTACAGGTTGGATTTTTTCTTAATTTACATTTCGAGATTAAAGTCGACATTAAAAAAAGTCAAAATTTCTTCTTTATTCATGGTGATTTCAATCTTGAAACTTTGACTTTAATCTCAAAATTTTAATTATTCTAATCTTGAAGTTTCGACACTATTCACAACATTTTGTAATCCTGAAATTTCAACTTTAACTCAAAATTTCAATTTTTAATGTTGAAATTTCAACTTTATTGTCAGTTTTTCTATCTTGAAATTCCGACTTTAATCTCAAAAATTACTTTGTTTTTTCTTCATGTGGCCCTAATCCTGTTTCGTAGGTTTAGGCCCAGTTTATACATACCCAGTTATTTTTAAAAACTGAGACATTAACCATCGTTTGTACCCTTCGTTTTGAGCAAATGGAGAACTCGCCCTTGAAAACGATTATTTAAAAAAAACTCAGGTCAGAGTGGAGATTTTGGAAAACTCTGTTTGCATGTAAACAGAGAAAAACTGAGATTTGGGTAGCTGATGGCAGATTGTTCGCCGGAAATTGAGTTAAATGCGACGTTCTTTATAATCTATAGTGATTATGGATGCATGCAGAATAGCAGTCACATTTATGCTGGTGCAGTCCCAAGAAGGAAGTGACGTTGTTGTTGTTGCTGCTCTGCTGGTTTCTGATTGGCTTGAGCTTCTCGCTATACTGCCACCTACCGGTTTGGCATGCCCTTGACAGCATATATACACGGGTTAGTGTAAACAGCAACTTTTCTAAAAACGATGTGGTGTGTACGCAGTTTTTTTTTTGTAAATAGAGAGGGTGAAATTTCTGTTTATGAAAATAGCCAGGTACGTGTAAACATTGTCTGAGGCTCCAGTGATGGTGACTGACGGCTCTGAACCCAGTCTCAGCTCGGCTCCAATGAAATTATAAGACAGATATTTGGTTCCACTGGGGATTGAACCCAGGACCTTCTGCGTGTAAAGCAGACGTGATGACCACTACACTATAGAACCTTGTGTTGGGGTTACTTTATGGTCCTAAATGTTGAGTTAAATTAGCTCATAGATTTTTAAGCCAATATCTTGGCCTTCTGTGGATATCAAGACACGGGCTGTGTCCGAAATGGCCTACTACTCCTACTACTCCTACTAAACCCGCCTCTGAATTGAGTAGGCAGTGCGTTCACACTGTGCAGTATGCGAATTTTGTGTATGCGAGAAATGCCCGGATGTATACTCAATCGGCTTCGATTTCTGAGTGTGCAACGGAGCTTGCTTCACGTACTGCTTCTGCCCCACAATGCATTGCGCACCTCAGCTGGTAATATGGCCCTCCTTCCCGAGGCTGAAAAGAAATAGATGGCATGTGATTGCAATAATATATATATATAGATAAACAATATTTAGTCAGTATACATTACACAATTTTTATCATTTTATCATATTTTGATCTTTTTACCAGATTTATTTGTATTTTAAATTAGGATTATAGGTAATGTTTTTAACTATTCGTATAAATTGACTTTATTTATTTTAGTGTCTATTAAAGATGTATTTATTACATCAAGTTTGAGCATCTTCTCATCTCTGAATGCATCATCAAAGTGGTCGCTCATATTAAGCACAGACCTCTGATTAATAAAAATTATTATTGGTAGAGAGCACATGGTTCAGAATATACAAACGGGGGAGTTTCCAGTTGACAATCTATGTGAGCTTTACTAATTCTTACTTGTGGTTGAAAATCTGATGGTTTCTGAAATCATTGTACATGATAAGAATGTAGTCGGGAAATTATGAATTTGCCAAGGAATAACCGAACGAGGTCATAATAATTATGTTGTGTGTTGGTCATTTTGCAGCCCTCTGCTGCTCATCACACGCCTAGCAGGTGGTGTATAACATTATCACCATGGATACACAGATGTTTGTGTGATTTTTTTCATCCACTGCCGCCCGGTTTGTGTCGTTTAGATGTTGATTATGAAAACACTTTGCAATAATTTGGAAACATGAAGGGGGAGCTGCTGCTGCCCGGTGTTTACTGTAAATAGACGCCAACACCCACCAAGCGGACGCTTCGGTCTCCGAAAACGCCGAGACAAATTTACAAACAGCCACTATTTCAAACAACTGGGCTCATAATCGTGATGTAAACACTTACTTTCTCGCTAGAAAAATATTATTATTGAATGAATTTATATAATTTGTCCAGAATGCAGTCGTTCTGTGTTGCTTGTGGTAGGACTATTTAAATTCTCCCGGCGCTGCGTCCGGCCGGCACGAAATGCATTCTGGGGTATTTAGTATGTATGTGTGTAAACGCTCGGGCAGCCGCGGCATACTCAAATCAGCTTTGAGTAGTCAGTAGGCAGTAGCTACTGCTTGAGTAGGTAAGTAGATAGTAGGCAGTATGCCATTTCGGACACAGCCATGGTCTGTGGTTTGACAGGTCTTCTAAGTCTTGACCAGTATCTGGAGGGGCCTCCACTTAATGGAATATAAAATATCTGTTGGTTCCACTGGGGATTGAACCCAGGACCTTCTGCGTGTAAAGCAGACGTGATGACCACTACACTATAGAACCTTGAGTTCAGGTCACTTTATGGTCCTAAATGTTGGGTTGAATTAGCTCATACAGTTTTTGACACATATGTTGGCCTTGTGTGGATATCAAGACATGGACAGGTCTTCTAAGTCTGGACCGGTATCTGTAAGGGCGTCCACCTTTAGGAGCATAAGATATCTGTTGGTTCCACTGGGGATTGAACCCAGGACCTTCTGCGTGTAAAGCAGACGTGATGACCACTACACTATAGAACCTTGAGTTCGGGTCACTTTATGGTCCTTAATGTTGAGTTAAATTAGCTCATAGATTTTTAAGCCAATATGTTGGCCTTCTGTGGATATCAAGAATAAGATAGAACCTCTGAAATGGGTCCAATTAATCCGGGTTCTAGGCTGGTCTGGGCCAAAACAAGTTCTCTGGACTGGGATGGGACTGTGTTGGATGATATGAAATGATGGACACTAATTTGGAGAGGATGTTTAAATCCTCCTGTGTTGAGACTTAAAGGGATATTCTGGGACAGTGTATTTGACCATGGTGTAAATTTACACTGGAGTATCCCTTTAATTTAACCCATAAATAGGACCCAAAAACACAGAATAACAGTAATTAAGACTGAATTAAACAGACTCTCTATTAAACTGATTTCCGTCTGCTGCCTCTCTGCTCAGATGCTGATTAAAAACCTGAAGTGTTTTCACACGTCCTCGATTTAAAGGATGAATTTGTGATTTTAAATCTGTTTATCCACAGTCAGATATTTTTCTTTATCTTTCTGGTGTTCAGAGAATGATTCTGTCACAGCGGCGGCGGTGGCGGCGGCGTTATTGACTTCCTCCTGTCGTGTTAAAACAAGTCACCAAAAGTTCACTCACATTTCAGTCTAATCCTTAAATCTCATTTTATCTGCACCATCTTTAATCCTCCTTTCATTCGCCGCTGAAGGCGACTGAAGTCGGCGAGAGAAAGGATGGCTCTTTTTTTTCTTTTTGTTTCCAGCTCCCCGACGCGCGGCGGTGAAATGACTTTGGCGGCTGCAGCTAATGCTCTATAATTGGTACGAGGAGCAACTTACGCTGAACAATTATAGGATCCAGGAGCTGTAATCTCTGCTGAGACTCTGAGGGAGGAGGACTCTCTCCGTCTTTGGTGTCGGCCTGCTGTGTTTTACATCTTTAAAGCACTTCTCAGACACATCAGGCAGCAGACTCCGGTTTCAGACGGCTCCGCTTGTACCGCTGCAGCCCCAAGGACTTTCCAGGACTGGTAGTCTTTGTGTTGTCAGTCATAAGAAAGACAAGGTGTCATTGAGTTGAGTGAGACCTGGCAGAGTCTGGGGTTTAGATCAGGCTGTGAAATCCTGGTCCTCCATTTTTTACACATATCTCAGAGTTTAATCGACTAATGACTAAGTCCAGGTGTTAGACCTTGAATTTACAGCCTCATAGACAAGTCAGCATCAGTGGATACACCCCTGTGATGGTCTGAAGTGGAACCAACAATTTTAGCTCACGGTGCTCAAGCATGTTAATTAAGCGGCCCCGAGTCTGGGGCTCAGGGTGCAACGGCGTCTGATTATACCTCGGTGCAGAGGAGCTGCTGCGTGTCTGGGAGTGGTGAAGAACTGAAGCCTGGAAACTTGAGAGACTTGGAACAGGACGGCAAGTTCAGTCAGGACCGAAACTTAAAATATATTTGGATGTTCTGGGAGGAAATGAGAAGGCAGGGGGAGCAGCAGCGAAGAGCTGGGGGGGAGGTGGTCTGCAAAGTGGTTTGAGCAGGAGGAGGCTGAAGCAGTTTTTGACGTTTGCCAGATGGATGTTAGGGCTGCATGATTAATCGATTTTAAGTTGTAATCAGATTATTTGATTATGACGGTGTTAAGAAAATTAAAATCTTCAAACCGATTTTCCTCTCTATCATGTCTCGTGCCTCCAGGCCACCGTAGGCTCCTCCCCCTTCCTGTGGAGCGCTTCCCAGTTCCCAAGTTTTTTGTCATATTGGTGTCTCAACGGCGTTTCAGGTGACTGTAAACGGTACTTTTTAAAAACGGGTCAAAGAGTGAATAAAAACGACGACCATTTCATCTCCGTGTGGACGTCTATCTCTGGAAACGATCATGTGACACACAGAGAAACTCTTTTATGGCGCCAAAACAACCTTTATACTCATGCTCTGTACTCTTCTTCTGTCTCTTGTGCATTTCCTGTGCAGCGTTACAGCGCCACTTACTGGCTTGGCATATGTACTACATCGTTTTCAGTGGTTTGGTTTTGAGAGATGATAGAAAAACTTTTTATTAAAGTGAAGTTTGATGAAGTTGTCACTGAATGAAAAATCAAAAATTAAATTTTCTGAGAAAAAAAGATCTGGATTTTATTTTTGGCCAGAATCGTGCAGCTCTAGTGAACGCTAACGTGGAGTTAAGTTTGGCTGGAGTTTTGTCCTGACGTCCTAAACCATCAGAAGTTTAACACGGAGATCTGAAAGACGGACTCTATATGATTATAATGAAACAGTCTCTTGAACACAACACTCTATGAAGCTTCACTGTAGATCATGTCCACAGAGTGAGGTGACCCCACCCTCCCCGGAGCGTCGGCAGGTTGAACTGTGAGGTTCGAGATCAGACCGTTGAGGAGCAGCCGCCGTGCGCCTCCCTCGCTTCTGAGAAGATGTCAGGAAGTGCAGGCTCTGTGTGGTTGTAGAGGGAAACCTCTGAAGTTATTTGAAACAAACAGAACAAAAATAAATCAAAAGGCTTTTTGAAATCGAAATAGAAAAATGTGCAGCGGGAGTTGAATGAAATGACAATGTCATATACGAAAAAAAAAAAACCCAAAAACTTTTCATCAGTGAGTCTTTCCCCCCAGAAAAGATCTGCTCCCCGTTCGTCTGCAGAGGGATAATGAAGTCTGCTAATCCAACACGGTTTCAAAGAGGAGCATCCTCATTTTTCAACCTCAGCTCAATTTTTTAAAAACATATTTTTGAGTCTAAATGAGAAACAGGAAATTATGGAGACGATCTAATTGGCTGAAACACAGAGCAGATTTCTGATTCATGTCGATTGATGTCTGATTTCTCGCTCAAATCTGCAAATTTAACAAAGATTTGAATATTTCATTCACCTCTGGTCCGATAATAGTATCTGCATAAAGCTCAGACTTCAGGAAGTCTATAAAGTAGGTTCGGGTCAGTCCTGCCTCATGCATCCAAAAGAAAAAAGTGTTTCTGACCGAATTTAAATGTCATCTCCATCGTATTCAGATTTGAAACATACCTACATCGAGCTGCTGGCAGAGACACATAACAAAAGCAGACAGTTAACTGAAAAATACATGAGCGGGGAGCGTATGTGCGTGAGTGAAGAGGCACATGTGGGAGCAGAACCGAAGCCTGAAGAAGATGAAACGGCGTATTTGTGATAAAGCTTTTCACTACAGCAGAATTAAGGAGGAAATATTTGAGCTCAGCTGGAGACGCTTTTTCAGGCTGTGTCTTCACCCCGGGGAGCTCCTCCCTCTCCGTCCTCCAGGCTCTGCTCGTCTTGAACAAATGTTTCTCCTCTCCATCCATCAGAGCCCCGCGGGACCGCTCGCCATGTCGACTGCTTCTTCTTGTTAACAGCGGCGTCTTTCTCTGTCGCAGCGTCCGGCCCGGTCAAACCTGCAGCAAAGCAGCTCCCAAAGTGTCCCTCATGTGTTTCCTTGTGTTGCAGCCTCCCGCTCGGCTCTGCTGATGAATTATAGAGAGAGAGAAGGATGACAGAGGCCCCGGCTCTGAGTGCATGCTCAATCTTTGATTAGGTTAGGAATGCAATTGTCAACTGGGAGACGGATCAAGAAAAAAACTCCTTCAGGAAACACAAAAGACAGAAAGTAAATGCAGGATTACGTCCTCTATAGAGACGTACATTTGAAGAGAATCGCACAGATAATCGGATATAAACGCCTGTGATGGATGAAAAGTCTGCTTCATGATTTCTTACAAAAATCCTAACTACAAGTTGGACTACTGGGGTCCTAACTGGGTCCTACCTCCTAATTTCAGCCCTAAAATCCGTCTCTCTGCAGACTGGACTGATGGAAAAAATGCTGAAACTGCAGATACTTGAGTGTCCACTGAGTCCACGAAAACCCTTCAACTCCCACATCAAACTGCCTTTACAGTCAGATAAACAGCCTGGAACAAACAATGGTTTTGGGTTGTTTGTAGCTGTTGTTCTTAGTCCTCGTTAGTTTGCGTACTCCAGTATGGGCTTCCGGGCGACTGCTCGGTATGTTCCTTTTTCACAGTTATGCTCCACGTGAGAATCAATCTACAAGGTTTGGCAGTGACTGTCAATCTGTCTCCTGGTTGGCCTGGTTACTTACCAAAACAATCAACAAACAAGTCAGCAAGAGGCGAACGTCATCCTCATATCTCTGTCTGACTAACCCCGAATTTCCACCACATCCTGAACGGCTGCGAAAAGGCCGTCGGCGTCGATCGAAGCTGCTCGTTTATATTCAAGTTAATGTGTCAAATTCCACCGGCTTCTTTCCGTCCTCCTGCGGTTCAGCGAGTGTCGTAGCCGATCGCCAGAGAGGATAAATTCAGCACAGATTAGTCCACAAAATAAAACATCAGGCTTCTTTTCAAAATAAAACACTCCGTGTTTCAGGAGGATCGTATTTCACAGCATGTAAACGGGCGGAGACGCACAAGAGAAGTTTGTTTTATTGTATTTTTAAAATCTAGTCGATCGATGAAGAAGATGTCCTGAATGATGCTGATCAACCAGAAACAGGACGGCACAGGATGGAAAATTCACCCTCATTCATCGCTGCTCCAAGCTTGAGTTCAGCTGCAGCTCCACTTTTAGTCAAGTCTCCCCTTCATTAAGTCCCATCATGCATTTGAATCCCACCATATTTCTCCATAAAGTGAATTAACTTTGAGTCAAGTGTTGGTTTACTGTCTCATCATCTGAGCTCCGCCTGAATCTGCTCCGTCTCTGCAGACCGACCGGCAGTCAGAGCCGTCTCCTCTCCTCACTGAAGCTCTGAATATTTCAGCAGTGAGCTGCAGGTTCTGGGTCAGTGTGTCAGTGTGTGATCTGCTGTGACAGACTGTGGAAAACCAAAACAGGGGCAGAGAGGAGACAGACGAACCGAGAGGAGCAGCTCATGATCACAGAGACGCTGTCGTTTTAATATCGCAGACAGATCCGGTGATGGAGATGGAGCCGCTCCGTTTCTCTCTGGAACTCATCACCTTATCTCTGCATCAAACTAAAGACTCAATGTCTGCACTCACATTTGTTTCAAGTCAGCATGCAAAGTTTTTCATGAACCAGATCGAGCCTTGACCTAAAAGTTACACCAACAAGAGGGTTAACTTCGAGTTCAGATGGTCCAGAGTTTAAGGTCGGCACACCAAAGAAGAGTCGGTGCTTTGGCTGTTTTCCTGTCGATGAGTTTGAATCTGGTTTCAGCAGAATGGATTTGGACGTTTGTGTGCATGAACTGGTATCATTTCTAATTCTGCAGTTTTATAGTTTACATTTTGGTCAAAAAAACAAAAAACAAAGACAAGTAAACTAACCATGGTGAGAATAAAGGATCGCAGAGATGCAAAAACACCACAAAGAAACACAAAAGTACAGAGAGATTCAAAAAATGATTCAAAGCAACGAAAAAACATCTCACAGTGACGCAAAAAAACAAAGTATTGCCTAAGCTGCCAGAACATAACACCAAAACACCACAAAGAGGCACCGAGAAATCCCAGCATGGCGGTAAACTGCTGCCAAGAGAGTAAAAAAAAAACACAACGGTGACCTGAAACAACTTTGGAGGAGAACAAAAAGACCCAAAAAAATGAGCCGCAGATCCAAAATTTCCAGCAAAAGTTCGAAAAAATAAAAACCATCTAAAAGACAGAAAACAACATCAGGAGAGAAACAAAGGCGACAAATCTAGAGGCAAAAACTAACACAACATATCACAAAAATACCGTAAAAACAGACCGAGAAGGTCTTCGAGAGCTTTGAAATGACCAACAATGGTGCAAAACAATAAAGGGAAGTAAACGGCATATAAAGGTTCGAAGAGTTAAGGAATTACAGAAAAAAACCTCAATGAGAAACAAACAAAAACAAATAAAGAGGCAATAAGAAGCTGACAGAGCAAACTGCACAAGAAAGACTCATTAATGAAGCTTTTCCTTATTATAGAAAAATGTAAAGTTACAATTTTTGGTGTCGATGCTAGAAGTATGAACAATTTAAAATCAAGAGGTTCATCTTCTTAAAGAGACAGCAGCTATAAATGAAGCGTTTCAGACGGAGGCTAAAATACAGATATTTTCACACCCCAGAGTGAGAAATAGGAGGACTTTTAAAATCCAAAAATCATGTAAAATATATTAAAGATGCAAAAGAAAAGAAGTTTAGAGTCTGAAAAAAGTTAAATATCCAGAGTGGAGATGAAATATTACAGGGATCTGTTTATCAGTAAGATAACAGCTCAAAAAATTTTAATATATTAGAGGAAAGATTGAAAACAACATAAATGAGATGTAAAGAAATCATAACAAATGAAAAATTCCAAAATAATTCTCATTAAGTACAAAAATGTTGTAGAAAAGCAACCAAATATAAATAAATAGTAACCGAAGCACTGGTGAAGATATTCAAGAGACCAAAAATATCAACAATATACAAACTTTTCATAAATAAAACAACCTCAGAGAAACAAATCAGCCAAAGAGAAACAGAAAATATCCAAAGAAAAACCAAAACAAGCAACAACAAAACACAAAAATACCAGAGTGTATAAAACTACCAGAAAGAGACGCAAAAAAGACACAACAGAGAAACAAACTGACAGAAACAGAAACAGAGAAAATTAAAGAGTTTAAAAATGTTGTTTTTACAGATTATAGTTGAGTAAAGATCGTATAAACATGTCTTTGGATTCACTTCATTTTCCTCTTTGACCTGACTGATGAGATGACCGTGTGTGTGTGTGTGTGTTTGTGCAGCACACACACGCACACACACACTCCTGCAGTTGAAAAGGGCAGAGCTAATGAATATTCTCATCTGGCCCAGATTCTGTGATGAAGTTGTAGGTGCTTGAAGACGTCCCCTATTATCACGTCTCTGAGAGATGAAGTCTGTGTTTGTTTGCAGCAGGATTAATTCTGGGGGCAGTCAAAGGTCGCCGCAGATAAACGACGCCGCTAACCAAACTTGGAAACACAGAGCGAGTCTTTTTCTGCTGATGCTGTTTTTTTTTCGCTGCGGCCCCGATATCGAGTTTTTTCCAGGTCAGGGTTTAATGATGACTGAAATCAACCCGATCGTTAATTTTTACCTTCTTCAACGTTTGCGAGCTCCTCACTCAGGTTTTCTCAGTAACGCCACGGTGCAGCTGGTCTGCTCCATACCAGGAAGGAGATGAGATCAGGACGGTGTCGAGCGTTATCTGACACCACGGCGAGGAGATAGGAACGGTTTCAGCGAAGACATTTGACATCCTTAAAGACGTTTGTGAGAGTGCATATTTTCAGAAAATAACTATGAGACCTATCTGCAGCTGGCTTTATTATGTTTGCACTAAAATTGCAACAATATTTGATCACATGATGCACTTAAACACTTCAGCGACAGTTAACTCCTTCAGTTCCAGGTTTATTTATTCAGTTTTCACTCAGTGCCACCATTGGCCACAACAGAAATTTCTGTATCTTTCAGGACCCAGAGAATATCTTGTGCTTGGACTAGAATTAAGTGCAATATCTCAAAAGAAAGGGATGATTCTCTTCTTTCACCAGAAAACAAAAATGAGTCTCTGACCCACTCCTGTGTTTAGTTATTGCCTTCTCAATGCAGCGTGGTCATCTCATCTTGCCGATCTTGAAGAAGAAACCCGGAAAAACACATTTTTACGGAGGAGAGACTTTCAAGCAGAACTCTGATCGTCTGTTTCATTTCACTCCAAACTACTTTACCGGTGGCATCAAGGTCCTCCCTCCTCGGACACCACTCTTCATCCGATTGTGATAGGTCAGTTTGTGATGGCCGGGAGGTAAACCGCACGGTCTGCTAGCGTCCTCCTAGCCGGGACTGTCGCTGAATTCCAGCTCAGTCTCGCTCACCAGTACCAGCACCGGCGGCAAAACAACACGCCGGAAAATTGTTGCTTTGATTGTCTGCTGATGATGTGAAGGTCCAGTACCAGGATCTCCACTGGATTCAGAGACGGTAGCACCACGCCCATGGGAGCTCATGGGCCAATACCATAGACTGTATATAAGATGGACGCCGTGGTTCCGCCTTCCGCCTGTATACAGATTTGAAGCCAAAAAGCTCTCGGTAATTCCGGGTTTTTCTCCGCTTCCTTGAAACCAGAGCTGTGCAGTAGCGTTGTGCGCATTCGGCCGTGCAGTCGCCGAGAGTCCCTGTGATGACGCTCGGGTCAAACAGCGTATTCCCCCGGAAGAGCTACGCAATCCCTGAACGCCCATAGGCTGTATCAAGTGTCAATCATAGAAAACATGAACCCCCTAATAACTTTTAAAAACAGAGCTGCACAGAAAAAAAGGACCTGGGCACAAACCAGTCTTACTGTGACTACATGTCAACATCACAAGCAGGGGGGAGAAAAATTTATGTTCTGTGTAATAAATTTCTAAAGTTTGTCCACAGTCCCATAAGCTTTGCTGGCGGAGGCGGGATTTATGACCTGTACTGCAGCCCACCATCAGAGGGTGCTGTTCTCGGAGTGGCTTCACCCAGCGAGGAGGCAGACTCTGTCCATCTTATATACAGTCTATGGCCAATATCATGAGCTCTTGTCTAATGACTTCATCATTTTCCGACTCTCCTCAGAGAAAAAAACACTCCACAGCTAGGCTAATTGGCACACTTGATGGCTCACTCCTCACTGGTCAGTACTTGTTTTTGTTATTGTAACATGGTTATGATGTATTTGTCGGCTTTTCTGCGTTTAGAACGACCCCAAACTTAGTCGCATGTTGGGGAGGAGCGCCCTCTAGCGGAAATCAAAAAAACAAAAAAATCCGTCAATGGCACTGAATGAGTTAAAACACTTGTATCTTCAGCTGTCGTTGGTCAGTGTCAAAAAATGTGCAAAGAAACGCACAAGTGGAGCGAAATGTCCGATTCTCAAAATAAATGATATTCTGGTGTAAACACGACCGTAAAGTTCTGCAGCTCCCAGCAGTTTGCGCTCCAGTTGTGTCATCTCTCTGCTGCGTGGAGCTGTGCTGTGCACTCTAATCCTGACACTTTGTAGGAGTTTTTGATGTGGTTCAAGTTTCCTGGTTTAAAATAAAACCTCCTCCCTGGATTGAGTCACTGAGAGCTGCCTTTGTGCTTCGTGAGTTTTCATTAGACCGGTTTTAAATTGGTGTACTCCTTTTGTAAATCAGGTCCTGAGCATTTTTAAAACAAATTAGCTGAGCTGACGCTGAGCTCAGGAGGTAAACCTACATGCAATGACTCATTATAACAAGGTGCTGGTTCGGTTTGGCTCCATTTGTCAATATGACCTGGATACAAAAACACGCAAACAGGTACGAATCGTTCTGTGGGGCCCTCAGGGGGACGGTTGTCATGTGTTTGCAGGCGCTGAAATAAAAAGGGGGGTGACTCGCAGAAGGTTACGTTGATCCATCAAGGTCATTCCCGCTCCTTTAGCGTTTAATAGATTGTTTGAAGTCTTTTTCGGTTTCCATCACGGCGTTTCTGGACAGTTTGAGGACAAGCTGCTGTCACTCACAATCATGGAGATGAAGTTTTTTCTGCTGTTTCAACACATCCTCCTTTTTGTCCTGCTCAGCTGGAGGTTAAATGATGAGTTTGAAGGGATCTCTTCACTACAGAGTCATTTTACATTTACAGACTCAGTCTACCTGCAAAACCAAGACCAGGATGAGTCGTTAAAAAGGCACCGGATTCTGAGATAGTTCTTCTGGTACTAATATGAACATTTCCCTGGTCTCTTTTGTCCAAACAGACGTGTGTTTTTGGGGGATAAATACCTGAAGAAAAAACCTGCAGGGTCTGAGTCTGCTGGAAATCCAGTTTTCAAGAAGTACCGTTTACAGTCATCTGAAACGCCGTTATGACGAGAAACTTTTGCGTTTACTCCTGGATTAGTTTCCGTGGTGACGGGTTGATACCGCCTTCAGACAGACTTTACAGCGGGGAGTGGTTTACTCTTCATCTGAAACTGTGAAGTCGTACCAATTCAACACGCTGACTCGCTCGGAAGTCAGTCGTGTTGAATTGGTATGACTTTGATTTGACTATTTAATTTTTTTAACATCGTCATAATCATTACTACTATTACGATTAAAAATCGATCAATCGTGCAGCCTGACTTCGAGTAAAAAACAAAAGAAAAAACTTTTCTTGAAAAACTTCTGATGGCTGTGAGGGTGACTGTGTCTGTCTGCACGACACTGATGAAACATCCTGTCACTGCTTTGTGTGTGTGTGTTTATGAGTGTGTGTGTGTGTGTGTGTGTGTGTGTGTGTGTGTTATGATGGCAGCCGACCAGATGGCTGATGGGAGGAGATGTGACAGAAGAGGTGAACTTTACCGCAGAGGAAAAGTTCAAGGATGTTTAATACGGCGTTTTAAAATCTGGTTTAATACACTGATTTGTTTCTGTTTCAGTCGCTCTGGATGAGTGTTAACCCGACAAATTCCCATCATGCATCACATCATTGAAGTGACTCTGAGCTTCGATAAAAATTAATTTACAGAGGACCCTCTTTGCATTATATAAACCTTTGTCCAGCAGATCTACTTCAGGTTCTATTAAAGCGGTTATTGTTGCAAATGTTTGTAAGATCTGAAGGTCTTGAAGTTTTGGTTCGTCACTTAAAAATCAGTCATTTACTCTCAAAAATGTTTTTTTGTTTTCTTTTCCTGTGTTGCAGGTTTGTCCACGGCTGTAAAGAAGACCCACTCATGTAAGTCGACTCCTTTTGACTCAGTTTTTTTGTCAATTAAAGAGCAGATAATCTGGCCAATGAGTGCATGTTACTTGACTAACTGTAGGTGTCATTCGGCCTCTCAGAGGTAAATCCAGTCCAGATCAGCCTCTCAGTTATCTGCGGTTGTATTTTTTTGTTTGAAGGAGGTGTCTGCAGCTTGTTCTGCTCTTTTCTCCGGTCAAATATGTCAGCGGCGTGACATATATGCTGTAAAACCATACCTGAACACATTATGGTAATGGCTGACAAAATAAGTAAAGTAAAGATGAGGCGGATGCGAACCGCTTCAGTGAGAGCGGACGGTCCATCCCAATGACGCCTAAAAGACCATGTCATCTGTAAAAGCAGTGACCCGATCCTGAAACCACCAAATCGGACCCCCTCATCTCATCGTTCCTGCTGTAGAAACCATCGATTCTGTTGTCAACACAATTTAAATCTTGAATATTATAACTCCAGAGATCTCGCAAGATTAAACTCAACGGTATTTCTCGTCGTCATAGAAATCTGTCTTGCGAGATTTGTTAGCTATCCAAAGTTCTGTTTGTGACCTGTGGGGGCAGTAATGTGCCTTTGCTATGTCAAGCCTGCAAGAATGTAAAGAAGGAGAAGAAAAAGAGGAAGAGGAGGAGAAGGAGGGGAAGCAGCAAACAAAAAAATACCAGTATTACCTTTGAAGATGCCCTCGCCACTTTCAAACCGTTTGTTTGGCAGCAGTTTGAGTACCCGGCTACAAAGTCGACTGAATGTAGGATGTCGTGTTCGTCAGTTTTTTAAGCAGATACATCTTGGGAACACTGGATCTTAATTCTGCTTTTATAACGTTTGAGAACAGACTCTGTAAACAGTTAGAGAAAAGGCAGTCTCAGCTGAATGTGAAGTTTTAAATCTAGTTTCCGTGCTCTTGTGGAGCGCTGAAAGTTTATTTTTCCGCATTAGAATAGAGAGAATAGGCTGAACGTTACTGTGAAACATGTAAGACTTACGAGTGTGCAGGATAAATGGGAATAAATGTGTGACGGGGACCGCTGCCAGAGCTGCGTCTCTCTCATTAGAGCTGATAAGGATGGATAATGAATGTGAGATCCTCCTGCTGCCGACGGAGCGTGGGATGATCGGAGGGAGAAGTGCCGATCCTTCAGGCAACAACTCGTAACGTGCTGCTGTAAATCTATCGACGGGCTGCGATGGGGGGGGAGGCGGACGAGCCTTTCCAAGCGTAAACCGTCCCCCTGTTCTGCCGATTTGTAGGAAGAATGAAGCTCCTGCTGCTCCTCGGTTTGCTCTCTCTGCTGGCAGGAGTCGCTCTCGCCTGCAGGCCTCTCGTCTAAGATTTACTTTACCGGCTGTTTTCATGCGGCTCACTCGTTTCTGGAAGATGCAGTTCAGGCAGGAGGAGATTTACCGCAGCAGACGTTTGGAGAAGCGGCGTGCTCGCTGTAGCTGCTGGTCATTCCTGTAAGAGTTGAGAAAATACATGAGCGGAAGAGGGAATTACCTTCAGTATATTCAGGGTTATGAAACGAACCTTCAGTATTTGATATGATATTGTAGTGTGGACAAAATCAGCTACACAAATGGAACAGTGTGGCAACTAACTCTAAAATCCACTCGCTTCGTTAGACCAGCACTTTTCAGTCAGGCCTAGGGCTGGGTGATACAGCCTCAAATCAATATCATGATCTCATTCTCACTATGTTTGCATTCCTAATATCTGGACAAACTGTTAATTTTATTTTTCCATGATCATAGATTTGACTTGACATTAGCAATTTATTTTAAAAAAAATGATACTTGGTAAATGTGACGATACAATATATCTCCAAACAACTTTTTTTTATTTATTTTTTCGACACAGAAAAATACCGTTATGGGCGAAATGACGTTGATTTTTTTCGTAAATTTCTGTATCTGTAAAGTTTCGGTTTGTTGTCCAGCCCTACTTGGTTCCACTAGATGTTTGTTTCTGCGACATTTAGGAGCTTTTCTGCCCAACAGAGAAGATCTGTGTGTTCTCAGAGAGTGTCTAGATTCAACTTCTCAAAAACATGTGAGGAATTATGGGTAAATTTGAGTGAAAAGAGGCTGTTTCTGTGATGAGTTTAACAATAAACAGCCGATCTGAAAGTTCGACAAGTTTATTTTCAGTCAGCATTTATTTGATTCAATGCCAAAGAATCCTCTTATCTTTATTATTTTCAAAACACTTAAAATCTGTTTTAAATTAACTTTTTTTTTCTGTATACATACAAGACAAAGCCGTCTCTGCTTACTTTATAAGTATAAAACAGCCGATCTCGTCACTGATGGTCTCGTTTGCTTTTCTAAGTCGTTAAAAAAGTAATAGCTTGACGGTTGTGAAGGTCAAAAATCTCCCCACAGGAGCTTTAAAATTTAGTCCTGAAGAGATGGACTTATAATAAACTTACTGTACTGTACTGTATTTGTTGGTATTTTGTTTTCTTTGTGCTGAAGCGCCCACGTTTTTATCTTTACATTTGTTTTGCTGGGAGGATGAAGCGTCTGATGTGACGGGTTTCTGCTGAAGTTTTATTTTCGCTGTGGTTTGACGTGTTATCTTCCTCTTTGGTCGCTTTCTCTTGTTTGTGTTTTTCGCTCCTCTTCTCAGTATCGAACCTCTTGACTTCCTCTCCTTTTCAACTCTTTTTTTTAATAAACCACAGTCATGAACAGAGGCGTCAGAGACAGTGTGCTGTTTGATGTTGAGCGAAGAAACAAACTCAATCTAAAAATCTTTGTTCAAGTGCCTAAATGAGGATTTTAAACTTTGGTACAAAAAAAGGGATAGATTAGATAGTTGTAAAAAAAAGAGACATAAAAATGAATAAATTTTCAATATTAAAAAAACTCAAATTCGCACCAAAGTTCAGTCTCAGGATATTTTTTTTCACACATTAACACACAGGGACTCTATCATAGCTTTATCACCTCCCCTCTTGTCTTATTGGCTGACAGCTGTGTCAGTCAGAGGGGTGGGCGGGGCAGAGTGGTGACATCACAGTCACATGGATCCTCATGAGGTGTGGAGAGTATAGAGGCTGTCAGAGCAGAGAGAGAGCTCCCGCTAATCACACACACTCTCACTCACTCACACTCACAGAGGATTCAGCTGTTTGTGTCTCTTATTCTCTCGGTTTGGATTATAATTATGTATTTTGTCATTTCTGCCATGAAAGGTAAGAATTTAATTATCATTTAATTATAACTGAACTGATTTTTGCATGTTTTAATGTTTTTTTTAATTAATCACCTTTTTGTTTTAGTGTTGCTCGAGTTTTATCAAAGATGTTTTAACTAAGAAGATGCTCTACTCTGTCTCTTCTTACCTGCTGCTTCTTCTTCTTGTTGCTTCAAATGTTGATTACATAGTATTGTGTTTTATGAAGCGCTTATTTTCCATTTTATACTCCTTTTTTGCACTTTAGGCCTCCTTGTTTGATGATTAAGTTGCAAAAAATTTAATTTGCATCTTTACAAAAATTGAAAACATTCACTTTTAAACGATTATTGAGAAAAAACTCAAATAAATTGTTTTAATGCAAAAATAAACTAGATTATCAGTGCTCTGCCTTGACTCAATAATCCAGTTTTACGCAGCCTATCATGATTAAAAACAGTATTGAACATCTAAAGTATATTTTAAGCAGTGTTACTACTGTATTTCTACTTTTACTGTAAAAGCTTGTAAGAAAATAACCATTTGTGTTGATTTTGGCGCCCTCTGTGGACAGAAAGACACATTTCATCTCTTTGCAGGTGGTTTTATTTTCCAGAAAACCTTTTTATCTTCTATTTTAATAAGAAAAAACATCCTTGTCCGTCTTTGTCTGCAGCTTGAGCGCGTTCACAAACGGACATGCAGCTGTTTGAGGCTTTCAGAGAGATTAAATGGAGCTCTAAGCCGATGCTCCGGTTTGTTTTGGAGTGTATTAAAAGGCTGAATGTGTTGTTGTGTTTGCCATCACCATCACCGGCTGAGTAAGCTGTCTTAAAGTGATATAAGAGCCAGTGGAGGATGTGTGTGTGTGTTTGTGCGTGTGGTGATGAGGATGTGGTTTCATGGTGAGAGTAATGTGACATTTTGAGTCAATAAATACAGAAGAGTACGGCGGTGACGATAAAAAAACAGCAGAGACTTAAATGTTTGAAGGAGGGAGATCCTCAGTGACGCTCATTTAACACACACACACACACACGCACGCACACGCACACACACACACACACACACACACACACACACACACACACACACAGGAAGTGATGAATTACCTCAACAATGCCTCTAAAATGCAGGGAAATTTTTTAATTTAAATAATAGGTGCATCGATTTTTTTTTTTTTGCTGATATCCTGTAGGTCGCTGTTTTCAAACTCATTTTAAAAAACTCTAATACTGACACTTAAAAGAAAATATTCAAGATTCATTTAAACCCCGAAAACAACATCTCCTGGCTACTAATCAGTTCAACATTTATGCTTTTCAAATCATAATTTTGTTTTCATCCAGATCCACCACCGACAATCTGCAGGAAGTAGCTTGAACTCCAAAATAAAAGCCAAAGACAGAGAAAACATATCAAAATAAAAGCATGACAATCATTTAAAGTAATGCCTTCATACAAGTTTAAGTCACACAGCTGTTAATGTTAATAAATCACAAATCTGAAACTCATAAGAAAGATACAGGGTTCCTACGCAAGTATGGAAGAGTATGTAAATAAATTTGATCAATTTCCAGGTCTTAAAAAGTATGAAAGATGAAAAATAAAGTATGGAAATATATTTATTTTTCCAGACTATTAACACAGTTCTAAAATACTGTTTTCTAAAATAGAAAGTAGGTATTTCCAGAAATAATTCTAAGAGTAAGGGAAGGAAAAGTATGGAAATTCCAACTGTGTAGGAACCCGGACCTATATGGTTTCAGGACAGACAGACTTGCAGTAGACAGACTTTAGACATTTAGACGCACTTTAACCCGTTATTTGATAACTATTTATTTCAAAAAGCAACTGTGAGTTGCATAATTGATCTCCAAGTACTTAACCAAAATAATTATGATACCTGTTGAGTGACATATATAGTGTTGTATAGTACAGCTGGCTAGTCTAAACTTGGTCTAAATTTAGACGTCTAAAAAACTTTCATTTTTAGACCTGTGGTTGCCTGATTTTAAACCAGTCATCTCAGCTACATTTTGGTCTACATAGACCAAAAAATGCTCAGTGGGATGGTTTCGTTGCCTTCTGTTTGAACCTTCAGAACCTTCAGTTCTGCTTCAGAGACATGAATCCAGCTCACACCGCCCCCTGTTGGTTTAAAGGAGTCTTCTGTAAGCTTTGTTGTGGCTGTTGTCCTAAAAAGTAATTAATTTTAAGCACATTTTTTGTAAATCCCCGACCTAACTCCACCAAACAAAAAGAAAAACAGCTTTTATTGTTAAGAATAAAAGATTTTCATTATTGCACACGTGATAAAATATAATAAAATCTCTGGAAAAGGGCGACGTTGAGAAAGTTTTTTAATTTATAATATTAAATTTATATACATAATATATATGTGAGCGACTTCTCTTCTTCTTCTGTTTTTGATCTGCTCTGATTGGAGGTTGAGCTCCCCCTGCTGTTGAAAGTGTTGATAGACAGAGATCTGTATTTACTGCACTCCTTTTCTAACCCTAAAACACCGACTCACAGTGCAAACCCGTGTTAACTCCATTATTAATGCTTTTTATGGTGAGTAAACGAATTCCCAAAATGCACCTCTCTTTAATGGCGCTCATTATTAATTTAGAAATGGTGTTAGGGTCGTGTTTCTCCTGAAGGAAGCAACTTTTCATTCTTACAAACTGCTCTTATCTGGATTTTCCAAGCTTTGTGTGTGTGTGTGTTTGTGAGTGTGTGTGTGTGTGTGTGTGTGTGTGTGTGTGTGTGTGTTAAATCGGTCTTGTCCAGATTCACAGTCTGTGAAAAAGCGCTGCAGGAGGCGTTTAGCCAGCCTGTTATGTCAGAGGATTACAACAGCCGGCAGATTATTTAACTGTTCTCTGCGGGGACGAGTGACATCATTTGTACCTCAGCTGCTAACACACACACACGCACACAGACACACACACACGGACACACAAGGAAACAGCTGAAAATGACGTGCAGCAGTTTAACAAGTCTGATTTCCTCATGAAAACACAGAATCCGTCTCTCTTCTCACATAAACTCAGCTGCACATTTTCACCTCGTTGATTTATCTCAACAATCTGATTTGATGGCGGTCCAGATGAGTGACAGATTGAGGGTTTTGGAAGCGAGACAGACCTCCTAACCAGAGCAGGAGGAGACGGGCGGTGGTGGACCGGTCAGCCCAGCGGGAAGAGCTGAAAGGTGGGATGCAGGTCAGGAGGGCGGGCAGAAGGCTGTCCTCCAGTCAGTGACCAAGCAGTAACCTTCAGAGATGTCAGAGTCCAAAGAGTCCACCATGATGAATCTGAGTTACGCATAACTCTGCGTGATGAGGGGCGGGGCTATTAGATTGATGGTTAGTTGTGTTTAGTTAGGCTTTGGTATCCTAGCAACACATTCTAGCTCCACCTCCAGGATCCCAAGGTGCTCCCAGGCCAGGTGAGGTGTCTAATCCCTCTAGGGAGCTCCAGGTCTCTCCTCACAGGTGGACAGACCTGTAGCCCGAGAATCCCACTGGATCTGGAACGGCTCCGCTCCGGACTGGCAGACGGATCAAATACGCAAGCATACATCGTCCACCTCCGCCATCGGAGGAGAAGCGCTTGCGAGATTACAGATATTTCTCATGAGACTGGACGAGAGCTCCCTGTGAGACTTTGAATGAGATGTAAACACCCACATCCCACAACTCTGGCCCCTCCCATTATCACATGAAGAACACTTCAACAAATCGACTTTATTTAATTTTGAAAATTAACCGGATATTTTCCTCTGTAGCCGTAAACAACTTCCGCTGCTACTCGTGTTGCGCTGCACTGAATTGATGCACTGTGTTGAAAAGAAGCCTTGTGTATCTGATCCGGCCTCCGGAGCCGAGCCTTAGTGAGGCGGATGGATTGTGTGGAATGATGCACTTTGATTTTAATGCTAGCGTATTTGATCCGCCTGCCATGTTGGATCGGAGAGCAGCTGTTCCGGATCCTGTGGGTTTTAGCCGTAACACCTCTAAAGGAAGGCGTCCAGGAGGGATCTTTACCTGATGTCCTGAACACCTCACCTGATTCCTTTCAATGAAAAGACTCGACTCTAAGATCCCTCAGACCCCTTCAATCTTGTATCCTGGATCTCATCCTTTTGGTTGCAACCCAAACCTCATGGCCAAAGCTTCACCATCCACCAGTCCCATGACCCTGAGGTACTTGAACTCCGTCACTCAGGGGGAAGACTCACTCCCCACCCTGAGAAAGCAGTCCATCTATTTCTGGGAGAGAACCACGGCCTCAATTTAGAGGTCTGAGCTGCTTCATCACATCCAGTATCTGCCGGGGGTCCCAGCTTTCCGCGAACACGACCTCATCATCTGCAAAAACGCTGAGATGAGACTCTGAGGCTCTGAAACTGTTGACCTTCATGACGAGGGGCGAAGACTCAAAAATTCCTCTTCAGAAACCAATAAATGATAAAAAGTGGGTGTTACTTTTTACACAGCTTCGCAGTCATCTGAGGCGAGCCATTGTCACGCTCATTAACTATACAGCAGATGAACAGCCCCAGGTTCCAGTATCAATTAGGACTCAGATCCAGCTCATACTGGTCTTTATTTTTAAGAGAGTCACCAGAGCAGCGTTGAGAACAAACAGCGACACTGTTTTCTGATGTTTTTGTATTTGGTGATTAAAAAAAAATGAAGACTTTCGTTTACGACCACAAGAACACTGACGAGAGACTTTCTGAGACAAACTGAGTCAACCAAGAAGGGTTGAAGGTCCGAGGATGTGAAAAAGGGACTTTCCAGGTGGGGGAAATTACAGGTGGACGTGTCCCGGCAAGAGCTGCCAGAGGAGGGCACGTCAAGACCACAATGACAAAAAAAAAAAGAATAAAATAACATTTTCGGGTCCTGGAGGAACTTTTTTATGACTTTTTTGTCAAAATAACCAGAAAAAATTTGTGTAAAATGTTGCAAACATGACAGATTTGCACATCAGCTGATTTTTACACTTTTACACTCAAACAAAGAAGAAAAATAACATCCAAATCTGATAGAAGCTTCTGAATAACATTTACTTTTCTTTCTTAGAGGTTTTATTTTGAAAGAGAAAACCTTTTCCTCCTCTGAGTGGAAGGAAAAAACAATTAAACCACCTGAACTAAATCTTCTCCAAAGAAGAAAACGAGGTTGGAGTTTTACATTTCCAAACCTTGACATATTTCAAAGCTGCGTGGCGGCGGCGGTTCTTCGTCCCTCCTCTCTGCTCCCTCTTTGATCCCGCGGCTGAAAAACTTTGTTTAGTTTTAATTCGGGTTTCAGATAATTTATCCATCTGGGACTTTGTTCGGCTTGAGTATCTTTAGCACTTTTGGAGTAAACACTCGACGGCTCTCGTGTAGTTCTTGCAGCTCATTAGCCTTGACGTAGCGCCGCTGTACGGCTAATTACACATTATACAACGACCGCCATACAGCGAGCATCTGCGGAGTCCAGAGGGAAAACACAGGCAGGTTCAAGCGTTCATGTGCAGCTCTGGGTTTAATGAATTTATACACAAAATAAGATTTTTTTAATCCCCGCACAGTCAGTGCAGAAACGGGGCTTTCCCCGTCTGTTCACCGAGCTGCAGAAGACCAAAATATAGAGATGTTTTTTTTTAAAGATGAACCACAACTTTTCTCTTGAAGATCTCCAAGATTAAGAGAAGTCAGGGGTTTTACACTCTGTCAGAGAAACTGCTCTCTAAGGGGATTTCCAGCGTGTGCATGCATGGACCATATTCAATATATGTTAAGATCTGAAGGACTCAAAGGTGTAAAAAATGTTGGATCTTCTCAAGTTTGAGCTGCAAAAATTTACAGTGCAACAAAACTTTAGTATCAGAATGAAAGCTGCAAACTTCCTTTTCACCTTTCTGCAGATTTTTGTTGCAGAAGCAGCAACTCAACCTTTAAATATATTTGAGTCTTCAAATCAAACCAAGTCATAGACGAGACCCATTAGGTAGGGCTGCACGATTTTGGCCAAAAATAAAACCCTAATTTTTTTTCTCTAAAAAATCGATTTTCGATTTTGATTTTTTTATTCAGTGACAATTTCATCAAACTTCCCCTTAAAATTAAAGTTTTTCTATCATCTCAAAACTAAAACACTGAAAACGCTATAATGCATATGCCAAACCAGTAAGTGGCGCTGTAACTCTGCACAGGAAACGCACAAAAGACAGAAGAAGAGTACAGAGCGTGTGTATAAAGTTTGTTTTGGCGCCATAAAAGAGTTACTCTGTGTGTCACATGATCGTTTCCAGAGATGCAGATAGACATCCACACGGAGATGAAATGGTCGTTGTTTACAGATTTATTCACTCTCTGACCCGTTTTCAAAAAGTACAGTCACCCTACACGCTGTTTCCGATAAAAAACTTTAGCGCTTCCTCCTGAATTTGTTTCCATGGTGACGGGTTGATACCGCCTTCAGACAGACTTTACAGTGGGGAGAGGTTTACTCTTCATCTGAAACTGTGAAGTCGTACCAATTCAACACGACTGACTCGCTCTTGTCCTATTTAACCATGAAATTATCGCCTTCTTTTGCAAACGCCATGTTTGTTTACACTGGTGTGTGTGGGAACTGGGGAGCCTACGGTGGCCTGGAGGCGCGAGACCTGATAGAGAGGAAAAATAGATTTGACAATTTTAATTATCTTTAACATCGTCATGATCAAGTAATCAGATTATGATTTAAAATCGATTGTGTAGCCCTACCATGAAGTATTTACACTTCTCAGAACCTCGTTCATGAGTGACGTTTGGTTCTGGATTTCTTCACACACACAGGAGTTGCTGGTCTGATTCTGTGCTCTACATTACGGTTCATACTGGTTGGTTGTCGGTCTGCTCAGTTGCTTCATTTCTAACGTTCTGCAGAAAAACAGAATGAGTAAATATGTGAGAACACACAGAGACCTTCAGATTGAAGATTAGCGTCCACCTGCTGGAGATGTGACTAAGCGAAACCACCAACTGTGGCTGATGAACAAGCTGCTGCTCCGTCTGAGAGAGAGTGTTAGTGATCCATGTGTGCCGCCATATGTCGGCCGTTATTACATCTTCTCTGAGATTAGATCTGGAGTCTGGATTTAAGAAAGGAGCCTGCAGTGACTCACAGAGAAGAAGCATCCTCAACAACGTCTTTCTCTGAGGCTCGGGTAGATCAGGTTGATAAAAACGTACCTGGTTGGCAGCAGGTGTAAACAGCTCGTATCTTCATTCGACTTATCTAAGATGTCAGTGTTCGCAGCACACAGGGTTAGTTTGCTCCACAGCTCCTCCTGTCAGCCTGAAGGGGACATGAAAAACAAAGCAGATGTTTGTGTAGCAGCTGGCTGAGTGTATAAATATCTGCCGCTCTCACATTGGCTCTAATTCCAGGCGGTGGCTTTGTTGAACGCAGCCTTTGATGTTGAAATGTAGAATTCAGACGGGATTAACGCTCAGAGAGCTAATTACTGCAGAGAGGAAGCTTCAGCACACACACTCCTCTTCTATACCAGCGAGTGTGTGAGTGTGTGGGGGTTCTGGTTTCATTAGTGTGTGTGTATCATTAGATTTTTCAGTAGTGGTTGTTGTTGTTGACTCTGGTTTATTCGTGCAGAAAGATCTGGAATACCTTCTTCTAATTCTCGATCCATGTTTTATCACAGTCCTTTTTTCAGTTCAATGAACTTCATCCACACAAAAAGCACATAATATAAAAACAACGTACAGTGTGAGTTTTGGCGCCCCCTCTGGACAAACATGGTTCCTATGATCCGTCATTTACTGTAAATATCTGCAGTGAGATTCAGGTTAATTTCTAAAAGCATAAAAACTCAGTCCTGAACAAAATATTTGGATATAGAAGCGGTTCAGGTAGATCATAATCGTGTTGTAAGAAGAGCTTCAAGATGCAAAAAGATGCTCTTGCTGTCAAGGTCGGATGCAGCGAGACGTCATTTTAAATTTCTTCAAATATCCTGAAGGTTACGGGACAAAAAAGTCAGTCAAGAATTTCACCTGTGCTGAGCAGGAGGATCTGCCGAGCTGTCCGATTCTTGACCCGAATTAAGGCCGGCCCTCCAGGAGAAAAACATCGCTCTTTTGGACCACCCTGTGTGTCCCCCTGATCTAAATCCCACCGAGACGTCAGTCCAGTCCAGATCGTAGATGCCCTCCGTGAAGCCATCTTCACCACATGGAGCAACGTTCCCACGAGCCCCCTGGAAACACTCGCAGCAATCACGCCTAAACGAATCGCTGAAGTGATCAACAAGAACAGTGGGACTACTCATGACTGTTTTTTTGGGGGGGGATACGATCTTAAACTTTTGATCAGCTGATGAGCAGCATGTTTGAGTTTAAATATCACTAAATTACCTCCTCTCTATTTTTTTGTCTCTCGCTCCTGTTTCTTTCTTTTTGTTTTTGGAGCTCGACTTATAACCTGGTTAAGATCCACTAGTGTAGAATCCGAATACTTGTCCGGTCTTAAGGTATTATTTAGGGGTATTTTGTGGAGAGACACAAACTCTTTTGTTGTTTCTCGATTAGAATAAATCTTGAAACACCTTTCTTGAAGGTGTCTGATTATCCTTTAGCTCGTTAGCGGCTGCTCCAGTTTTTTCCTCAAAGAAGCCCCGACTGTCCCCACTATGACCCTTTACTCACATCATACTACTGTATACTTATTTTAGGCACACTCTCAGTATTTTATACCTCTCATTATCTGTTACTCTTTTTTAGTATGGTGTCCCTCAGGGGTCAGTTCTTGAACCCATTCAGTTTTTCCTGCACCTGCTCCTCTTGGCTAATATGATCCATAAACATGCTGTTAACTTCGATTCGTATGCAGATGACACTCAGATCCACTTTCCACTTCAGGGACGCTCATATAAAAAACTGGGTTTTGTGAAATTATTTGCAGGTTAACTCAAATGAAACTGAGACGAGAAACTGAGATGACTTATGGTGTGCTGCTAAACTCGATAATCACCCAGTAACTTGAATCCAAATATTTGCATTTCCTCTCAACCGCTAACCCAAACAGACCTGTCCTCTAGTGATAGTAAAAGCATCTTATTACGTCGAGTTTTTAAACAACTACTTATGGAAAGTGAAATAACAAATCCTTTGTCTCTGTGGAGGGAAACTGTAGTGGAAACACTTTTGACTTCTCACCCGTTTGTTGTGTTTTGTTGTGCGTATTTTCTCACGCTAATCCCAGTTTCAGAGAAAAGTGTGGTAACCACATGAAACACACGCAGGTTTGTGGGTGTCCTGTTCACTCGTTGTTGCCACGGCGACCATAAACAGGTGGTCCATGTGTTCTACTGCAGCAGAGAGCAGACGTAAAAGTTTTTCGTGGAGAAACTGGTCCACAGGTCAGGCTGCGGTGAGACTAAAACGATTTCGCTGTTTTCACGCTGAGGTCAGAGCGGTCAGAGATGAAGACGAAGACACGGAGACGCATGAAATCATGTCTTTAGTGTTAACTGTGGACCGGCCATCAAAGGGTTTTATCGAAGAAAACAAAACCACAAAGTAGAAGACAATACAGATCATTTATTTATGTGTAAACGTGATCGAATATAAAGGGCCATTCTTCAGATTTCATCTCAAAACGGATCCTTATTTTCTGGTTTCTGATCCAGCATGAAGTTGTGTGTTTCTGTAGGATATATTTCCACTATTATTATTATATTTTCTATAACTTCCTGTTTCAGATATTCTCCTTTGGTGGTAACTGTCCAGAGCTGTGTAGATTCATTCAGTCGAGGGCTATTTCTGACTAAATAAGCCACTTAGCAGCTAATTAAGGAAGTATTTCAGACATGTGTTTTGATTGATGCGAGAAACAATGTCAAGTATGTTCGGAGGACGTGATGACCCCTTTATTAGGTACAGTCCGGTCTCAACAGGGTTCCAGCGACAGAGTAACTCAAAGAAATTTCATTACTTCTTAATCACAGTCTGAACACTGTGTGGAAATAGCAATCCGAGGCTGCGCCAGATGTCCTGTAACACTGGCGAGCGGACGTTTGTGCACCAGAGGATTACCCTACATATCGAAGAGGGACGAATGCAAATAAATCAAAGACAGTATGGTCGTTTTTGAGTTGACGTTTATTTCTGCAGTAAGTCGTGATAAAAGGTTTTTGTTCGTGAGAGACTCGACCTCTGTTTTCCTGTGTCTGTAGACTTCTGTATTTTAGGCGTCAGCTGACCCAAGAAAAGGGAAATCTTTGTGAGTTTCATCACTAAAGGGGGTTGCTGAGAGTCGTTCTCCTTGAGGATTATCCACAGTGACGGATTTAACCTCAGCTGAGAGAAAACGCCGGTGTCTCTGTAGCGCCCACAGAGCTGGAGTTAATCTGAGTTCGCCGAGGTTGAATGAGTTCAACGGAGGATCACGTAGACGTTCGTTCACTGGGTCAGGTGGTCAGTCTTTCTCTGAGGGAGGGAGGAAGGGAGGAAGGGAGGGACGGAAGGGGGGGAGTCTGAGGCATCCAGGGACAGAAAGACAGAGGATGAACTGAGGAGACCGGAGAGGAGAGTGAACTCAGACGGTTCACTCCGGGTAAGACTTCTGTTAACGACGTTTAGAGCTCCACACTCCGGGCTTTGTCCTCAACTGAGAGTCTCAATCCTTCAAAACTTCAGCTCCACTTTGAACATCATGTGAAACAAATATTTCATTTTCAGAGTGTGAGCTGCTTTTATAACATCATTATTTTATGACTTTAATCAGGATCTCTGCGTCAGTTTTTCTGAACTTTTGTTACCCTGCTGTGTTCAAGAACTGAATCCGATCAGGAGTGTTTGAGCGGTTAACGGCCAAACGTCGACAGAAACGACCTTTTCCTGTTGACACTGTGGCAAAAACACCAAATCGGTTAACAACTTTAATTTAGAGAGTATCAGACTTCGGATTCATGGTCAATGCAGTAACTAAAAGATAAAAAGGAGGAAAGGAGGGAGTTAAAACACAAAGAGACATCAACCAAATTGAAGAAAGCACGATCAAAAAACAGAGCACAGTACAGGCCTTGATAGTGTTTGAGGAATTGTTGACAAAAAACACTTTAAAGTAACAAAGAAGACATTTACCAGGTTTTCATGAGTTTATAATTAAAGGTAAACTTGCTGTGCAGCATCTGAAAAGACAGCAATGAAACAAAAAACAGCAACAATGATTCACAACTTAAGATAGGATCCACAAAAATCTGTTAAAAGTTGACAATAAAATGACAAAACAAACACTGAGGATTAAAACCAAGTCTTTGGATGACAATAATACTCTAAAGGTGCTAAAATGTGCCTTTGAGTCTCCCTAAAATAATATGTTATACACTAAAATGCATCAAGAGCTGCAGGTACAAAAGTATTTCTATTATTATCCGTTTATTGAACATAAAGCTCCTGTAAGAAACTTTTGGGTTGTCCTAGTTTTGGCGCCCCCTGTGGACAAAAATAAAACATCCTTCTGACCTCTAACAGTCAAATATTTAATTTAATGTGAATATTTTAAGTTGAAATTGAAAAAAGGTTACCCTCACTCTGTTTTCAGGGGTTTAAAATAGGTAGAAAAATAGTCAGTCTTGTTGCTGGTGATCTTGTTTTCTCTTGTATATCGTAAAAATAAGAGTTAATGTGATTTTTAACATTAAAAACCCCTATAGGAGCTTTAATATATCAGACTCTGGATTATCAGGTGATTTAGTTTGAAAATAAAATGAGTTTTGTTCAGAAGTTTAATCATTTTGGAATAAATCAGATAGAAGTCTCATATTGTAAAAGTCTGCATTTCCACCAAATGCGAAAAGTCAAATGTTACTAGTTTGTCCACTCTGTGACCCTGTAGGAACGACAAAAACAAACATACTTATGAATATTATATATCTGCTAAATCTCTGCACTGCTCCTTTAAAGTGCGTCTTTGTCGTGAGTTAACAGCTGTAAAATAATCTCCTCTCCTTCCTCTTACGTCTCAGGCCTCTCCTCACCTTGTGCGTGTCTGCGTGTAAGCTTGTGTGTAGTTCCAAGTGTGTGTTTGTGTTCATGTGGCTGCACACTTACATAACTTCCCTCGGCTAAATTTAGCGACTCAGAGTCGAACTGTCACGGCTACAAGCTGCTGAGCGCAAAAATATCCTCAGTCAGTAAGTCAGTGTGTTTTTAGTGTCAACGCGATAAACTGCAGACACACTTTTCTCTCAGAAAGAGCAGATCCAGACCTGATAAACGGGTCTTTAGTGAACAAATGTGACATTAAAATGTTGTTAAAGTAGCAGCAGAGAGAGACGTCTGAGCAGACCGGAGAGTTAACACACAAATAATCAACAAACTGAAGCTTAACAGACGTTTGTGCATGCTTATAAGAAACTGAGGGTGTAGAATCAGAGGATATTGGAAAAGACGACCAGTCAAGTAAAAGTTAAAGTGCAGGATTTTATTTAAATACAAACAAATGCATTTTTTAAAGGAATCATTCAAACGTTAAAGAAATGTGTTTTTGTAATTCTCTGTATTTCCTGCATTTGTTTAAGTTTGATTTGTTTTATTTGAAGTTATCCCCCCGTTAGAAACGTTGCAGTGAAAAACTGCCCTGACCTTGTTTACATGTGAAAACACGGCTGTATTATCAGGCTCAGCTCACTAAAAGGATTAAGCTATAAAAGAGTTAGAGACTAATGCTGTGTGGCATCGATCCACATCCTGTTCATCTAAAAATGCCAGAAAACACCGATTATTGACATGAGGAAATGGTTTTATTTTGTTTTACTGATTTATTTGTGTTTTATTTGCTGTTTGCATCCATCTGTACAGTAGAGAGTGAAACGTGTTTTTTATTTTCAGAGCTAAGAAGTAGAAATAGTGATTGGTTTTAAGTCAATAATCTGATGGAAAACCCTGAAATTCTATGTTTTAATAAAAAATAAAATAATATCCATGATAGTGGTTAACTGTGACAGCTTCTCTGTAACATGTTCCTGTTTTTTATATTTTATTGAAACTTTATCAGCAGATTTATGACCAAAGATAATCCTCCAAGATTACAATAATAAAGTTGTTCTAGGGCTGCACGGTTAATCGATTTTAAATCGTGATTATTAGATTATGACGATGTTAAAAAATGTAAATTGTCAAGTTGATTTTCCTCTCTATCATGTCTTGTACCTCCAGGCCACCGTAGGCTCCCCCTTCCCACAAACACCAGTGTAAACAAACATGGCGTTTGCAAAAGAAGGCGATAATTTCGTGGTTAAATTGGACAAGAGCGAGTCAGTCGTGTTGAATTGGTACGACTTCACAGTTTCAGATGAAGAGTAAACCACTCCCTGCTGTAAAGTCTGTCTGAAGGCGGTATCAACCCGTCACCACGGAAACAAATTCAGGAGGAAACGCTAAAGTTTTTTGATGTATCAGAAATGGCGTTTCAGGTGACTGTAAACGGTACTTTTTGAAAACGGGTCAGAGAGTGAATAAATCTGTAAACTACAACCATTTTGGCACCATAACCAACGACCATTTCAGCGCGTGTCCGACTAAAACAACCTTTATACACATGCTCTGTACTCTTCTGCTGTCTTTTGTGCATTTCCTGTGCAGTGTTACAGCGCCACCTACTGGCTTGGCATATACACTACATTGTTTTCAGTGGTTTTGTTTTGAGAGACGTTAGAAAAACTTTTTATTAAAGTGAAGTTTAGTGAAGTTGTCCCTGAATAAAAAAATCAAAACTCGAGTTTTCAGAGAAAAAAATCGTGATTTTATTTTTGGCCAAAATCGTGCAGCAGCCCTAGTTTATGCTCACCAACAATCATCTCTATCACCTTTACTGACATCAGTATCTCCTTCTGTTTTTCATCCTCTTTGAGTTTTCTGCTCAGAGCTTTTATGTCACGGATGCTGACCTTCATTTGTTGTTTTAAATGATCCTGACGGGTTGTTTTCTGTCGTTTGTCTGCAGCTCAGATTGAAATCATTCCCTGTAAGATCTGTGGAGATAAATCATCAGGGATCCACTACGGAGTGATCACCTGTGAGGGCTGCAAGGTAAGACTTATAAAAATATATAATGGATAACTTATAATGGATGTATTCAGACCTGAAGTGAGTCTCTGAGGAGAGACATTTGGTCCAGATGACTCAAATTCACAAATATTTGCAACAAGCATATTTATGAGAGATAATTTTAGCTCCGAAGAGAAATCTGCATAAGTGTTTTGGAAAAGCCAATCAGCTCCTGACACCCTGCTGTTCAATGTTTAATATTTAATCCCAGCTCAGAAAGAAATGTGCGTTTTAAAGGTTGTTTTTCATCCTGTTTCTTGCACCATCCTCTCATAAACTGGATGCAGACGTTTTGCAAATCTGCATCATGATTTCACCACTTCTGCACGCCGTCGACCTGTTCAGTTTAATTAAGGCGTGGAGAGTCTTTTATTCTGGGTCCATCAGAGGAAACCTGGTCTTCACGCTGGTCCTGGAGGAGCCGCTGATTCGTGCTGATCTGAGTTTCCAGAGTCGCTGCAAAGGAAAATATTTGTAGGCAACCGAAGTGACCCCGTGGTCCAAATGAGAGCAGAAATGTGATGCAGATGTTGACTCACTTTGAGTCTGAACGCAGCCTCACAATTACGGGCACAATGAGCAAATTAACACCTCACAAATCGACAGCTGCTGCCGATTTGATCCGTCTGTGCAGGAAGGAGTGTGTGGCTGCAGGAGGAAAGTCGTGTGCAGTAAGAGTCTGACTTACATCCTAAAGTTTACATCATGAGAACTCAGACTTGGGGCTCTATTTTGGTGCCTCGCCGGAGACGTGCCGCAAGCGCAGCGTCAGCCAGATCCGCCGCGCTGACAAGGCGTTCCCAAGCACATTTTGGTATTTTGGTGAGCGACGCAGCCCGGCGTTAGTATCCCCCCTCCCTAACTCAGCTCCTCCCAGCAGCATAAGTCGTAGACGGGGAGGAGAGAGGGCGTGTAGTGGGTTTAACACAGCCGAGACCTGTTTTCACCAATCACATAAGCTCCTCTCCTTGCCTTTAAATCCGCCACAGGCGAGGCGTATTACTATTTTCATGAAGTAGTCAAAGAGATCAAGAGATGTCTTAAGACAGTAATGCCACAAGATGGCGACAGAGGGCAGCTCCTCAACAAGTGTCCTCCACACCCTCTCACAAATAAAGAGCTTTCAGCGCACTTTACACGCCGGTGGCGAGCACGAAAATGTCACTGCGCCAGCTGATTCTGTCGACACCTCCCCCTGCCACGCCACCACGCCCAGCTTGGCGGATCTCGGCTCGCCTCCGTGCGGCTCAGTCCATGAAAATACCAAACTGGCCTTACGCCGGGCTCCGCCAGATGAAAATACAACTGCGCGGGGCTCGCCGCCCTCCGCCGCCTCACCGGCGCGCACGAAAATAGAGCCCCTTGGTTTCTAATCTTTCTGAGCAGTCAGATTCTCATAACCAGGAGCAGAGGAAACGTCAGACTCTCATCTCCACCGTTTGGCACAGAGATGTTCTCCTGGTTACATCGTCTGTGTGTTAAACTGCAGCAGCTGTCGTCTGCAGCTGGAGGCTCATTTCTCAGCCAACAAGCAGAGGATGGAGATCTGTCTGTGTACAAACACGGAGAGGAGAGATTCAGGGCGAGGAGAGGCCTCATGGATCACAGAGACAGTCCTGGAGACGGGTGTGAGAGAGGCCTGATAATAAGATGTTTCTGTCCCCTCCTCTGACAGGGTTTCTTCAGGCGGAGTCAGCAGAGCAACGCCGCCTACTCCTGTCCTCGCCAGAAAAACTGTCTGATTGACCGGACGAGCCGCAACCGCTGCCAGCACTGCCGTCTGCAGAAATGTCTGTCTGTGGGCATGTCAAGAGACGGTGAGACACGTAACCAGAGGTTCAATCTCAGGTGTAAAAACTGCCTGAAATAAATAATCAGAGCAGCGTCTCTTCTGTCTCAAAATAAAGTCCTTTTCTTTTCATCGTCCTGCAGCTGTAAAGTTCGGCCGCATGTCCAAGAAGCAGCGGGACAGTCTGTACGCTGAGGTGCAGAAACATCGTCTCCAGCAGCAGCAGCAGCAGCAGCAGCAGGGGTCCCTCCTCCTGTCCCACCCCAGCCCAGGTGAGGCCGAGCCGCTGTCCCCCCACTACAGCCTGTCCTCCACCGGGCTCACAGAGCTCCCCGATGATCTGGGAGGATACATCGAACAGAACTCACCCGAGGAAGGATCCGTGTCCTCTAAGGTCCGTGGTTCTTATTTCTAGACCGGCTCTGTCTAAAATAACAGAATCAGCTGTTCTGACAAACTCTCTTCTCCACAAACAGGCCGACTCTGGAGGAGGAGGTGGAGGTGATGGAGGAGGAGGATTCTACATGGACTTCCAGCCTTCTCCAGACCAGTCAGGACTCGATATCAACGGAATCAAACCAGAGCCGCTGTGCGACTACGGGTCCAGTAACGGCTTCTTCCCGTACTGCTCCTTCAGCAACGGGGACACGTCCTCCACCGTGTCCATGGCTGAGCTAGGTGAGTCTGAGGGTCTTTGCTGCTGCTCTACCCGCCTGTGGAAAGAAGGACTCTCAGAACTGAACCACACGAACAAAAATCACTAGTTTGTGTCGATTTCTCAGAGGATCTTCGTATGTAATTCCTCCTGAATCGAGTTGTGGAGGTCTGATTCTCACTGTAATCTCCCCTGATAGAAACAAACTCTGTACCTGCTCCTGGAGGCGTAGGCTGAGCTTTAAAAGCGTAAATCTGACAGCATATGGCGGAAGGTTGTAGAGAGCTGGAGGGAAAAACTTACAGAGAAGGAGATGAGGAAACACGTTGAAAAGCTGCAGAGAGGAGAGTAGGAGTAAAACTAGAGGAGGTGAGGAGAAGGAAGTCACAAAGACGAGTTACAGCGAGACAAAGAAACAAAGCGAGAGCGAGAACTGAGGGGTGAAGAGATCCAGGGAAGGTTGTTTAAAATAGCAGGAGGTTGGAAACTCATCTTCAGAGCTCATTAAAATCTCTGTGTGGTAATTAGCCGTCTGTTAATTAGGGCCAAGTGGGACGTGGTGGGGCTCTGGATGGGGAAATCAGCTCTTTGTGATCCCTGAAGATTTGTTTTTATCCTCAGACTTTATGTTTTTGGACAAAACACTTATCCCGGCGCCTCTTTATCTCCACGCCACCGCGGCTCTGTAGATTGTTGTTTGGTCTGCTTCGTTAATCCGTGTGAGTTTATTCATTCATTCATTCATGCTGGAACAATTAGAACTGGCACAGAACAACAGGTACTGTGTGTTCCTCTGGAAATAATTCATAACTGAGTCACATTCACAAACATTTGGATCTCCCCCTCTGTGGGACACGAACAGGGTTTCACTTCTCAGAGACAGAGCTCACACTGTCACCTGATTTTAACAAAAATAAAAGACAATTACGAACAACGACAGACGCTGAAAGTTCTCAGAGTGTGTGCAGGAATAATAATAACCACAGGCGACCAGGCTAACAAGCTCTGAGTCTACAGTCTGACGGGGTACATGAACAAATCTGCTGAGCCACGAAACCCCTGAGCGCTCTCTTCATCATGAGGAGGACGAGCTGCTGCAGTTTGGCATGAACAGGAAGTGTTGAGGCGCTTTGGAAAGCAAGATAAACTTTGTGGCGCAGTTCAGAGCGAGTCTGTATCGCTGTTTGATTGCTGCAATTTACTCCAGCAATATTGATATGAAGAGAAGGAGGGACCTCTCAATACCATAAATATATGTAAATATGACTGTGTGCATGATGCAATAAAATAATACTGCAATTCTGACAAGACAGTAAGATAATAAAACAATAATATCAAAGTTAAAGCACTCAGTAGGGCTGGGCGATGAACCAAAAATTTACTGATACCGAAATTTACGACAATAACCGACGTCATTTTGCCGATAACGGTATATACGATGTCAAATAAATAAATCAAAGTTGTTTTTGGATGTGTGTAGGTAGGCTATGGTCTCATGTCCCTTTAATACGCTGTCCTACATCAGAGACGTGACTCCACCCCATCCAGTCTGTAACAAAGAGGGAAAGACAGGTGAGGAGATGGAGGACGGTTCAGAAGTTGTAGCGGCTGAAGTAGACGAAGTTAATGTGGGAGGGGGTGAACATAGGGCTGGTTAATACAACGATAATCATATAAATCTAAACTTAATTTCCTTCGATATCGATATAAAACATGGTCAATATGACTTTCGATGGTCGGCATTCTGCCATGTTTTAGTCAACTAACGAATAGCAAATGAACATGAATGAATGAAATGAATGAATGAAATGACACATGAAAAAAGACATGCGACCAATGAGCTCTGTTACTAAATAAGAGTAACAGGGAACAATTTAGATTGACAAGTGATTTTTTTCATATCATGATATATATATATATATCGATATCGACTGATATAAAAAAAAATATATTGTGATAAAAAAATTTTCCCATATCGCCCAGCTCTAGATGAGCAGCTTGTGGAGTAGTTATCGTCCATTTATTGTTCTCGAGGTGAACTGATCAATTTATTGTGATATTGATTTGAGGCTATATCGCCCAGCCCTAGCACTCTGTGTTTTCTGACTTCTTTTGGACCTTTTTTAAGACTGACTCTTGTTTTCTCGTAGATCACCTGTCTCAGATCATCTCCAAGTCTCACCTGGAGACGTGTCAGTACCTGAGGGAGGAGCTGCAGCAGATGAGCTGGCAGAACTTCCTCAAGGATGAAGTGGAGAGATACCAGAGCAAGGTACGTTCATAACGTTTGTTGTTTGTAGACAGTGGTTCTCAAGACAGTCTCGCTGCGGACCAGAAGTTGTTTGAAGCCTTTCAAAATAAAAGCACATATTCTAAGAGTACATTTCTCTCTGTATGACCAAAGTTGATTTGAAGCCTTTCAAATTAAGAGCGATTACACTGGGAAGTCTTTTTTAGTAGTCTCATGATTTTATTATTCTGAGATCCTGTTTCATCAAACTGCAGTTCCTGGAGTGTCCACTAGAGGCTGAGGGATTCTCGTTCGTATGTTCGTGTTTGTATTAACGTCGTTTTTGTCTTTGTTTTACAGCCGCGGGAGCTGATGTGGCAACTCTGTGCGATTAAGATCACAGAGGCCATACAGTACGTGGTCGAGTTCGCCAAACGGATCGACGGCTTCATGGACCTGTGTCAGAACGACCAGATCGTGCTGCTGAAAGCTGGTGAGGAGGGGGTCACACTTTCTCATCATACTAATATCTCACTTCTTAAATCTTGAGTAACCATAGCAACACCTGCCTAGTCCCTAAAATACCTGCTGCGGTGTGGAGTCATTCGCCGCTGAAAGTCGTTTCTCTATTTGGTTTGAAAACAAAGTTACTGATCAACTGATCAATCAAATAGATTAGATAATCAGCTGTGAGTTTTAAATCAGGATTAGATTTGAGATTATTAGATTAACCAATCACATGCTCCTCCTCTGTGTTCTCCCTGCAGGCTCTCTGGAGGTCGTCTTCGTCCGAATGTGTCGGGTGTTCGACTCTCAGAACAACGCCGTCTACTTCGACGGGAAATTTGCAGGTCCTGACGTCTTTAAAGCGTTAGGTGAGTTTTTATTTTACCGCTCCTCATAATCAATCCTGGTGTCAGAAGTGGTGATCGGTTCTGATCCGTGCTGGTTCGTGTGTGTTTCCAGGTTGCGATGACTTGATCACGTCGGTGTTCGACTTTGCCAAAAGCATGTGTTCGCTGCACCTGTCCGAGGACGAGCTCGCTCTCTTCTCGGCCTTTGTTCTTCTCTCTGCAGGTACGTGTCTCTGCTCTGTCTCGTATCGTTCGTCTCTGTCGCTCTGAAGGTTTAGTCGAGGTTGTAGTCAGCGTGCGTGTGTGTGTGTGTTCACGTGTTTGTGTGTTTCTGCAGACCGGTCGTGGCTGCAGGAGAAGCTGCAGGTGGAGAAGCTGCAGCAGAAGACTCAGCTGGCTCTGCAACACGTCCTTCAGAAGAACCACAGAGAGGACGGACTGATCAACAAGGTACCGACACCAAACATCTGAAGTTCAGGAGGAAGAGAGAAAATCCTGAACTTCAGAAAAAACAGGAAAACCAAACTGTCCAAATATTAAAACAGTGTTCAGTCATCATGTTCAGATAGTTCCTATTTTCACAGAAGAAGACATGGTCCCCCTGCAGCTGTTAGAACAGTTAGAAAATGGCCTTGACCGCCCCCCTGTGGTCAGATTCTGAACTACAAGAATTTCAAACACACAGAGAACACTCCTGCTCTCTTTGATCACTTTGACTCGTCCTCCTTCTCTAGATAATAATATTCATGTTCGTGTGTCTCCTCTCCTCACCTCTATTCTTCTCTCCCTCCTTACCTCCTCTTTCCTTTCCTCCTCATGCTTCCTTACCGCCTCTCTCCTCTTTTCCTTTCTTTATTCTTCTTTTATCATTCACTTCTCTCCTTCTTTCTTCCCTCTTCCTGTCTTGCTCCCTCTCTTTGGTTCCTTGTCCGTCTTCTCTCCTTGTTTCCTTTCCTTGCATCCTCCTTGTTTCCCTTCTTTTGTCCCCTACACTCCTTTCTTTCCTTCTCTGACTTCCTTATTTCTTTCCTTTTTCGTCGAACCTTTCTTTAACTCTTTTAACTTATTTTCCACTCCTCTTTTTTATCTCCTTGTCTCCTTTCCTTCCTTACTTTACATCTTTCTTCCACTCTTCCTGTTGCCTTTTCTTCTTCTTGTCTTCTCTTTGTCACCCTTCTTCTCTCAACTCTTCTCAACTTGTATCCTTCTTCCCTTCCTTTTCCTCTTCTTCTCCTTTCATTGTCCCACTTCTATTCTCTCTTACTTCCTTCTTGTCCTTTCCTCCTCACCTCCTCTCCTCTCCTCCTCACCTCCCCCTCTCCTCTACTCTTTACCTCCTCCTTCCTTTCCTTTCCTCTCCTCCACACCTCCTTCTCTCCTCTCCTCTGTTTTTCTCTCCTCTCTTCTTCTCTCCTCTCCTATTCTCTTAACCATCCCCTCTTTCTTCCTCCACACCTCCTCTCCTCTGACCTCCTCCTCCTCCTCACCTCCTCCTCCACACCTATTCACGTCCTCCTCTCCTCTCCTCCTCTCCTTTCCCCTTCACCTCCTCTTCCTTCTCCTCTACTCCTCTCCTCTCCTCCTCACCTCCTCCTCTCCTCTCCTCTCCTCTTCTCTCCTCTCCTCACCTCTTCACCTCCTCCTCCTCCTCCTCCTCCTCCTCCTCTTCTCCTCTCCTCACCTCCACCTCCTCCTCCTCCTCTCCCCTTCGCCTCCTCAGCTCAGATGTAAGGTGTCGGCGTTGCGTTCGCTGTGCAGTCGGCACACGGAGAAGCTGTCGGCGTTCAGGGCGGTCTACCCGGACGTGGTCGGGACTCACTTCCCTCCTCTGTATAAGGAGCTGTTTGGAGCCGACCTGGAGGTGACCCTGCAGACCGACGGATGAACTTTGACCTCCTCTGAGCTGCAGTGAACCGGCAGACGGACCCTTCAGGGCCCTGGAGGACGGGCGATGACTCACGCTGCTGCTGCTGCACTTCTTCTCATGAACAGCTGAGTCGACATAAACAGAGATTCTGAACTCTTTCTTCACCTCCTCCTTCTCCTCCTCCTCCTCTCATGGCTCTGTGTTATCAAACAGAGAGGAATCAGGTTGACTCCCTCCACCTGGATCTGGATTCTGGATCAGGCTCACTGACACATTTACAGACACCTTCAAACCTTCATCTTTCTCGAGCAGACATCAGCACTTCTTCTTCTCAAAGTCACTCCACCCTGAGCGTCACCTGAACTTGTTTAAAAACAGACAATGGTCAGAGAGGTGGAGACATCAGAACTGGGCGAGCATCGAGCTTTTATTAAAGCGTCAAACTTGTACCCTCGAAGGTAAGCCCTGACAGCGAATGCCTCATCTTTATATTTTCATGGTTTCAATATTCGACCTTTATTTCAGTTTCCTCCACAGACTGTGTGTCAGAAGTCGACATCAGCTGCAGTAGTGACAGACATGCAGAGCGTGAGCGGATGAATACAAAAGTGAGAGATGGGTCACGCTAGTGCAAAATCAAACTTCCCCATTTAACGATATAAACGCTGATCCCAGCACCAGTAATGAGATCTCGGACAGGATTCCCTGAAGCGCCCTCACGTCTTGGTTACAGCGTGTCGTTAAAAACTTACAACGCGAGCAAAACAGGAAGTGTTAAAGAGGTTAAAGAAGACATACACAGTTTCTATGTGCACATCTGCGCTCACGTCCACAGCCACTATCACTTTGTCCGTCTTGTTCTCCCTCTTTTTAAGGATAACATTCTTTCATACAGTTTCTAACCTATTATGAGTTTGATTCATAATTAGCGCCCTCACGTCTCGGTTACAGCATGTTAGCATGTTTGTAAAAAGCTCCAACAAAGTAAGAAGTCAGAGCTCGTAATAACAGACAGTTTCAGTTCCCACTGAGCGTTTCTGGTCTAAAAGACGTCTAAATGTAGACCAAGTTTAAACCAAGTCTAAATCTGGGCTAAATCTAAATGACACTGTATTTTGCTCAACAGCTATCATAATTATTTTGGTTAAATACTTGAAGATCAGTTATGAAACTCACAGTTGCTTTTTGAAGTAATAGTTACTGAATAAAGGGTTAAAGTGTAACGTCTGAATTCTGTCTAAAATTATACAGACTCTAGACGGTTAAAATAAGGTCTAAAAAAACGTCTAGTAGCCGTCTATCGCTCAGTGGGTAACTGTATCCCAGACCTGAGGATGGTCGTTGGTCCTAAATCCCAGCAGGAGTTTCCTGACGGCTACGTTAATTTCTAACATACAGTCTTGGTGTTTGTCGTGTAATCCTTCTTCTTGTTTCTGTACCACTGTGTAAAAATATGAGCGAAAACATCCATTTATTTTCTTGTTGTTTTGAACTAGTTTGGATAAAACCACTTAAAGAGTCATCCAGGGTCCAGAAAGGTTTGTTTATTGATGTAGCGCTTAAAGAGACGGTTTTAAAGTCACCAGATTTATATGAAAACAAACCTCGATGTTTGATTCAACAGCAGCTGGTTTGGTGGGTGTTTCATCGCTTCATCCAGGTAGACATCCTCTTTGACTCATGGGTCATTTTTCCCTGACGTTTGTTCATGCGTCACTCGCTATTTATGTCCGAAACAAATCTCATGTTTTCTCTTCTCAGGCAGATTAAATCGACGAGTATTTCGCAATCAGGAAAAAATAACAGTAGCATGTGTCTGCAGACCTGGAGGCTGCAGATTCAGTCATGCATCAAACCTAAACTGTCAAAATATAGAGTTGAGGTCTGAAATCTGGACCCTCCATCTCTGCAGTAAACCAAACTCGAAGGAAATCTGAGAAAATCCACTTTTTTTCCTCTAAATCTAGAATATCAGTGAAGGTTTCTGTGGATTTCTCAAACAAAATGCCTCACAGTTTATCCCTCCAGGAAAAGAGCAGCTCATTTATGTAAGCCTGCAGCGCCATCCACTGGCAGAAATAGGGAAGTACAGGTTGTCTGTCCTCTGGTCAGTGTTTAATGAGGTTTTCAGTTTCATCTGCTCACACTTTCACCCTGTATTTTTCACGAGAGGCAAATGATTCATGAGATTTTTTTTCTTTAAAATGACTAAATGCAAGCAATACAGCAGAAACAACAGGTTAATAATAGTAGCAATATGAAGTCTATGCAGAGTCACCATGATAAAGTGGTAAAGATGTTGCACTACAGTCCATGCACTGCTGCCCTGGAGGTGCGTTTGGACCGCAGACTCCTGGGAGACGACTTTGTTTTCCATCATCCACGTCTAAGTCGGTGATTTCACAATCGTTTTCACACGCTGGACAGACCTCAGAGGGTCACAGGGGATTTTTAATTTTATAGTCTATGAATCAGTAACACCACAAAGGTTGTCTGCTCCTGATTTTCAGCTGCAGATTCTGCACAAACATGTAGAAAAATAAAGGAGAGTAAAACATGTGAAAAGCTTTGACCAATCTCTGATCCCTCAGACTTTTATTTGCATTTATTAAACTCCATCAGTTCATGTCCACATATATCTGCATCTAAGTGCAGCCAACAGCCTCGAAATACTGCCTGTCGACTCCAGCTCCAGTCGTGTGTCCTAAATTGCTGGTCAGACTCTAAATGAAGATAAGACATGAAGGAATTCTCAACATGAAGTTCTCAGATGCTCCAGATCCTTCTCGGTTCCTCTCAGAGGCTCTGTTGTCTTTGAAGAACTGCTGATCCTCACTTTTTAAAGTGTGATGTTGTGTTAAAGTCTCTGATTTGAACTATCGGCTTTACAGATGTAATATGTACGAATTGAACAAAAATTTGCAGATTTATCATCGAGTATAAATGAACCTTGAGTTGGTGTTTGTCCAACATCTGAAAAAACTGAACAGGACTTTGAAACTGTTGTAGTTTGTTCAGGTTTCTGCTCCTCCAGGTCAGGACGACATAAAACGAAAAAGATGTTCATGATCCTTTCCTACAGGGTGAACTCTCGTGTTTGTCCGACTTGTAAATCAACCAAAATGCCAAATGGGCTCGATTCTACTTTGTTTTTCTTCACCTGACGACCATTTTTTTATGAATGAATTTACTGGGTCCAGTTTGAGCGGATGCATACTTGTCTAGATTGCACTAAGTTGTTGATCTCCTCATAGTGTTTGGAAAAGCTCATTTCTCTGATATGCATTCAAACATTCCTCCTGTTTTGAAGCGTACTCTCATAATGTGGATACTATTTGGATGTGCCACCAGCTTCTCCACACCGTCACATTTACTCTTCAGGTCCGAGGCTGAAAAAAAAAGTTGTGTTTCTATAGAATAATGTTCACCAAAATTTTGAATGTAAAGCAATAACTCTGATGTGTTTTTATTCTTGTTCATTTTGTACAGTTTGAAAACGATGGCATGTCACTGCAGAGTCCAACTCATAAAGTTTCATTTCAGGGGTTTCCTCCTTTATAATTTCGTCTCGATTCGCCACATGATCACGTACGCCGACGACACACTCCTCCCACTTCATGCCACTCGTTGCTTCTTTGAGTAATCTTATCGATACGTCTGTACAGGCAGCAGGAAAATACCGGTAATGACGCCGTGAGGGTGTCAAAGTTTTTATCTGTTGATTGATATGCATTATGATGTAAAGTATCCGGTTTGATATGCACTGCTCTCCTTTAGGTTTAGTTGAAAAAGAGGGGAGCATTCGTGTTTTTAATATGTGTGTGGTGCTAGGTAACCTTTTGTTAGCAGGGTCTTGATTTTACCAACTATGCCACATTGTGTGTTTCCTCACAGGGTCATGTGTAAAGAGGAAAGTTGTGTTTTTATCCGCCTCACAGAAACTCGACATTTATATGAAACCAACCTCCACTGGTTTATGGGTAAATCTTCTGGATGTATTCGCTTCAAAAGTCACTTAAAGGTCGATGTTTTGGTTCAGTCTTAACAAATATAACAAGTTTTTGACTCGTGCTCCACAAAATTAGGGGTTAAATGAGTGAAAGTCAAGGATCAGGAAGTTGAAGAGGTTTACCCCCCATGAAGAACAAAGACACACTAGATTCACACCTCCTCCTCATTATGGATTAGAGGACTAAAGCTACCCTGTGCACAATGACCACTGGCACAGTCATCGTCTGAACCCCAAATTCCACCACATGTGGAATTTGGGGGTCTCACAAGAACCCGCGAATTTTCATGAAATTGCATGATAACGATTGGCTATGGAATCCCATACCATATCCATATCAGGTCATAGATTATTACGTTATTTTGGACTTCTAGAATCAGCATCTCCTCATCCATGGTGTCAACGGAGTGAAATGACGTCTAAAAACCTTTCACTTGTTCGTCTCCGCCCGTTTGCATGGTGTGAAATACGATCCTCCTGAAACACGGAGTGTTTTATTTTGAAAAGAAGCCGGATGTTTTATTTTGTGTCTGTGCCCGACTTCCTTTCCAGCACGGGTTAATCTGTGCTGAATTTATCCGGCATGCTGCGGCATCTGGAAAAAATAGAACCCTGGCGATCGGCTACGAAGTCCGCTAAACCGCAGGTGGCCGGGGAGAAGCTGGTGGAATTCGACCAGACGTGTCTCCTTTGCCCAACCACGATCATGCAGATTTGGACAAACGAGACTATGATTGAACACCATCAAATTTACAGAAGTTGCGTTCACACCAAACACAAATTAGATAATTTGCACGAGTAAATTACTTGTAAAGTCAATGTTGAATAAAGCCCATTATTATTCCTGAGTTTGCAACATGTTCAAAACGTATTTCTAGAAGTCGAGTCTGATCTCACTCCACTTTAACCAAACAGGCTGATGTGACCTAAGCAAGTCGACATGAAACATTCTGGTGTTCAAATATGTGCGAGCTCAGCCAGTCAATAATTTTATTTGTGTGAACCTGTGTGAACACAAAGTTATTGTGTCCCCACTTTTATATCTTTCTGTTTTTGCAAAAACTAGAGATGCAAATTCAAAGTATCCTCCCTGATTGATCTGTGGAAATTTTAGCTCTAATTTATTTAATAGATGTGAAAAATCTCTGCAGACATCAAGAAACTATTGAAAGCACAACATGTGGAGGTTCTGCAGCAAGAACAAAATAAAAAAAAAACACACTTCTTTTTGATAAATTTAGCGTGTTCATGTGGTCTGCACCGTGCTGTTATGCAGAGATAAAACAGGAGTAAATTAGATCAAACCTTGAACCCAGGTGGAGGTCTTCAGAGTGAGTTTAAAAAAACACAACCTTCCTTTAAATGGATAAATGTTATTATGATACTGAAATATCATAGTACGAGAATGTAATTTCCCAGCCTGCACCTGTATCAGCGTGTCGGGCTGGGTCTGTTGATCTCTTTGTTTAAACATGTTGGATACACAAAGCAGAGCTTCTGTATCAGAAATGTATTAAAATAAAATGAAACTGAATTAAAGAAGCTGTTCCTGTTCTTCTCTGACCTGACAGTGCTGATAGGATTTACTCGTCTGCACCTGCATCAGCTTCCAGAAGGTGGCAGTAGTGCACAGGTGTCTCGTTTATGAGGAGACGATGTTGCAGCAGAAAACAGAGCGGCCACTCTTCTCACAGATCACACACACACACACACACACCGTTTAAAGGGGATTACACTCTGTTTGATGCAGTTTTATCTTTGTTGAGGATCGATGTGAAGTCGAATATTTTTGTGATTCACATTAGGAGAAACAAAAACAACAGTAAGGATATAAAACTCTCTGGACAGCTGCACTCGCTCCTTAGATAGCAGGGATTTATATGTCGCTCTCTAACACCTTAGGATTTTTATTTCTCACCTACTCTGAAGAACTTTTCATGATCTCAGATTCAAAGTTTTTTCTTCCTGAATTTCCCCCCACCTTTCTGCTACTGCCAGTGAGACCAGTAAGTTGTCAATATCCAAAACCAGCTCCCCCTTTTCGAGCAGTGTCTGATTTTAACCAGTATCGTATATATTGGCACTGATGTCCTGCACACGGGAGGTCCGCTCTCTCAGAACAGAGCTGAAAGTGATCCTGACTGTAGTGAAACCAAAATACTTAGAGCTCCCCCTACTGGCTGACTTCGGTATAAGATAATATTGAGACTGCAGGTTATGAACTAACTAGTTTAGACCCTAAGTATAAAAATGGATGACTTAACAGCTCTCTAACAGTGAAGACAAAACACTGAGAGCTCGTTTTACTAACATGGAGATGATATGTTTTAATTGAAAAATATTATATTTTTTCTTGTTGGATGTCGTTCATTATGTCTTCGGTCTCTGAGAAATAGTTTTCTTTTTTTTCCGTTATCTCAGACATGTTATCTTTTTCACGTACCTTGACATGTTTCAGCAGAAACTTCCGACTTCCTCAGAAGGGTCACTTGGACGACACGTCATATCAGCTGGTGTTTAAATTACATTTTTACAGTACTTAAACTATGACATTTTTAACATACTATACTGATATTTTTATATTATACTATGATGTTTTTATCATACTTTACGATGATTTTGTTATCATGCTATACTATGACATTTTTATGATACTGTACTATGATATATTTATCATGCTATACAATTAGATTTTTATTTTGCTGTACTGTAATAATTTATCACACTTAACTGTGACTTTTTATCATACTATAGTGTGTCATTTTATAATACTATACTAATACATTTTTATCATTCTATACTGTGATGTTTTAATACATTTTATACTGAGATTTTTTATCATACTATACTATTACATTATTTCATACTATACTATGATATTTTTATTATATATTACTTTGACTTTTTATCATACAATACCAGTACATTTTTTACTATACTATACTATGACATTTTCATCATGCTATCCTTTGACATTTTTATCATATTTTACTATGATTTATTATCATACTAAGCTTTGACCTTTTTATATCATCCCATAATATGAAATTTTCAACATACTTTACTGACATTTTTATCATATGATTCTAAGACATTTTATCATATGTTACTATGACATTTTTGTCATATGTTACTATGACCTTTCTATATAATACTATCGGATAACATTATATTAAATTATATTGTGATATTTTTATCACACTTCTTTTACATTTTTATCATACTATACTATAAAACTTTATTTATTTTTTGTAATTTTTTGCCATACTTTAATATTACATTTTATCACACTATACTATGAACCTTTTATATTATACTTCACAATGATTTTTTTTATCATACTGTACTTTGACCTTTTCTATCATACTATATTATAACCTTTTTATATCATACTAAGCTTTGCATTTTTATTTTACTACACTCTGACAAATTTATTATACTTCTTATATATAAAAATAAAAAATAAAAATAAACATTTTTACTATGATGATTTTTTTAAAATCATTTTTTATGATTTTACTTTCCATTTGATCATACTACACCATGACGGTTTTATATCATTGTTTACAATGAAATTTTTATCATACTAAAGTATCATGACATTTTTATCATGCTATACTTTGACCTTTTAATCATACTTTACTATGACATTTTATCAAACTATAATATGAAATGTTGATCACATTTTTATCATGCTTTACTATGTTTGATAACATACCAGTTGATCACATTTTCTCATAGTATAATATTATCTTTTTCATCGTACTGTACAATGACATTTTAATCACCCTGTTCTGACATTTTATCATACTATACCATGATTTTTTTTAACATACTATACTATGACATTTTTATCTTACTGTACTGTAACATTTTATCATATTTTACTGACCTTTTTTAATCATACTATACTATGACATTTTTATTTTTATTTTATATTTATTTTTATGATATTTTATCCATTTTAAATATGATTTTTTTCACACTTTAGTTTTCATTTTATCATACTATAATATGACATGTTGATCATACTTTACTATGACATTTTATCATACCAACTCTACAATGAGATTTTATCATGCTATAATGACATTTTGATCATACATTTCTTATGCCCCCTCTTCCCTGTTCATCGTTCGTGGGGCCCATTTCCTAATTTCAATTGCTTCCCTAATAAAGCACTGGTGCTTATTGTCCTCAGTGTAGATGACTTTGGCCTTATTCCAGTCCATGAGATTTTTCCTTTTTCTGGCATCAGTTTTTTTTTTCATGATAGTTTCAGTTTTTGGAGAGGATTAGTTTTAATCGGTTATTTGAAGCAACAAATAAAAAATTATGCTGATGGACAGCTTTTTCTACTTTTGTTGATTTTTCCACCAAGTCTTCACTGATATTATGATTGTGTTCCGTTTAATTAGGCTGGAGAAACAGAAACCAGACTGAAAGACTCGTATCAAACCCAACACTCAGGAATAACAGTCAGTATTTTGCCCATAAACACAGCAAGTTTTTTTTTATCTGGACAAGGATTCAGAAAACTGAAGGAAGTTATTTTCACATCTCCAGAAAATAAAGGTCGTTGGTTTTGGTTCGTTCTCAGCTGGAGCGCAGGACTGCAGGTTTCTCGCGGTCCAAAGTGTGATCGTCTCCTGACTGTGACAGGAATGAGATCACGGATCCAAGCGACCAGAACAAGTCTCCTCTGCCTGACAGGTGTTTCCCAAACTGAGAGGAGACCCCAGAGCTCACCAGGGGGGTGATGGGTCTCATCTGGATCAGAGAGCATCTCTCAGTGAGATGGAAACACGAGGGGCGACTGGAGGACCTTATTTTCATGCTGCAACAAGAATCAGTCTTTGGATAAGTTTCTGTATAAATAGAAATATTTAAACTGCCTTTTCAAAGAGAATAACATTTAGAGAAATTAGGAAATATATTCAGAAAAAAACAACATCCTTATATTACAAGAATAAAACCACCCTGTTACATGATGTAGTTTGTAAAAGTTGTTAATTTACTGAAAAAAATGAAATGTTTACGAAACCTTTTTTTTCTGTAAACAGTGTCACAGCTCTTGTCAATCCAATTTATTTGTCTTTTTAAAATTGTCTTTTTACAAATTAGTTTGTAAAAGTTGTTAATTTACTGAAAAAAAATGAATTGCTGTATGCGATATCCTGTGTTTTATTTTGAAGGGAAAGACAAGAAGGACATCCAGCCGCCAGAACTCAAATTCTTAATGGTTGGATAAAAAATGACTTCTATGAAAATCAGATTCATGCTTCTGTAAAGAAATGTCTCATACGTGACTCCAATCATCCACCTGACTCTGAACAATTGAAACAGATTTCCCTTTTTGCTCCTCGGGGCTCTACGCCGTGATAAAACAGACCTCAAAGCTGAGATGGAAAATTTCACATGTTCCTGTGTTGGAAATGACCACCAGCACACTTGTGCATTAACTCCAAGATCCATGACGTCCTGACACACCAACCGGATCTTTACTCGAGGACATGAGGAGCTGTCTTGGAGGATCAGTGCTCCATTTTCAGAAGAGAAGGTGCTGCACGCAGTCATTCACCACCTGACAGTCACTCTGTCCATCTCCCTCACGTCTTGGTTACAGCCTGTTCGTTGTTATTGAAAGCCCAGACATGCACAAGTGTTGCCGAGCAGTAAAGAGTGTAAAACAGACGAAATAGATGGTGAGTGCTGCTGTTATCTGTAGATTATTTCTGTAAAATAAGAGTAGTATTTGTTTTGACGAGCTCGCTCCGGTCAGAGCCGTCTAAAACTCCTCTGGTACTCCTTTGTCCCGGGAATAAATCTGTGCTAAAAGCTGATCTGAGTGAAATGATGAGCGGTGTCACAGACTCCTCTAAGTGAAGTGATTGAAGGCAGCAGCCGCAGAGTTTTGAGGACCTGGTGAAAATAGCTGTGAAGAGGAGCAATTGGCTTTGGCTCGGAGCAGTTACAGGCGTGTCATTGGACAGACACCATGATGTGATTTTATCAGGCCATCCCGACGCTCCTGAGCCGGCTGATAAAGTGATAAAGCCTTAGAGAGCCTGACAGACAGGAGATGTGGCCTCGCCGAGCAGATAATATGACGGACAGAAGTGGACGCTGTGTGAGTGTGTGTGTGTGTGAGTGCAGAGGCGGGCGAGATGAGAAAATGGAAGAATACAGGCTGAAGTGTGTGTGTGTGTGTGTGTGTGTGTTAGGGGTGTTAAATGTGATCCATTTGAGGTGTAGGACAGCTGGAGGGTGTGTGTCCTGCTGATGGAAGAGAGTCAGTCCAGGATCTCATCCGGTTTCTTCCTCTTAGACAAACTGACCTGCAGACATTTTGACTTAAAATGGATTTAAAGTTCTCTCTAGATCATCCTGGATCCTTTTACTGTATATAAACCCCAATAATGACGATGTTAACCTCGATAACAGTTAATAGGTTTAAAATGATGATGATAGCCATAGAAGTTCTGTGTTTATTGATGAACACTGGATACAAACAGAAGACTTTGACAGTGCTCAAGTTGTCTGTGATCCGTCTTACCAGGTTAGAGCTCTGATGAGGGTTCGGCTCAGTGAGGACCAGCTCTTCTTGTTCTCTTTGAGGTAATTTTTAGAGCCAGATCATCTGCGACCAACACATCAGTCGACTCTGCACCTCAGTGTTGATACTTACCAATAAATGAGTGGATTACTCACTTCATGGCACTGGTGTTTGTGTGTTTCCATGACAACCAGATGCTTTTCTGACCCGCAAAGAAGATCAGTTTGTTTTTCGAAGTCTGTGCGGATCAAATACCTTAAAAACTAAAGTTAAGATGATGATTTTTGTATTTGTCTGAGCGAAATGATTCATGTCGTTAGCTGAATATCCTAGAGGGTCTATCCAGAGGGTCACCATCTTTGTTATTGTCTGTTGACCAATCAGAGGCTGTATGATCAGCCCAAAGGTCCAATCAGAAGCCAGAAAAAAAACTTTATTTAATCAAACATACGGAAGACAAGAACGGTCATGGATTCATGATAATGACTTATTACCTCATTATCTCAACAGTAACGACGATCATTTTCTCATCATAACGAATTGTTTTATTTTTGTTATCATGATATAACAGAGACCGTTTTCTCGTGATAGCTGATTGATTAATAATGTGTCCACCATTGTAACTGTTATTGTCCAAAAACACGACAGTTAAATTTTCTTATGTCAAAAGTGTAATTCGTTTTTAACAGTCATCATTTTAGGTCAGCTAAAACGCTATTTCTGCATAACGAGAATACGATCTTTGTTATTTTGAGATAATGTAAATAAAAAATTCACTATCAAAAGAAAACAAACTTTTTTATGTCAAGATAATGTAAAAAAAATAATTCACTATCATGAGAAAACTAACTTATTTATGTTGAGATAATATAACAAAAGAAAAATTTGTTATCACGAGAAAACAAACGTGGTTATTTCGAGATAATGAGATAATAAGTCATAACAGTGCATAAAAAAAAAAAAAAAAAAGAAAAGCTCCATGGCCGTTATCGTCTTCCGTACAAACGTTCAGGCCCTTCATGCAGTTATTAAAAACTCTTTTTGCAGCAGTTCAATCTTTTTTAGATCCTGAGATATTTAAAGTAGTGAAAGGTTTTACACTCATGAATAATCCATGACTATAACAGGTTTGTAAAATTCATGTTTCTTTGATTCATGAGAGATAAACTGTTGTGAATCTTGAACTTTGTGGCCTGTGATGATCCGACAGGTCTTCTTGATGTTACGGAGGCCCTCAGAGATCACTGACGCTCCAGTTTGCTGCCTGATTTTCCACCGATTATTTCTGCCTCCAGAGCAGCTCTGCCTTTCTGCAACTAAAACGACAATCTGCTCACTCTGCTCCTCCGTGAAATCACTCCTTCTTCACATGCGCTTCACTCGGGCTTTATCAAACTGACAGTATGAAAATGCAGATAATCCCCAGGCTCTACAATGGACTCAGCAGCTATTTACCATCCTGGTCTTTGCTGCTGCTCCGCATTTGTTTGGTTACGTGTGAGTGGAGCTCACAGATTTGGACGTCCATCTCTCTCTCTCTCTCTCTTTCTCTCTCTCTGTCCACTGTTTGCTGCCAGCCTCTGCCGCCTGCCAAGCCTGATCCATCTCATTAGCAAACACACCTCCCCTGTGACTCGCCTCCTTTCCCAGCGCCTCCTCGTTCCTGCAGCCCCTCGTCGGGGACGTTCTCCTGTGTGTCGCTGTAATTAGAGCCGCAGGGTTGGATGGCGAGGTAAAAAGGTGAGAGGAGAGGAGGAACATGTGAGCTGTTGGTGTAATTCACAGGCTCATTCAGGAGATGGAGGACATGTTTGGTTGTTACCGTCTCCTTTTGGCTCTGTGGACTCTGAACCTCTATGTTGTGACTCTGGTTTGTTTCGGCCTTTAATGGAGATTTTCTCCAGCAGGACGAGGACAGAGGGGGAAACAGACAGCAGATAAACCCTAAAGTGTTTTGTTTGGACGAGGCGACAAACTAGGAGTAAGTTCGCCAAGGCTCTTCTACAGCTGGTTAATCGGGCAGTTTGCCGTTTATTTCACCAGGAAGAAAGCTGTGGCGAGGAAATGAACCAGGTGGTCAGTTGGGTGTTTGACTGAGTGAACAAATCAGACCAAACCCTTACAGAAACAAACCAACCTCATTCACCAAGAAGAAGTTTGTTTTTTAAAAGTTACTCAAACTTTTTAAAAAGATTCATACAAAGTTTTCTTACCGACATTTAGGAGCTGATATGTCACCGCAGTATCCTGGATATGGAGATGTTCCTTAAAATTGTCACTTTTTGAAAAAGAAAATGGCATTAAGAGGGTTAGATTACAAAAATTACATCATATTTTCCATAATATTAAAAGACAAGAAATAAAAACAAAAAATAAATATTTTCCATATGTAAATGTAAATGTTTTTTATGTATACAGCACTTAACAACAACCTTTTCAGTAACCCAAGGTGCTTTACCAAAAAAAAAAATAAATCAATAAAAATGAATAAATAAAAATAAAAAAGCGATATAAGCAGTTTTAAAAAAAGAATAAATGTTTTTTAATATGTTTTTAATATGTCAATATATACATACATATACAACATGTATTTTATGTGCACTAATGTGATGTTTTTTAATTTTTTTTACAATTACAAAAAAATATTATCCATCAAAGTGATAGTTGTTACTTATCTTTGACAGATCCCAGACTGATTATCCCTCCACAAAAAAAAGAAAAAAATTGCATTCTTTAAATAGAAAATACTAAAACTGTCATATTTCGAATAAACTGGCACTTTAGGCGTTAAATTATGAAAATATGACTTCATTTTCATAATTTAACCTCTCAAACATTGAAAGGACAAGAATTAAGGACCAAACAAATGAAATATTAAGAAATTAAAGATTATATATGTCAATAGATTCATGGACAAAAGTGTCCATAAAGCCACAAATGTGATTTTTTTCAGGGGGGCCTGAGGGTTAATTTGCACATTTATAATCTCAATATGCTTTTATAGATCATTTTTTAGTCATGCAATGTTCGGTCTGAGCTGCAAGAGTTCATTTCCAACAGGTTAGTCACATGACTGGATATAAAAATGACATTCAGAGAGGCTGAGTCTCACTGCTCTATGAAAAATAATTGGTTCATTTCATTGTCTACACTTTGCCATATCTGGAGAAAAAAAGGATAACCGAGCATTAAAAGCAGACATGACTCTGTAGTAGAAGTCTCTGCATGTGCTCAAAAAAAGACCAAAGTAAAACTGAAACATGCAAAGATGAAACCTGATTAACACAAGTATTAATGATGGACTGTGGATCATCATCAGAGTCCATGTCGTGGGTATCTCCCACATCTGTAAAAGCTCCATTAATGCTGAACAGTATCTACAGGTTTCAGAGCAACATCTGCTGCTGATCGGATAAATCTGGAGCTGGTATGTCGATGATATGTCCCCTGATGCTCCCGGCGGCGTCACTCCTGGATATGCGTGTTACTAAACAGGTGATAATGGAGCGGTAATGAGCGGCACATTAAAGCTGTTTTGCTCGAACCTGTTTTAAACATCCTGTTTCATTACAGCGTGTGATGCTTGTTCATTAGTGACCGGCTCATTTACCAAAGGATTTCTCATTATACATGGATAATCAAATAAGGCTGCCACCAACACTTCACCTGCATGTTGACATAAGAACACCTCTCCTCCTCCTCCTCTTCCTCTTCTTCATCTTTGTTTGTGTCACAAAGTTTACATCGAATGCTTTGTTTTAGTTTTTCTGCTTTATTTTTATCACACCGACAAAGAAAAAACCTGTCAAAAGAAAGTCTTATATCTTCAAAGAACAGCCTCAGATCCAAATCATCTCCGTGAACGAGCAAACAACAATCAGCGGCAGTCATCTCCAAATAATAACGGCTGTGAAATCGACACAGACGGAGGAACGTCTCTAAGCAGCGTGGATTTAATCCTGACTCTTAAAAAAAACCTGTTTTGATGACAAACTGTGGCAGTTACGACAGTTGTGTGCCGTTTTATTCTCTCAGCGTTCGGTTTCCATCACTCTGATATGGATGTTTGTCTCGATGAAGTCTACATTAACTCTGAGGTAAAGTGAAATATCCCTGAAAGTGAGGAGACAGGGAACACTGACGTCAGTACCACAGTGAGATGATGATGATTTCTGACACATCCAAGAGAAAAAAAAACATGAGCGCCTGGTGAGGTTAGAGTCATCGCTGTCTCAAAAACAGGTCATCTGTTCTGTGATGAACAAAAGGTTCATCGACTCTAATTAAGGGAAAAGTGTGAGTGAAAGAGAAACTCATCTCCTGACACACTTTTATAATAACTGTGTATCTGTGAGAGGCTCAGTGAGTTACAAGGCTCAGGGTACGGAGGCCCTGAAGGTCAATGGTACAAATATTTCAGGAAGGTTATACAAGTAATGTCAGAAACCACAGAAATGCAGTCAAAGAAAAATTATATATATCAATATATAAACAAAGATGTTAACATGAATGTAAATGGCACAAACAAACTCTGAAATTAGATATTTTTTAAAACACAAAGAAAAATAATATTTAAAAAAATGTGAATAAATTTGAAAACGCATATTTATTTTGGAAAATACATATAGGAATTGAATAAAACAAATATTGTACTAAAAATATTTTTTTTTGGATAATGCAAAATATTTACAGTTATTGAAACAGAAACATTTTGGTTTTAAAAATATATTTGTTTCGTCAAAATGTTGTATTAAAAAAAAATCTGTTTCTACATTTAAAAAAAATATTGTTTCTATTTTTTCAAAATTTGTTTTTAAAGAATTTTAAACCAATTTTTGTTTTGATTTTTTGTCTCAATATTTTTCTTTGTTTCCCAAATAACATTCCCATTTTTTTGTATCCAATTTTTTAAATAACTTATTTGTTTCCAAAATAAAAATATTTTAATAATTTATATTTTAATAATTTAATTTTTAATATTTTTTCACATTTTGGTTTCCATATTAGAAAAATGATGTGATTTTTTTATGTTTCCAAAAAATATATATAAATTTTCTAAGATATATGCTGTGTTCATTTAAATATGTCACGTTTTGTTAAATGTTTTAGGGTTTTGGAAGCATTTTTTTTTATTTATATATATTTTTTTGCTTGTTCCTTCATGAAATTTATTTTTATTACCTTCTTGAAATATTTGTGTGATTGACAATCCAAGCATAGGGTTAGATTCGCAGTGAGAGCAAGTTGTTCATGTAGAAGACAACATGTCTTTATGGGAGGTCTAATTGATCTGCTGGACTTTGGTTAACATCTTAACTGTCACATTTGTAAAATAACCACATATTTTTACCACTTTCCAGTTGTGCACAGAGGGCTGCTGGAGCTGCGAGAGCTTAAAAAGACAATGTTTGTGAGGAATAGATTGATGAAAATAAATGTTGAACAGGAGGAGCGAGAGAGAGAAAAGAGAGCGGAGGAAAATGATAAACATGTTGGGAAGTGACTCAGGTGGTACTGTCAGACCTCTGCCTCCATTTTTCAGGTATAACGTGAAGTTATTTCTAAATGTAACAAGGCTAATAAGACGCTCAGCAGCGCAGCTCTCAACACGCCGCAGGAGAGGTTAAAGAAACTCTCCACTTAAGACGGGATCCTGGGAAATAAGTGAGAAATGGTGGCAACATGAGGTGTGGGTAATGGGAGGACTGAGTCAGTCCTGCTGATGTGATTTCGACTAAAGACACAGAGAGACGAGGAAAACAGCAGAATTCAGGAGGAGGAGGTGAGTCAGGGATGTTTGATGAGTCTGAATCACGTAGAAAAGCTCGGTCAGTCCAAAGGGGACGGCAGCAGATGATGCTCCTGAACCCGTATGTATAAATACGTTTTCCCTCGTGTTCTCTTCAGGGTGAAAATCTACTTTCCTTCTTCTGAATCCGAGCACCTGTGCTGCTTTCACCTTCACATGATCCTGCATGAATTTGCGCCCGCATGTCTCTGTCAGGCTGTTTAGTATGCACACAGGTACGTCCTCAGGCAGCCATGGACGGACTGAATACAAATGTTTATTAATTAGGGGCTAATTTCCTGCTCCATTGGTTCCAGCTCTCTGGTGGCTGCGCTCCTCTCCTCCGAGGATCTATTGGAGTGCCGTCAAACCCTCAGAGTACAGACATTCATGTGGACTTCTGTGCTCCTCTTTTAGTATTTTGCTTCAAACTCTGACAGATTTTAGCGGTCAGAGAGGTGAGGAGAAAGTTCCTGCTCTTGGGTTTTATCGGGAAAAACTCACCAATTAGTCTGAACATCGGCCTGAGTTTGACTCCTGCCTTATGGATCTGCATTGCAGGTTTAAGGGAGTATGAATGATTTTTACAGATATAATAACATCCAGTAACATACTGTGATTATTTAATCACCAGTGCAATGAACAGTAAACATCAGATATTGATCCCGTCTGTTCTATTGTCTACTTTCTCATGGTTACAGTTTTGCAGAATGTTGGCCACAAATTAGAGAGATTTCATTTTTGTGTCTGCAGAGCTGGAGGCTGCAGATTCAGGACCACAATTCTGGGACTATAATTTTTAGAGTCTGCTGGGGCACAAGTGCATCGGATGGCCAAGGACCACATTTTACCGTACTGCACATCTTTAACCCCAATCCTAATTTAGGCAGCGATTCAAAGATCCTAAAGATG